CGAAACCAATGACTAAAGAATATAAGGACATGTAACGCCCCTATACGGGCTGCAGCAGAATTTGTGACCTTAGACGCCTTTTCTTTTGGTGGCAAAATGGTGGCAAACAATGAGCCATCAGCTGGTCACCAACAACAATTTTAGCAATTTTTAATAGTTTGTGTGTAGTGAACTTTGTATAAACTTTATTACAATGCTGATTAGTTGTTCAGCTTTCAAATGTAAAAGCAGCAGTGACAAGAAAGAGCCAGGAGTTACGTTTCATAGGTAAATAAACAGTCCGCTTCACCTTTTTAGCATTTTCTTAAGTTTTCTTATTGAATTCGATAATTATTTTTCTAATATTATATGTACTTGATGTGTGCTATACGTTTATACTAGTTTTGTACCTTTTGTTAACATTTTAATACGTTTTTTTCGTAATTAATTAGTATGATGCCACCACCTACACCATAGGCGTAGTCAAAACATTTATCAAAAATATAAATATCCCTTCAACTAGATCAGTTAAGAAAAAAATATGGTCACGGCACTGTTTGGTGCCATGGTAACAACTTGCTCTCGGGTGTTATTTGTTCTTGAATTCTTTAGTCATTGGTCGAAACGAATGACAATGTCAGGAAGTAAATAAATGAATGTGGCAACTTGACAATTTTTTATAGCAGAGCTACCACCTCTACCCCAGAGGGAAATTTAAATTCCAGTTAGTCAGCCCGGCGGCGAATATGTATATGGTCGGCAACAATTTAAAAAAATCGCGCCTTCGTTTACATAACTAAAAGTTTAATTGGTATAGTTTTTATTTCAGGACATTTCTTGTATTTTTAATATTTTTTTTAAAGACTAATTTAATTTATTATTAATAATATTTTAGGATCAGAAAGGAAACCAAAAATGCAATAATATACAGGGTATTCCGTTTAAAAAAAGTCATCCCGATCCACTCACACTTTTTTGATCCCACTCTGTTGAAGTTAAAATATTTTCCTGAAATACGTCCTGGTACATACTTTAAGTCTGCACAAAATTCCATAGTTTTTTTATGTTAGGAGCTTCAGATGCCCGACGCATTAAGGCCGGACCCTGTATAAATAATGTCTTTTGTATCTCTAATAATAAATAGCTGGCCAATAGTTAAATGCATAAAATGGATAAGATAATAAATACTTATAAATAAATCTCGTACAAAAAATGCAACTGCGGATAACTATTTTACGATAAAATTGTTTGTATATTTTTCCCCAATTATTCCTTAATTAAGTCAACAAAGGCGCGTTTTTGGTCGAGTGATTCAGATTAAAGTGCTTATGAAAATACGTGTTAATGAACTAGCTGTAGCGCCTATAAATGGGAGTAGAAAAAAACAATAAAAATATTTCTAGAGGGAAAAATACCGGCAACGAACAATTTACAAGGAATATTATGGAATTCGAGAAACAATAGACTTGCATCCTTGGTCCTTGGCTTGTATTTATGTCGCACACAACTTTAAATATGTTGCTGCGTTGACTCTGATTTACAATTTGTTCACGAGATTAAATAAAAGGATGAAGGGCATTTCATAACTTGTCATACGATGTGTCGTTCATTTAGATTATATCGTGATTTTTACGAAATCCTGTAATTGGCGATTTTTGAAGTGAAACTGACGCGTAAAAAACTATTTTTTACGCCTAAAAGAATAATTTTTTAATTTAAAACTTTTTCAACATTTCAAACTACACTTTTTTAAACATGTCCTTTAAATTCTTCAGTTTAATAGCTGTTAGTAAGAAGTTTCACTTCAAATATGTGCAAATAGTGCACACATAATTTTTTCATTAAAATTCTTTGTAAAATCCTGCTACTTAAACTTTGTATTCTAATATTGATCAAATGCACAAAAAATTACATTATGAACATTATTCTATTTAACTACCCCAACGGTGGAAGGGTGTATATCCTCCGAGGAAAGTGATGACCACTCTTCGAAGGAAGAATATCTGTTGTCAGAGAAGGATGGGAAATACTTTTTATACCGCCAAAGCGAATACTCCTCGGAAAAGGGGAGGGTAAAGGAACCAAGAAACAGCGCATCTCCACCAAAGAGCCAAGAGAGGGAGCGAGAACCTTTCACCCCTGCTCCAGCAAGGAGAGAAAAAGCCAGGAAAAAAGGCCGTCCAACATCGGGAGGTAAGCAGGGACTTATCACCAGCTTTGCCAGAACTCCAATATAAGGAATGGGAGGAGAGCCATGGGCCATGGTTAGGTCCTCACAATACGAATTGATCTCAAATCCAAGGAGGCAATAGAGAAAGAGGGATATATCCTCTATTGATACGGGACAACACCGGTATTAGGTCTAAGGAGAGACCAAGTTAACAGAGTAAATGGAGACAAATCCTCCAGCCTCAACCTCAAGGGTACCTCAGTACCTTTATGGAAAAACATATACAAAAGATGATTTTGTACAGGTTTAATCTTATCATACCCCCTTTCAAGGACAATATACAGGGTGGTCTGAATTGTATTCGGGAAACTTCGGCAGCCTTAAAGCCGGAGTCTCATGCATCCGAAATCCGATGGTACGACATCCGAAATTTGAAGTTATCCTGTGAAATAAAAAAAGCCTGTCACATACATCCGAAAGTTCGTTCCGAAATTTGACAGTTTTGGCATTTAGACCTGTCATTTCCTATCAACAGTATCAACATTATTACATGTATTATTGGGGAAACACTTATAAAAATAACTTCCTCGCCAAATCTCCCGAAATTGCCCCCTTCCCACTAAACTTGTTTATAAAAACCAATGTTTTCAAAAAAAGTGAGGTTAAAAAACACACGATATCGTACAAAAGTTAAACAAAATTTAACTTTATACGACGTCGGACGATTAGTTAAAAATATCGGATAAAAATTGGTGTCAAAATATTTCGACAAATAGGAGCACCGTCGGATCGTCGTGTCATCGGATTTCGGATGCATGAGACTCCGGCTTTAAGCTTGATTTTCATGCATCCGTTATACGTTGGTACGTTGTACGTTGGTCCGACGGTGCTCTGATTGGTCATAGCGTTTTCGCGCCACTTTTCATCCGTAAATATTTTACTTCAGCCCGTCAACGGACCCGTTCATACGATAACGGACGTTTTGACACTTTTTTGACAAATTTAATCTAACGATAATAAAAATATGAGTAAAATAGCAAAATCGTTATGGAAACGAAAATATAAAATAACACCAACGTATATCCGATAAACGGAGGCATAAAAATGCAATAAATTTAAAAACTGCGTTATTTTCTAACCAATCAAAGTCTTTAAATTCTACCAATAAAATTAATATCGTATCAACGTATCGTCGGACAACGGATGCATGAAAATCAAGCTTTATTCTGCAGATTAAAAGTAAGTAAAAAAGTTCTTATAAATTTATGTCCTAAAAATGCTTTGTTTCCGAGATACATGATGTAGAAGTTTTATTTTTTTGTTTTTGTCTCATGTGAAACATGGAGTGACGCTATAAAAGTGACGCCCCCTTGCAGAAGGCGTCACCTCCATGTTTTTGAACTGATTCCCTTAGTAATAATGTTCCGTCAGTACCTGTATGAAAAAAACTACTGAGTAAAAAATATACATTTCCGTAATTTTTTACGTAAAAAATGTCTCCTGGTAAAAATCGCTACGGGAAACCGTTTTCAAGACATATAGAATTGAAATAGTCAATACATATCATTAATGACGAAAAATAAACATGTCGATTAAATAGTTATCGGAAACTTTTTATTTTTTTAAGCTAATAATGATTTTTTCTAGAAAAAATACCATAAAAGAGTTTCTGTTGAATCTTTGGCACCAAAACATTTCAAATTTATTATTTCAGTCTAACTATTTAGTCAACATGTTTAATTTATGTCATTTATGACGTATTGATAATTTTGATTGCAAATATCTAGAGAACTATTACTCTAGTGATTTTAACCAAGAGAGCTTTTTTACGTAAAAAATATAAAATTGTGTATTTTTTCACTCAGTAGTGCAATACATGTACGGACAAAAAGTTATTACTCTTCAAAACAGCTAAAAAATATGTAGGTGGCGCCTCCTACAAGTAGGAGTCATAATATAAATGAAAATCGAATTTCTTATGTCAAAAAACAACCAGACACCAATTTTCATCCAAATATCGGCGTTAGCTCAGAAATAAAAATTAAACTTCTACACCCTGTATCTCCGAAACGAAGCATCTTAGGACATACATTTATAGAAACTTCTTTACTTATTTTTATCTGCAGAATATACTGCCGAAGTTTTCCAAATACAATTCGGACCACCCTGTATATTATGGATAAACACTACTTACTACTGCTATACAATAATGTATTTTGATCCAGACCAGACATTTTTCAAGTTTCTAAATATTACAGAATTTTATTACATCTATAGATAAAAATTTAAGCACGGAAATGCTGTAAATTGAAATAAACAAAGTAAATAAAACATAAAATTATTTCTATCCACCCATCTCTGACTAACGGGAAAGAAAAAATTCTCCAAAATATTGTTCGGTTTTTGCTTTATTTAAATAAGATGTCGTGTCGGTATTCGCTAGCTAATAAATTATTTTTAACCGAAAAACGGTGTACAAATATTTAACAATAAACATTGTTTAAACAATCGCACGTCACTCGTCACCGTGTTTGGTTACGATTAAACAAAATGTGACAAATTATAACCGGTTAGCGTTTAACGATGTTGTATCGAACCATCGCAAAAGAACTAATATGATAACAAGGCGATGCGAAAGAAATTCCATTATTTAATATCGAAATAGTTTTCGGTTTAAAAAAATATATTTCAGCAGCGATATATATCTCGTCTCCCGTAAATTAACACTCTGCTGCTAATTTATTATACCTCCCTCGAAGATTATCAGAAAACAGACAAATTACTGTTTGTTCGACAAATCAGCACGGAGGCTCTAAAAAATGTTGTAATGAGGGTATAAAAATATGGTTTGCATGTTAAACGAATTTAGTTTCACGTTGACTGTTCGAAAGCAAAAGAAACAGTAGTGCGTCTCGAAAAACAATGTCTATAAAGTACGAGTATATAGTTCCGAAAAGAATATCTACGGTGACTGCATCGCCAGAACCGTCCTACAGACAAAGGTACGACTTAGATGAAGAGTTGTTTAAAAAATAACGTTTCTGTAACTTTTAGTAATAAAAGAAAGTAAAAAAGTTTGAGATTGAACAGTTATTGTTAAATATTTTTGTTTAGGTCCTTATTTATACCTACTTGTACAAGGTGTCCCATTTTCGTGTGCCTTATAGAGTTTCTCGTTTATATCTGTACTACTTTTTTATGAAACTAAAGATGCTACACACATATATTTGATATCAATTAAACTTTTAGTTACGTAATCGAGGGCGCGATTTTTAAATTCATTGTTGCCAACCATGGAAATATTCGGCGCCGTGCTGACTAACTGGAATTTAAATTTCGCGCTAGGAATTCAAGTGGTAGCTCTGCTGTAAAAATGTCAAGCCGCATTTATTTATTTCCTGACATTATCATTCGTTTTGACACTTTTGTGGTTTTGTATTACAAGTTTTTGGTTTAAATAAATAGTGTTGTGATACTTTAAGCTTAAAAATGTTTACTAGCAGACCTTGCATCGAACATTGTTCTTTTTAGAACCTCTTTTAGTTAGAAGTGGTACAAGATAGCTTATTAGCCGTAAAAAACTCATCGCAACTTTATTAGAATATTTTGAACGAGAAAGAGAGGTAGTAATGGTCCTTTATGTCCCTTAAGTGCTGTTAAGAAGGTTAGTTTTGTTGATGTAAATAATAATTGTTTATATATTTATAATTAATTTATGTTTCTTTTTTAAAATATTTTGATTAAAAGAAAATATATAAAAGTGGGCAACGCTGTGCCGGTCAAGCTTAGTCACGTGACTAAAAGTTTATTTGGTATGAACTGTATTTGTTCTGGCCCCTTGGTTTCTGAAATACAGGGCGAATTTTAAAATGTTGCATTTTTCAACTCCCCTCTTTTCTCGGTTACTATAACTCATCGAAAAGATTAAAAATTGAGTCTCATATAGTTTTTCACGTAGCACTCAGTGGCGTAACTAGATGTTCGCTGGAAGCTGTCATTCTTGAAATAAGACCAATGTTTTTGTAAATGTCGAAAAAAATCTTCAATTTCGTCCTGTATTTGGACAGATCTGTGTGTAGTTGGTTAGGTTTGTTTGATAAACAAATAGCACAGTAATGTGGAAACCGGATCTTTGTAGCTTTACTCATAAAACGAGAAACACTGCAAAACACACAAAAATGGGACACCCTGTACAAATACAGTTCCTAGTTTAAACAGAAAAATTTAAAAAATGGAAAACTACAGTGGAAATAATAAACATATTTAATTTTATAGTTCAAACATTACTGTACATTAATGTATATAAACACGAGAAATTAAATTAAACATTTTATCTGGTAATATGTAGAATTCTAAACAATTGTAGGTAAATTTAAGAAACCCTATCTAAATAATTAATGCTATGTGAAACAAAAGGTAAAAAATAAATAAAAGTATATTTACATTAATGTAATAAGTACGTAACAGCAAAAATATTCTATTTTTACTGAGAGCACGTGAAAATCATATTGCGCGACTTTTTTCCGTACAAAATAGCTTCCAATTACCTAATTTGCTTAACGGACTTTTAATTCGTTTCGCAAAGTACCTTCGACACAGGAACAACATCCACAATTACAGGAAGTAATTGTTATTGTTTTTACCAACGTTATTTCATATTTATACACCAATGAATTAATTGCAAACGCCTGTTAATAAGGCAAAACGACATTCTGAAGTTTTTTAGAGTTCCGTACCTCAAAAAGAAAAAACGGAAACTTTATAGGATCACTTTGTTGTCTGTTCGTCTGTCTGTCTGTTAAGATCCTTTATCTCGGGAACGCGTGAAGGTATCGGCTTGAAATTAAAACCATATACTCAGGTCTACAGTCCTTTGAGGCTGTGAAAAAATCAAACTTCTAAGTTAACGTTAAAAAAAGATACGGCCGTTTATGCCGCAAAAAAACGCATATTTCGACACTCTCACGGGAATCAAAATTTAGAGGGTATTTTGCCATTTTCCGTAGTCTACTATGAAGTTTAGCCGTAAAAGTAATACCGTCTTATACAGGGTGTCTCAGGCTGAGCGTGCATTAGAAATTTCTAGAGAACTACAATATCTAGATAAGAGATTTTTTGCACATTACTGTTTCACGAGATCTATCGATTAAAAATATTTTCAATATGGCGGCACTTCCGGAAATACCGGAAGTTGACAGCAACTTTTGTATTTTAAATGGGTACCCTCATTTTTTATTGCCGCACGCGCCGCATTATTCGCTATTTTGTTTCTTTTTGCCCCTACTACACCCGTATTTGCCAATCGAATTTCTCATCAGTCGCTTCCGGAGTCCTGTCTGCGGTGATGAACGTGTTTTTTTTAATATTTCTCGACAATAAATGACAACGAACAAGAAATAATTATGAGCTCCTTGCTAATAGAAGAAGAAGAAATCACGAGAAAGAATCGAAAGTTATAGGTTCACAGTATTGGCAAAAATCCACATTATTTCCATATTTAATTGAGGATGAACTAAAAATTTTTCAATATATCAATATGAGCCATGGAAAATTTGCGAACTTTCTTAGCATATTGAATTTCTAATCTCCTCTTCGGCTGCTACGTAGAGTGGAACGAATTGCGGGTGACGTCAGCAGCACTAGTCGCATTTACCGAAAATCATTCTGGCCCAACAATGCTGGCCGCATTTTCGTCGATGCGATTCGTGCGGCTCTGGCTAGTGTGCGCACCTTTATTGAAAGTAACACAAACAATATTTTTCTTCGGTTGAGGCGGCGCGTGCGGCTCTGGTCAGTGTGCGCGTACCTTTATAGTTCTCTAGAAACTTCTAATGCACGCTGAGCGTGGGACACCCTGTATACTACAAATATAGAGAAAAACTGAAAACTATACATTTATAATTCAATCATAAAAAATATACAGTATGTCCCGGATTGTTTTTACAAAAGGAAAAACAGACACACACTTTTTTATTATTGACATTTTGATAATGACAATATTGACAACATTGATAATAATGACAACATTTGACATTAAGATAATGATAAATATTTTATAAGTGATTTCCGGTTGTAGTCCTCCCGAAGAATACGTTTATGATGACGAAAGTGACGATGGAACCGATGACGACGAGGACAGTGTGTACATTAAACCGAGACGTCAACACTGGTCCAACAAATTGCAGTTTGTGTTGGCCTGTGTGGGATACAGTGTCGGATTGGGTTCGATATGGAGGTTTCCCTACCTGTGTTATAAAAGTGGAGGAGGTAAGTCTAAAAGAAGCCCTACACGCAACGATATGATCTGCATGCCAAATCGCACAGTTCGGATTGTATAAAAGATAATTTTGTCAGTCTACAGGGTGGTCCGAATTGTATTTGGGAAACGGCAGTATATTCTGCAGATAAAAATAAGTAAAACATTTCGTATAATTTTATGTCCTAAAATACTTCGTTTTGGAGATACAGGGTGTAGAAGTTTCATTTTTATTTCGTTTTTTCCAAATAATTTCTGAACAAACACTGATATTTGGATGGAAATCATGGGTAATTGGCCCAGCAGTACCCCCAAGTACTGCTGGGCACCCCTCTGGAATTATGACTCTTGGCTACGTATTAATTTTTATTTGCTTGTGATGTAGTAAAATTGACTTTTCTAGTTTTGTTTAGTTAATATTATTTAGTTGTGTTAAAAAAATGTGTTAATTTTTATTTTTTAGAAAATTTGTAGGTATTTAAGTAATTTACGGGAACACGGTTTGATAACCAAGTTTATGAAATTTCTTGATAGAGAAATTCATGTAAACGTTTTATTAAAAAAATGTGCTTTTTAAAATTATTTTTCATTTAAAAAAAAAACAAAAGCCTTAGGCCCCCCCTGGACTCAACCACAGGCCCCCCCAGGCCCACCCCAGGATAAATTGCTAGTTACGCTAATGATGTCAGTATGACTCCTACTTGTAGGGGGCGCCACCCACATATTTTTTAGCTGTTTTGAAGAGTAATAACTTTTCGTTCGTACCTGTATTACACTATACCGGGTGCGTCTCAAAAGTGGCTCACCCCCTATAACTTTTTTATTTTTTCAGATTACAGAACGTGTTTTCTGTCACTTCCTGTGACAATGACTACAATTTTTGATTTTTAAATGGCACCATCGGTATTTTTTTACTTTATTTGATAGAAGCTAACATTTTGAATAGAATGACATATCATATGTCAACTTTTGACATTCTAGCTTAATACAAAATAGTATTTTAAATTTCAATCTAGAGTACCACGGCTATGTTAAAAGCACTAATTGTTAATCAAGAAGCCTTGAAAAGATAAATTTGATCGTCTAATGTTTTTAGTGTCTTGTCTTGGCCGGTTAAAAGATGCCCAAATCGTATTTTTAATCATATCTCATTTTTTTCAAAAGGAACGAGGGTGACTCATTAGCTTATTTGGAAAAAGCATTTTTTTACGAATAATTTGATACCACACACTTGGTATTTCGACTCAAAATGTCGTTATGAACCACCTGTTACAATTTTAAATAAACCATATTCGAAAATGGCAAAATTTGACATATGTCATTCTATTCAGAGTGTCATTTTCTATCGAATAAAGTAAAAAAATACCGATGGTGCTATTTAAAATTCAAAAGTTTAATCAAATTTATCATTTCAGTCAAATAACTCACTCTAGTCAGGTTTTATTTTTTCTCAATAATGACATCTATTAACTATTTCCTTACCAAATATCTTTACCAAGAGACATTTTTTTACGTAAAATATTACGGAAATGTATATTTTTCCACTCAGTAGTTTTATACATGTACGGACGAAAAGTTATTGCTCTTCAAATCAGTTAAAAAGTTTGAATAAGAAGACTAAGGAAGGAGCATATCAAAAATCTTAGGTACACCGCGATGGGCCTCAAATATGGCCGACTTAAATTCCGGTTTATCAGTGCCGTTCTAATTTTATTTAAAAAATGTAAAACTATGATGTAGGGTACACGTGGGGTAGACTCAATAATTTGTTATTTTATTTTACGTTGTGAATAAATGTTGGTAGTTATTAAAATTGTTATAAAATATATAATTCTAATAAAAATAGATAAGTTATAATAAGTATTTATTAACACAAACATCCGATACGCTACTGAAGCAGGTAAGTCAAATTAACGTATCAAAATTCTTTGACATCTGATCTTTGACAAGTAGAAAATAAAAGCTAAAATGCAAGAAAATATATAATTTAGTTAATTTAAGTGAATTTCATAAATGATCGGTTTACTACACGTATGTATATTATATAGTCACTTACTAGCGAAAAGTTGTTCCATTATTTCACTCAATTTTTGCCGAGATCTCCCGCACGCTACCAACCAACTATTTTAGAGTCTTTTTCGATAAATCGCGATAATGTCACTGTTAATTTAAGTTCTGCCACAATTTCCACCACTATTTACTACCTTTATACAACTATCAGTAGTAGAATAAATAATAAATAACATAAAATAAGCTCCGTAAAGACTGACAAATCCACAAAATTTAAAATCAAATTCAAATGTGTCAAATGAATCGTCAAACAGAACTGTCAAGGATCCCCACCCTAGAGAGCTTTTTCTGCCCACCATGCATGAATACATGGATAGCATTATGCTCCTTCCTTAGTCTTCTTATTCAAAGGTTAAAAATCATGCAGGTGGCGCCCCCTAGTAGTAGGAATCATATTGACATCAAAATCAAATTTCTTATGTCAAAAACACCCAGAGACCAATTTTCATCAGAAATTATTTGAAAAAAAAACGAATTAAAAATGAAACTTCTACACCCTGTACCTCTGAAACAAAGCCATTTTAGGAATCCGAACTATCATACTTCTTATTTTTATCGGTAGAATATGTTGGCGAAGTTTCTCAGAATACAATTCGGACCACCCTGTATAGTCTAGTACAGTTGCCGCCAAATCTATGGTCTGTGCAGTTAAACATATTCAGCATGTTGAAAGATCGCGTCTTTATCGAAACTGCCACTACACGCTGGGTTCTGAGCTAAATTGAAGTACTGTACTGGACTGTACAGTTTAAATCTCTTAGACTTAGAAATCGTTACGTGTAGGGCCCTTTTAAATCTAGGAAAATATTTAAGAGTTAAACATAAACTTTCTTATCCCAGCTGTGTTTTTAATTCCATACGCAATTATTATGGTGTTTATCGGAGGACCAATGTTGTATATGGAACTGGCAGTGGGGCAGTTTACCGGCCGAGGGCCTATAGGAGCCCTGGGACATCTTTGTCCCTTATTTAAAGGTATATTTTGCCTGCACGTATTGAGATTCATCTAAAGAGATTTTTTTCTCTAAATCGTTCACGAGCGTAATTACTTTTTATTATAGGTACTGGTTTAGGTAGCGTAGTTATATCCTTTCTAATGTCGACGTATTACAGCGTGATTATAGCGTACGGGGTGTACTATTTCTTCACGTCGTTCCGCTCGAAACAGCCCTGGGACGATTGCTCGCACCGCTGGAACACGCCCTACTGCTGGGTGCCGTCCAAATCGGCAGAAAACGTCACCAAACCCATCTACAGCCAGAGCCCAGCCGAAGAATTTTACGAGTACGTCTTTATATACTCAGATGCAAAAAAACGCAAAGAAATTTTTTGTAACCAATATAATTATATTTTTTTTACTTTTAACTATATTTTAATGATTTTTTAGTAAACTGTATACAAGGTGTTTTTAACATGTGCCATCTCTCGTGGGGAGATTCCTCACGTAAAAATAAGATTTATTTTTCATATCAACATAGGTCCGATTCTACTTTATTTCGTAGCTATAGGGTGTTAAAATCTTAATATATTTCGATTTATTATAATTTTCTTCCAAGTACTTTTAGCGTTTCGAATGAAATATTGGGGATAAAAGATAAACAAGGATAAAAGTTACTATAAATGCGACATATTTTAAAGCTAAAAAAGGGTCGACATCTTCACCAGAGACGTGCATATGGGTTATCACTGGAATATTTTTTTAAAAAAGGCATGTACGCCACTGATTTGTTTTTCTCTTGTTAGCGAAGTAGTGTAAGGAATTTAATGCCGATTAAAAGTTATCTCTTGATATTTTGTCGATTTTGGCCTCCTTCATGAGATAAACGGAATTTTATTAATTTGCGTTGATCCAAGTCTAATAGCAACCTTAAAAAAATAATATCATTAACTTGCGAAAGTACTCATCGATTCCTCATCAAAAAAATATGAAAAAAAGTTCCTATAAACATATAAACTATAAAAAAAGATGTTCCTATAAACTATAAAAAAAGATGTTAAAACTTTTTAAAATTAGTTTTTTTGTTATCTTAAATACCATTATTTTATTATTTGAAATTGTTGTAGGTTGGACTAATAGTAATAATAGCTAATAGTAATAATATTTAATAATAAATTAGGTAAAATATATATTTTATTAATTTTATTTTAATTTTAATTTTAATAATAATTGTGATTAATAAAATTGCGTTTATCTCATCAAGGAGGCTGAAATCGACAAAATATCAAGAGACAACTTTTAATCGGCATTAAACTGCTTACACTATTTCGCTAACAAGAGAAAAAAATGTCAGTGGCGTACATTCTTTTTATAGAAGAATATTCCAGTGATAACACATATGTACGTGTTCCTGATGAATTTATCAACACTAACCTAACCTAACAGAAATACTACCTGGAAGAATACTATAACAAATCGAAAGATTATTAAGATTTAACACCCTGTAGCAACGAAACAAAGCAGAATCGGACCTATGTTGATATGAAAAATAAACTTTATTTTTACGTGAAGAATCTCCCCACGAGATATGGCACATGGTTTTTGAAACACCCTGTATATCTGGAGGCACGGTAGTGCCCCCGCCAAGTCGAGCACAGCCGTACCATCCTTTTCTCGAAGGTATTAGCGGCACTTTTGACCACCTTGTAACTTCGTTGTGGATAAAGCAAGAATATTAATACAGTTTACTAATAAAATCAGGAAAATTGGACTATATATGAATAAAAAAATAACACATAACGCGTTTTTTGGCATCTCAGTGTACAAACCTGGCTATAGAATTTTTAATTGAATCATATCTTTTCCAGTCGCAAGGTGCTGCAAATAGGGAAAGGCATCGAGGATTTCGATATCCTGAGATGGGAGCTGGTGGCCTGTTTGATCTGCGCCTGGGTTCTCATCTACTTCGCCATTTGGAAGAGCATCAAATCTTCGGCTAAAGTGCGCTACTTCACCGCCACGTTTCCCTTCGTCATTATAATCGTGCTGCTGATCAAGTCGCTGACGCTGGAGGGCGCAGACACAGGGATGAGATACTTTTTCAAACCAAAATTCGAACTACTCTTAGATGCAAAGGTATCTGTTAAAACGTTGATTATTTTTAAGGAAATACTCAATTTAAAATAACATTGATTGATGTTTTAGGTGTGGGTAAACGCAGCTAGTCAAACGTTCAATTCCATGGGCTGTGCCTTTGGTTCCATGATCTCTTTCGCCAGCTACAACAAGTACAATAACAGCATTCTGCACGACACTATAGCTGTTTGGTTGGTGAACGGCATAACTAGCTTATTAGTGGGTATATTCGCCTTTGCTACCATCGGGAATATTGCCACCGAGCAAGGAACTTCCATCGAGGACGTCATAGACGACGGTAAGACAAAGAATATTCTGTAACTTCTAAAAATTGTCTAAGTTACTGATATCGATAAAGTTTTCTAATATTTTAAATATGGCTAGTATCGATTCTATATTTTCCTTCTATCTGTTTGGATGTAAGTTAACACTTATCAGATGTTTTAACATATCTTTTTATCTCATATTGTTAAATAGGTTATACATTGAACCTTAACTGGAAATACTCTTATCTGTATCTGAGTATTTTATGATTTTAAATAAATATAACATTACTAAGAATGTAATTATCTAAGTAATAAATATGAACGATATTTAAAAGTAAATAAATGATGTATAAGCATCATTTTTATTCTGGATGCTAATAAAATTTAAACCCTTCTGAAAAACTGTGTGAAATATAGTAAAAGTAAAAACAAACTGTATAATTATTTAAATTATAAATAAAAATATCTTCTAATATACAGTATGTACCCGGATTGTTTTAACAAGAGAAAAAACTTTTTAGTTATTAACATTTTCAGAAAAATGCATTCTAAACATAAATTTTTGCTTGTTCTAAAATCAGGGCCGTTCCTGGCGAGCGTGCAGTGCGTGCACGCACGTAGGCGCAACATTTTGGGGGTGTCAAATCGAAGTGTCAATCAGTACTTTGTAACAAAAAACCGATACGCTTTCTTGTTAATAAACAAATACTTACATACATCATAGGATAAAGTTTGCTTAGCGTCTTTTTTTGCGTTGGCCGCACCGAATAAACAAGTCTAGGGCAATCTGTCGGCAACACATTGATCTCATCTCTTTATTTTTCATTTTATGGAAAGCACTGTTCATTAAAATGCTGTATCCTATGTTATAGAGCTTGTTTCTCTCTACATTTCCTGTCTCACCATATACCGTTTGTGTCGGGGAAGGGATAACAGTTTCATAGTTGTCGATTTTCGACAGAAATCAGTGCATGTATATTATTTCGTATATTTTTCATTTTATTGATTTTATGGAAAGCACTGTTCATTAAAATGTTGTATCCTATGTTATAGGGCTTGTTTCTCTCTACAATTTTCTGTCTCACAATATACCGTTTGTGTCGGGGAAGGGATCATAGTTTCATAGTTGTCGATTTTCGAAAGAAATCAGTACATGTATATTATTTCGTATATTTTTCATTTTATTGATTTTATGGAAAGCACTGTTCATTAAAATGTTGTATCCTATGTTATAGGGCTTGTTTCTCTCTACAATTTCCTGTCTCACAATATACCGTTTGTGTCGGGGAAGGGATCATAGTTTCATAGTTGTCGATTTTCGAAAGAAATAAGTACATGTATATTATTTCGTATATTTTTCATTTTATTGATTTTATGGAAAGCACTGTTCATTAAAATGTTGTATCCTATATTATAGGGCTTGTTTCTCTCTACAATTTCCTGTCTCACAATATACCGTTTGTGTCGGGGAAGGGATCATAGTTTCATAGTTGTCGATTTTCGACAGAAATGAGTACATGTATATTTTTTCGTATATTTTTCATTTTATTGATTTTATGGAAAGCACTGTTCATTACAATGTTGTATCCTATGTTATAGGGCTTGTTTCGCTCTACAATTTCCTGTCCCATAATGTACCGTTTGTACCGGGGACGGGATCATAGTTTCATAGTTGTCGATTTTCGAAAGAAATCAGTGCATGTATATTATTTCGTATATTTTTCATTTTATTGATTTTATGGAAAGCACTGTTCATTGAAATGTTGTATCCTATGTTATAGGGCTTGTTTCTCTCTACAATTTCCTGTCTCACAATGTACCGTTTGTGTCCGGGAAGGGTTCATAATTTCATAGTTATCGATTTTCGAGAGAAATCAGTACATGCATATTATTTCCGATTTTTAGTTTATTGTTTTTATGTATTTCATATAAAATGGGTCAGTTTTTTTTCGTTAGGGTAATATTTTTGTTACTAAATATTTTTGTGGTTTTGTTTTCTTTATTTAATAAATGTTTTTATACTTTAATTAGAATAGTTTTTTTACATTTCCAATTACATATTGCTCGTTTGTCGCAGAATATAAATTCTTTAATTTTTTGAGATTAAGATTAAAATATATAATTGATTTAAATATAAAAAGGGCGCACCAAAGAATGCTGCACGTAGGCGCCAGATACCCCAGAAACGGGCCTGTCTAAAATGGTTAATCCCGTTTATGCTTCCAAATCTCCATCCATACCGTTAAAGAGAAAATTAAATAAAAAACATAAAAATATAGTTAAATTTTTCCTAAATGTCCTAAAAATCATGTTAATGAAGCACAACATTTATTTACTTAGTTCATTGCTACGGAAAGGGTTTATAAAAAAAATAGTTATCGGAAAATGTGATACTTTAACAACAGCAAAATATATGACGTTAATCAAAATTAATAATAATCATCTATCAAAGACGCTTACTGATTATCTATCAAAGATGTAACTACAAAAACGTCTAATAGAAACGCGTTTTGATTTTTTTAGGGTTTTTATTGGACGGAAAATTTAACTATATTTTTATATCTTTTTTTAATTTTCTCTAAAAAAGTATGGAAATTTAGAAAAAAATAAACAAGATTGCCCATTTTAGAACATACAAAATTTTTTTTATGAAGAATGCATTTTTCCCAAAATGTCAAAAAAAGTATTTCCTCTTGTAAAGACAATCCGGGGACATACTGTATAATATAATTGTTTTAACCTCTTTTACAGGTCCTGGCCTTATTTTTGTTGTTTACCCTCAAACGATGGCCAAGATGCCCTCGTCCCAACTGTGGGCCGTCTTTTTCTTCTTCATGCTGATCTGTCTCGCCCTCAACAGCCAAGTAATAACGAAAATATTGCTCTCCAAAGCATTTTTAGACGATATCATTCAGTTCTTTTGCAGTTTGCCATCGTCGAAGTGGTGGTCACCTCCATCCAGGACGGCTTTCCCGGCTGGATCAAGAAACACCTCATGTGTCACGAAGTGCTGGTCCTCGTCATCTGCGTCATTTCGTTCCTTTGCGGCATTCCCAACGTAACTCAAGTGCGTTCAGGTTTTTAAGTAATAAAGTCTAGTTTAAATATTATTTCTTACTTAAATTACTACTCATTTTTTGGAGTGATATGGTAGACAACGAAGTGTTTTTTAGGGAGGAATTTATTTCTTTCAATTGATCGATCACTACGCAGCTTCCATATCCATAATGTATTTGGCCTTTTTCGAAGTGATTGCAGTGGCGTGGTTCTACGGTGCCTTCAGGCTGTGTAAAAATGTGAAAACTATGACGGGTCGCCATCCAGGATGGTTTATTAAGATATGTTGGCTGGTAAGATATTATGTCACATGTTCTGATGGTTTTGACAATAAAAGCTTTTCAAACCCCCAAAAAAATATTCTAGGTCGTAACTCCACTGATGATATTCGCCTTGTGGGTGTTCCTTATTTTGGACTATGAGCCCCCGACTTACAACAATGGCGCCTACCATTATCCGCCATGGGCCATAGCGCTGGGCTGGATCATCTGCTCACTTTCCATAGTGTGTATTCCAGTTTATATGGTCGTGGTATTTTTGCGTACGCCTGGCGAAAATTTATTACAGGTAAACAAAACACGTTTTTTGTAAATACAGGGTATTTCAAATAACATGTGCCATCTCTCACGGGGAGATTCCTCACGTAATAAAACTGCGTGTGCCCTATCTGCGCATATTTGAAGTGAAACTTCTTCTTAGTTCCATCTGTCTGTCTGTCTGTCTGAAGACTTCATTCTGGTACCTCTATCCACGTGCTTAGTTTGAGTCCAATCGACCCATAATTAAGAAAAATCCTGATGATTTCGTCCATTTAGCGGCATCGGTTCGAAACGTCGAGGGCGTCATCCTGTAGCCCGTCCCCAATTATGCCGAAATCGTCTCACATTTTTCTTCAGTATCAAATCGTTAGTCACACCCTGATGAGGATGTAAACAAAACGTCATATCCAACTTTGCAGGGTGGGATCGTGTGCACCGTCCCTCACATAGTCTACCCACAAAATTTGATCGCGATCGGACATCAAATTTTGACGTTTCTTACGTCAAAACTAACTGTCACAGTGACACGTGTCGTACACGGTTAAGTTGGCCTTGGTCCAATCCATCGATATACCAAACTTTATGTAAATTGGACGATTTTGTTATTTAATTGAAGAATCAGAATCGCACCTATGCTGATATGAAAAATAAATCTTATTTTTATGTGAGAAATTTCCTCACGAGAGATGGCACATGTTTTTTGAAACACCCTGTTTATTGTAAATAATACATTATTGCAAAGTGCATCAAAACAATTTGTAATTTGTTATTATTGTAGAAACTGAAAAATTCCATTAAATCCGATTTAATGGATAAATGTCCGAAATGCGACGAACCCGATTGTGACTGTGTCTTGAAAGAGGAAGAGTCCAGTCCAATGTTGGTCATGCAAGCCCATCCAGAGATAACTGGTGACATACAGGTAGGGACCAAGATAGTGTTAATATAAATACTAATCAACAGCTTCATGTCGATTTTATGGGCAAGGATTGAATGTAGCCACCCTATGATTGAAAAAAAAAGGCGTCCAGCTGGCTTGGAAATGAACTTCGATGAAATTCCCCATATAATTTTATATATAAAATGAAAGCGATCTTCATTTCATAGCCATCGCTGATGCCTTTTTTTTTATCATATTGTACCGTCTGATTGAAAAGAAACGGCGTCCAGTTGGCTTGGAAATGAACATCGTTGACAATTTCGATGTAATTTTACATATAAAATGACAGCGATGTTCATTTCATAGCCATCGCATAAAAATGCTTGAAATTAGACAAAACAAATTTTGATTTTAGGCTGGAATGCCATTGTTTACGACAATGTCCAACGCGAGAAGCCCAGAAGGCGACAGAAAGAACAGCAACATCAGCCAGTACGAAAATGTGAATCACAACAACGTGACGAATGGAACGGACAATCATAAATAAATTCAGAAGAAGCAAAAAAACTCGAAAACGAATCTTTTATAGTAAAGTACCAGTTTACTATTATTATTGGTGTGATATGAAAAGTTAAAAATCTCTTGACTTGGCAAGGACACTCTCCAACACAATTTTAATAAGCATAACTTTAACATAAGACAAATAATTATTTTGATATTAGGAATAAAGTGACGCGCTGCCCAGTTAGAATAGTAGCCAAAGGACTTTCTGTACATTCCCTCTATTCTAGATTATAGATAAATAATTTATCTAGAAATTAGGATTGAAAAACATTCCATTGATATTAAAAAGAAGTCACATGGTGGTTCGTATTGTATTGGGAAACTTCGGCAGCATATTCTGCAGATAAAAATAAGTAAAAAAGTCCGTATAAATCTATGTCGTAAAATGCTTAGTTTCGGAGATACAGGGTGTATTCACTTTTTTTTCGATTTTATCCAAATAATTTCTGAACTATCGTCTATATTCGGATGGAAATTGATGTCTTGGAGTTTTTTGACATGAGCAATTTGATTTTGATGTCAGTATAACTCCTACTTATAGAGGGCGCCACCTACATATTTTTTAACAGGTTTGAAGAGTAATAACTTTTCGTCCGTAACTGTATAAACTTACTGAGTAAAAAATACATTTACGACGTTTTTTACTTAAAAAAGGTCTCTTGATAAAAATCGCTACGAGTAACGGTTCGCGAGATATTTTGAATCGAAATTATCAATACCTGTCATTATGGACATAAATTAATCATGTTGCGTAAATGATGACTGATGACTGAAATAATAAATAAATCATAAATTTCAAATATTTTTGTGGCAAAAATTCAACAGAAACTGTTTTATCATAATTTTTTCAAAGAAAAAATTTATGATTAATTTAAAAAAATACAAAAGTTCTCAAATAAATAATTTCAGTCAAATAACTATCTACTCAACACGTTTATTTTTTGTCAATAATGACATGTATCGACTATTTCCATTCTAAATATCTTGAGAACAGTTGCTCGTAGCAATTTTTACCAAGAGACATTTTTCATGTAAAAAATGACGGAAATGTATATATTTTTACTCAGTAGTTTTATACAGGTACGAACGAGAGAAAAGTTATTACTCTTCAAAACAGTTAAAACACATTACAAATAAAATCACTCAGGCACCATTTTTTGTCCAAATATCGTCTATTGTTCAGAAAATGGTTATTGGAAAAAATCGAAATAAAAATGTAATTTCTACACCCTGTATCTCTGAAACGAAGCATTTTAGGAAATACATTTATACAAACTTTTTTATTTATTTTTATCTGCAGAATATGCTGTCGAAGTTTCCCGAATACAATTCGGACCCCTTGTATAATATGAAATAAATTATTCCTATTTAAATCACTTTATCATGATTTTATAGGTTAATCCAAGCAGATCAGTATTAATTGTTATGAAGTAAATATTTTATTGTGTGTGTTTTTAATTTATATGGCTCTGGCTGGAGACCTCCATAAATTCACCTAAATGTAATTTTTAAGAAAAAAATTGTTGAAATAAAAAACTGTTGCAAAACATCGTACTTTCATTTAATTGAATGAAATTAACGACCATTCAAACAATTAACATGTAAATTAGCAAGCATGTCAATTAAAAAAATATAAATGTATATAAATTAATGAGTGAAGCCTGGTGTGAGTGAGATTAACAAAATGACTAGCCTTTAATAACTGCGATCGGTCTTAATTTAATGGCCTTCTTGGATATACCGGCCGCGTGACAAGTATTTACCACATCCGTTACGTTTTTATATGATTCGGGCGCTTCTTCCATGACCAGCTTGGGCGAAGCAACCCTGATGGATATTCCCATGTCCTCCAGTCGCCTTAAAACCTCGGTATATTCAATATTTCTGCGTGACTTGGCTCGAGACAATGCACGACCCTAAAATGATTTTTCCTTAAACAAAAAAATCTAAATAAAAAAAAATAGATAACAAACCGCGCCATGGCACGTAGACCCAAATGTTTCAAGCATTCCTTGCTCAGTGCCTGTCATAACATAGCTACAAGTTCCCATAGTACCACCTATTAACACTGGCTGGCCAGTTAGCTGGTAATCTACTGGAATTAGTGGATGATGTGGTGGAAATGCTCTTGTAGAACCCTAAAAAATATTAAATTTATTTATGACAATACAGAAATTTCTTAATATACTACCTTTCTATGTACTAAAAGTGTTTTTTGTTTGCCATCCACAATATGTTCTTCTACTTTGGCTATGTTATGAGAAACGTCATAGATAACATGCATGTCCAAATCGTCTGGCGTAACTCGGAATTGCTTGGCAAATGCCTGTAAATTTAAAATTAATCTCACAGTGGCTCTATTTTAAAAAACTTATAACATTCACCTGTCTACTTAAAAATGTCATAGAACTTCGATTGACCCAGGCAAAATTAGCGGCTGCGGCCATCGATTTCAGATAATCTTGGCCTTCAACTGAGTTTATTCTGGCGCAGGCCAATTGTCTGTCGTTAGTTTCGATATTATCTCTTTTCATTGCTTTTTCCATCTGAACCAGAGCATCAGTTGCGACCTGGTGACCAAATCCTCGGCTACCTGAGTGAATCATAACACATACTTGGCCAACCTCTTCGATACCCATTTTGCAAGCAGCCCACTTGTCATAAATCTCATCTACTACTTGAATTTCTGCATAATGATTACCAGCTCCTAAAGTTCCCAACTAGAAGTAAACACGGTTTAAAATTAAAAATATGAGTAGATAGGAATTTATAAATTACCTGTGGTAGTCCCCTTTTCTTGGCCCTCATACTAACTTTAGATGGATCTGCATTTAACATTCTGCCATATTCCTCACAATGTTCCTTATCTTCTGCCCAAATATAGCCCTCCCTCAACGACCAGTCCATCCCCATTTCCAAAGCTTCTTCAAGATCTTTGGAATTCATTGGAATAATTCCTTAGATATTTAAAAAAAAAATAAAGTATTAGATTTTTAAAGAGTAATTCAGTAATGTTTACAAACCTTTTGAGCCTACACCAACAGGAATGTGGTCAAACAAACTTTGTGCAAGTTGTTCTTTAACAGGTAGAACATCCTGTTCAAACAGATTCGTTCTTAATAATCTAAAAATCAATATGCTTAGTTTTAATATTATAATGAAATTATATTGCTTTCACCTAACGCCACAATTTATATCAAAACCTACGCCTCCTGGAGAAACTACTGAATTTGGATCACCCATATCGAAAGCAGCCATATTTCCTATGGCAAAACCATATCCAGAATGGATATCAGGTAAACCAACAGATCTACCAACAATTCCTGGAAGAGCTGCAACATTTGCAATCTGTAAAGTAATTTTTCTCATTATAGGTAGTTATGAAATGTAAACCATCTTATAAATGACCTGTTTTACACCTGGTAGGAAACCTCCAACCATACCTGGTCTGCAAGCGTTTCTTAATTCGTCTAACATAAGTTTTTCCAGTGTTTGATTAACATAAAAGACTCCTTCAACGTTCATGTTAGGTTGAAAACCTTTCTTTATTTTCCAGCAATATGAATTTATTTTCTCTAGATACTCTAGTTCTTGATTATAGTTACGTACCACCATTTTTCCAAGATAATCCTTTAATTAGTCAGTAATAAATAATAGCTATAAACATAAACAAAATAAACATTTAAAATCGGCAATCGGCAGACAGAAGCTTCTTTTTCTAGGTTGGAATATGATATTAATCTTTTAATTTCTATGGCCAAAGCAGTACACCTCCAATATTTTATATATGATTGTATTCTTCTTTTTACCGGCCTTATGCATTACATCCAGATTTTATATATGACAGTTTCGTCTCTGGACAAATTTGCCAGATAGGATAGCTATGACGTACGACGTACTGTAACAGGCAAAGAAGATATTTTCGGGCCGTATAGTCCTGGTAACTGAAGGCCGTTAAACCGGAAAGGAAGAAGAAAATTTTTGAAGTCACAGAGATTCCCAGTAGATGGCGCCAAGGAAATTAGTCAATGCAGTCACTTTTTCGATTTTTTGTCCGTCAGCCACAAAATGGCTGGCTGTTCGATCTAAAGAAATGCTCTTGTGTTCCTCGATATCTTAATTTTTTATACAAATGTGTATTTAAATAGTGCTTTAATATAGTTTAGATTAATTTTATACAACCGTGCGAAGGAATCATGTCCGCGGAACGGGAAATTCCGGCCGAGGACAGTATAAAAGTGGTGTGTCGGTTTAGGCCTTTGAACGATTCTGAAGAAAAAGCTGGCTCCAAATTTGTCGTTAAGTTTCCTTCGGGAGGAGAGGACAACTGTATCTCCATCGGGGTAAGTTATCATTCTATCAATTCCTTCTTTCAAATTGAACTCTTGTTTTTGATTCTCGTAATCTGTACGTGTTTTTTTCGAGACATACCCATTGAGATGTAGATAGGTGCTTAAGGTCAAGGCATATTAAACCGTGTGACTCACGGTTTTGTTGTGTAAAAAGTGTTTTTTCGTCTTACCACCGATTTGTGTTCTAGTAAACATTAGTTTTAAGTATCGATGTTTTGCTCCTTTGTAGGGACTCCCAAAATTCTGATTATTAATTGAGTTTACGTCATTACGCGAGAGTTGAGCGGTCTCGCACCGTCGATCATTTGCCTACCACATTATTCTTTCAAGCATTGTATGATGTTTTCTTTTGCCGATTTTCTTTTCGATTTAATTAAAGTTTCAGAAACATGCGTAAAATTGCCATTGTTTTGATCTTTCTATCGATTTCCTTTACTTTGACGTAATGACGTTGCGACAATCCTTTGCCAAGATTCGATTCACAATTAAATTCGGAAGGAGATGCCATTTGAAAATAGATTTGATTTTTGGAAAATATACTCACATTAACATGCAAATTACCGAAATGTCTTGACACAATATAACAGAAATGCACTTTTTTTGTGTCTAGAAGTGCATTATTAGAATAGTTATTCCAATAAATGTGTTATTCTAAGCTACATCTATAATTGTTTAAGCTAAGGGTACCTATATCTAAGGAGGACGAATATTAGCTAAATACATTTTTTGCCATAATTTAGAAATGTAGAAAAGAAATTTAAAGCGTTGTTTATTTTTACATGGATTACGTTCACCTATATTTTATCTCATGATGTCATCATTTTAAACAGCTTAATATTTTAAATAGCATAAAGATCTGATGGAAAAAAGCAAATAGTAAAGGAATATTTTTTCGCTATTAACGGTAAAGAGCAATGTTATTGCATAAATAGGCAAAAGAACTAATAATTTATGTAAATTCTCTAGTTTATACTGGTGGTGCATGGTCTTTGGAGACTTAGATTAAAAATAAAGTTGGAAAGAGGAAATCCCATGCAAATTTTTAACTGTCCAGATATTGGTTCCCCTGTTAATTTTACAGCGAAGTTGTAAATAGGTTTTTTAAAGGTCTGTGTATGCTAAATACACGTGCCACATTTGAACAATCTGGAACAAGCCGATTTTAAGTGATTTACAAAAAACTGCATCTATTTTTAAATTAAAACTGAACAGTTAACAATGCAAAACCAGGCAAATGCCAACGTACCTTAAGTTGTCATCCCATTATTATTTTTTGAAAGTCAAATTGTATTTTCCAAACGTTAGGCTTTTGCCTCATTGGAACCAGTTTTAAATAGTGTAGACAGTACAACAAACTTCAAATTACATTTGACAGTGATAAAATCGTAGGTTGACAACTTAAGGTTGGTTTTGCATTGTTACCTGTTTATATATTTACCAGTTTCAATTTAATTACCAGTTTATATTTTTTTTAATTACCAGTTTATATATTTACCAGTTTCAATTAAATTTAAATAAATAGATGCAGTTTTTTTAAATTACTTAAAATCGGCTCTTCCAAAATTGTTCAAATTTGGCATGTGTATTCAGCATACGCAGACCTTTAAAACCTATTTACGACTTCGTTGTAGATTTAACAGAGGATCCAATATTTGGACAGTTCAAAATTTGTACGGGATTTCTTATGTTTCCAACAACGATATTTACCTAAAACTATGTATTATAGTTTGCTATATGCGTATAAAAAGGCTATATGTCGTTTTTTTCAAAAATATTTTGCTAGCTAGTGATTATCAGTGCCTAATCTACCTAAACAGAGAAATTTGTACTATCTAGAATCTTACTATGTTTTGGGTATTTTTAGAATTAGAATTTAAGGAATTTTTCAAACCGAAAGAATTGTCTTATTTTTATTTAATTTTATTTTTCATTATTTTGGGAATCAAAAATCCGTTAGTATTTATAATTCTTTTTGTATTCTTTCTTCGCAATGTTCGGTCGTCAAATGTGAAGGAAGTGAACGCCGCACAGAGGAGGTGATTCATGCAGATTTACACGACCACACTTTAATTTTTAATGGTTTATGTTAATTGCTGGCAGTTTTCGCATGGTGCAACTTTAGTAGGTACCTAGTAATCTATATAAGGTCTATATCTATACCTAATAAGCCGCGTTATGGAGTTAACGTGTCGAAAAAAGCGAAATATGTTATTTTTGTTATGTACTTTGAGTGCAGGAAAAAAATTGTATGGTCTTGTGAAATATGCTTAAAATTTAAACCCATACTGTCAATCATAAAATCATTCATAAAATAATAAATATAAACTGTCAATATCAGAATATTCAGAATGTGGAATCTTCAAATATACAGGGTGGTCCGGGAAACTTCGGCAGGATATTCTGCAGACAAAAATAAGTGAAATAGATTATGGAAATAGTCAATACATGTCATTATTGACAAAAAATAAAAACGTTGAGTAGATAGTTATTTGACTGAAATAATAAATTTTGGCCTAAATCTATACCATGTATCTCCGAAACGAAGCATTTTAGGACAGGACATACATTTATACGAACTTTTTTACTTATTTTATCTGCAGAATATACTGCTGAAGTTTCCCTAATACAATTCGGACCACCCTGTAAAAAAGTCGTTTTATTGGTTTAATAAAAAATAATAATTTGTTTAATAGTAAATGATTCTTTTTTATGCTGGTCAACATTATTCTTAATTTAAGGGTCAATATACATACGTATGTCGAATCTCTAAATCACGACCATCCCAAAACTCTCTAAGGTGACCTAATTGTACCACATCTTTTTGAAAGCCGAAAGGAGGTGTCTCGATCGTGATCATACGCGCTTTTCTACACGTTTCACAGACGCACTCGGAAGGTTATTAAATATCAAACAATATCAAGAGAGAAATGTAAAACTTATTAATCATTACCTTACTATAATAACTATATTGTCTTAAAATATAAGGGTGGAATCCAGAATGATTGTGTAATTTGAAACCGTAGAACTATTATTAATGAAACTAAAAAGATTTTTTCTCAATATTTTGACCGCAAAAACATTTTGGCACACATTTTTTCGCTCCAAAACTGGGTCACTGTCTTTTTATAACTAGTTTAAAAATTCTTAGATTTTTTTTTAATAAATGAATCCTGTTTACATTAAAGTGATTCTCTCTGATTATCCCTCTAGGGACTTGAAATAATAATACCTATTGCTTTTTTGTAGGGTAAAGTGTATCTCTTCGATAAAGTATTTAAGCCGAACGCCACTCAAGAAAAAGTATACAATGAAGCTGCTAAAAGCATCGTTTCCGATGTCCTGGCCGGTTACAACGGAACCATTTTTGCCTATGGGCAAACTTCCTCCGGAAAAACGCACACCATGGAGGGTGTCATAGGTACAATGCCGTTTTCCACAATTTTTTTTTGACTATAATTAAAATTTAACTTGTAATAATTGCTTTCAGGCGATCCTCACAAACAAGGCATCATTCCCCGTATAGTAAATGACATTTTTAACCATATTTACGCGATGGAGGAAAACCTAGAATTTCACATTAAAGTATCTTATTATGAAATCTACATGGACAAAATAAGAGATCTCTTAGACGGTGAGATATACTGACTAATATTTTCTAGAAATTTTTTGTTACGATTTGTTCTTTTTCAGTTTCGAAAGTTAATCTCAGCGTCCACGAAGATAAAAACCGGGTGCCCTACGTGAAAGGGGCCACGGAAAGATTCGTTTCTAGTCCCGAAGAAGTATTTGAATCCATAGAAGAGGGCAAATCTAATAGGCACATAGCAGTAACAAGTATGTTTTCTGACTTTAATTTACACTCACATGCAAAAAAACGCAACGGAAAAAAAAAATTTCGACAAATTTAAAGTGTTATATTTCTTATATTTTTATGATTTTTTTTAGTAAACTGTATATAAATATATCAACTTTAATTCGTAAACTCATTTTTTTATAATTTTAGTATTTGGCTTATTATACAGGGTTAATCAAAGGATTCTTATTTTACCTTAACTTTAAAACACTCTGTGCAGTAATTTCGTGAGCATATTTCCCTAAAACATTATTTTTCGCTCGGAACCGACTATGTCTCCTGAGCATTTTGTTTTTTAGATCATCTCGATACATGCCTTGGTTAATTTTTAAGAGCGAAATGAACTTGCCACCAACAATTTGCAATTTTTTCAATTATCATTTCTTTTTTATGTTATTTTTCAATATGGCTTTTGGTGCTTATTGTGGACTATATACTTCTATTAACTGCCCAGCTTGTACAACGTTGGGGAAATGCTTGGCAGGAGAGTTAGAGGTCCCGAAGCGATACCCGCTTCATATAACAGGCAGTTATAGTTGGGAGGCAATATACAGAGTGTCCCAGAAATAAGTATTTTAACTGATAGTATAGTTCAACCCCAGAAAAACGCCAATGAGGTTTTTTTCGCGAAAAATAAATCTTCAAAATTCGAAATTTTTTGGATTTTTTTTATGTAGTTTTTAGTTAAAAAACATAGTTTCTTCATAATATGGCAATATAGGTATTAGATTAAATTTACAAGAAAGAAAATCCAGAAAAGAAAGAGAGATTTTAGAAATTTTCAAAGTAAAATAACTCCGTTATTTTTGACTTATTTGAAAAATGATAAAGAGAAAATATTTTTCTTTTATCGAGATCTACCACCCCTTAAAATACTTGCACTTATTTCTGGAACACCCTGTATAAGGAAGCAATACAAAGTATTAGGGTATTTTTTAGAAGTTTTTTTTTCTCTGTTTGGATACTTGAGTATTACAGACTTTTTCTTTAATATCCTGTATAAAAAAATTTCATTGCTTTATTTTTGAAAAAAAATGATTATTTTTTCGATAGATATGAATGAACATTCGTCCAGATCCCATTCGGTATTTTTGATCAACGTGAAGCAAGAAAACCTGGAGAACCAGAAAAAATTGTCTGGCAAACTGTATTTGGTGGATTTAGCTGGTTCAGAAAAAGTGTCAAAGACAGGAGCAGAAGGTAAAGCTAAGAATCGACCTATACGGGGTGGTCCGAATTGTATTCGGGAAACTTCGGTAGCATAATCTGCTGATAAAAATAAGTATAAAAATTTGTATTAATTTATGTCAGGGTTGGCATGCTATATATCAATGAGATATATATCGGATATATATCATTGATATATATCATGATATTTATTAAAAATAAAACTCAACAATCAGAAAGAAAAAAAAACAAAAAAGATAAAACTGATTGGATCTGGGACAATTCAAATGTACCAAAAACTTTGCCAGAAACAGTATCAATTGATTCTGACTCTGACGAATCTGACGATGATTTCCCATTAATAAAATTAATAAATCAAATATAAATTTGTTTGTTGTTAGTTTTAGAATATCTCTTTATTTTTTTTTAATTTCCGTTTATTTTTTAGAATTTCCGTTTATTTCTTAGAATTCCTGATTATTTTTTAGAATTTCCGTTTATTTTTTAGAATTTCTGTTTATTTTTTAGAATTTCTGTTTATTTTTTAGAATTTCTGTTTATTTTTTAGAATTCCTGCTATTTTTTAGAAGTTCTGTTTATTTTTTTAGAATTTCTGTATATTTTTATATATTTTTGTTTTAATGTTGTTCCTATTATGTGCAAAGCAACAATAATTAAGTTGAAATAAAAATATTTACTTGAGCTCTTGATTTTACTTGATACTAAACGCAGTTTTACATAAAAAAATAAAAACAATAGAGTTCCCAAATTTATCATTTTAGTCAAATTTTTTGTAAATGAGGACATGTATTGATAATTTCTATTCCAAATATCTTGAGAACGGTTGTTTTTAGCGAAGTTTATAAGAACATTTTTACTTGTTTTTATCGGCAGAATATGTTACCGAAGTTTTCCGAATGCTATTCGGACCGACCACCCTGTAGAAAGAGCATCGGTAATCGTTTTTTTTTCAAACGTCACGAAAGTATTATTTTTTGCGACGTGATTGACAATATAAAAAAGTAATTTTAACGCCTAGGCATAAAAGTAAAGCAATTTTACGCCTAAGCATAAAAGTACGAAAATATATTATCCTTATTTTATTAAACTAACATAATGTGTCAAAGTCAACGAGCTTAACCATATTTTCTCGATATATAATTACATACAAGGTATGACATTTAAATCTTTATATTATTTGGAACTTTTGAAATTGTTTAAAAACTTATTTGTGGCGTTTGAAAAAAAAATAGCATGTTCTATTCAGAGTAAAAATGAATTTTTGTGCCTCGGTTGTAATGTCAAACTTACAGTCTCGCCACGAAAAGTATCATCTTTACTCCTAATCCTAATATAATAATATACTATTTCTTTGATCAGGTACCGTTTTGGACGAGGCTAAGAACATCAACAAATCGCTGTCGGCCCTGGGCAACGTGATCAGCGCCCTCGCCGACGGCAACAAGACCCACATCCCCTACAGAGACTCGAAACTTACGCGTATCCTGCAGGAATCGCTGGGAGGCAACGCCCGCACCACCATAGTGATCTGCTGTTCGCCGGCCAGCTTCAACGAGTCCGAGACCAAGTCCACTCTGGAGTTCGGCAAACGGGCCAAGACCGTCAAGAATGTGGTCACCGTGAACGAAGAACTGACGGCGGAGGAGTGGAAACGCCGCTACGAGAAGGTAATTATTTGTTAGAAGAGAGTATAGTAGTAATATTAATACACTCAAATATTGTGTTCTAGTGGGTATATTTTGATGATATTTTAAGCAATTTTGCTCTTTCCAAATCAAAAATGAAAGTTCCCATCATAGATAAAGGAAATAAATTTAGATTGGAAGGCCCGTCAAAATATATAATTGTTTTGGATCGCGACCGTTGTACGCAATCTGGCGCTGCTATAGCGGTTGCTAAGAACAACCGCCAAACAATAACAGAAATCATTTTCTCTCGTCAAAGTCAGAATCTTTAAAAATTATAAAATCTTTCAAAATTTAAACCGCCCTCCTTGAAAAAATACTGAAAAGTGTGTAAAGCGTCCATTCTCAAAGTAATTATTGCTAAATTGTGAGTTTAATTTAAATTTTACTTACTGAAACCTGTGATACTTTTGAAAAAGTGGCATTAAAAACTAAAAAAACTGTGTTGTGAACTGTGAACTGCAAAAACCATCGTGGATCGGGGTATAACGTCGGTTTCAAATATTTCATAGGTATTTCACATACATGTCTTTATATAAAATAAAGTTTCTTGTGTATGCAACACATTTTTTTTATTTATAAAATTAAAAAAAAATAATAAATTTGAATAAATAATATTTGACGACATAATTCCGGAAAAAAGCCGAACCGATCCGAAATTATCAAAAGCTTTGGATCGCGACCGTTGCAAGAATAGCGCCAAATAGTGTTTACATTGTCTTTATTGGCTTTCCAATCTAAATTTGTTTCATTTATCTATGGTTCCCATCTGTCATTAAGGAACATACTGAATGTGTAAATGAACGGACTGTAAGTAGAAAATTAAACAGAACAAATCTTACGTCAAGAAGGCCTGCTTCGGGACCACAACCTACTAGGTCTGTGAACAAGGACCAAAAGCAAAGTCATGGTTTTAATGTTAGTCAAAAAATGTTAGTGCCTTCTTCAAAAGCGAATATTTCCAACAAAAATAAAGCTATTGGGATAAACCAAAAAACAAACTATCGAGAAAGGATGCACCCACATGATAAAATTATTTTTAAATTGCACGCTGGCTTATATTCCACAGGGGGTTTCAAACTTTCCCCAAAGTATCAACGTTTTGTATACCCTCTTATAAATACACCTGGGAACTTTCAGTTTTAATTTAGAAAGAGATAATAAAAAGTCAAATAATTCAGCTACATATTGCTTAAAATATCATCCAAATCGGCCCACTAGAACAAAATGTATTAAACTTTAAAATACAATCAAATTATATTTATCATTTGTGACTTATATCACTTTGAGTGATCGATTATATTAATAAATCTCTTTGAATTTCTAAGGAAAAGGAAAAGGTGGCTCGGCTCAAGGGCAAGGTGGAGGTGCTGGAGCAGGAGCTGAGCAGGTGGAGGGCTGGCGAGACGGTCAAGGCGGAGGAGCAGGTCAACCTGAACGACATCAACGAGGCCATCACTCCGGTGTCGGGCATGGAAGAGAGCGTGGTGGAACAACCTACGGGACCCATGCCAGCCACGCCGGCTCTCATGATCGGATCCACCTTGGGATTGGAGGAAAGACAGAAGTTGGAGCTGGAAAGGTAAATTACTCATAGATAAATAATTAAAAAAAAGTTTGTCTACAGCTCAAGTTCCCTAAAATTACTACCAGTTCACATTGTAAATCTACACACGCAAATCTAAAGCAACTAAAGTGTTTGAAGCTATCTATGCTATTTTAACTTTTGAAGCTTTTATTGTGATTTGTGTTCATTAAAAGACAAGCAAAAGAAGTTGCAGGTCTGCATTTTCCATCAAGATTTTGATGAGTAAGCTGGTAGAAATAATTTAATAGAAAATAAAATGTTTTTGTAATTCTCTATACGTTTATGAGTTTACATGTGTGTGTGAGTTAGTTAAAAATATATACACGTAATAGAAACAATTATGAATCGACAATCAAACGTTATTTAAAAAATTACGTGGTAGACATAAAAAAGTAATATTTTACACATTCTTGTACGCACAGCAGTTTAAACATATTTTTCTTAGTTATTAGTTTTTTACAAACTGTACAGAGATACTGGGTGTTTCCTTTTATTTTGTAAGAGCGCCTAGAGCAAGGATTTCTCTTTCTAGTCGCTCCTCTTCAGCTGTTGTTTCGCATACGGTGTCTTTAAAAATTCGCTCCAAGTCTTAGTTTTCTTGGTAATTTTTGGTTGAGTAACCTTTTTTCGATCATTGTATTTTAATAGTGTGGGCTAGATGTTTTTGAAGGCATTTGTATAGCTTTGGTGTATAATATATGCATTTATGGTGCTGACGTCAACCATATGGAAAAAATTGTTACTGGCAATCAATACAATTTTTTTAATGTGTATTTATGGTAAATTAGTACATACCTAGTAGCCGGCCGTAGCGCAAGCAGTGGTTTGTCGATCTGCGGTGCGAGAGGTACTGGGTTCGATCCCCAACCAGTACGGTCGCTTTATTTATTTAAATAAATAAAATAAAAAATTTTGATTTATCTAAATAGAGTGACCAGCCAGCCGCCATCTCAAGGAAGGCGGCAATGGCAAACCACCTTGAGTAATTTGCCTTGTACAGCCTCTCAAATAGTACCGTTCCGATTCGGCGATAAACAGTAGGCCCTGTGTACTTATACTTGTAATCCTGTGAAACACTGATGACACATTCACAAGTATGTCCATGCGAGAGGTAGTCGACGCTCTGTATAGAGTATGACACTGTAAGAAGTACAAACGCTTTGTATTATTTTGTTTCTAGTCGCAAAAGACGCATTTTTAAACGCTTTAGTTGCTTTCTCTGTTCCCGTAGACTAATGTTTGTTGATAACTTTTCTAGGGAACGATTGTACCAGCAATTGGACGAGAAAGACGAAGAAATCAACCAACAGAGCCAGTACGTGGAAAAGCTGAAGGAACAGATGCTGGAACAGGACGAGCTCATTGCCGGTACGCGCCGGGACTACGAGGCTCTCCAGAGCGAGATGAACAGGATCCAGCAGGAGAACGAAAGCGCCAAAGAGGAAGTTAAAGAGGTAAAGACTAAAAGGATAACATTAAATTGCAAATCAATATGAGCACTGATGATTACAGGTATTGCAAGCTTTAGAAGAGTTGGCGGTTAACTACGACCAGAAATCGCAAGAAGTGGACGCTAAGAACAAGGAAATGGAGTCTTTGTCTGAGGAATTGATGGTTAAACAGGTACGGGCTAATTTTGAACGATAAAAAAAAACATCATGGCGTTAATTGGAGTAAAATATTAATATACGGTTCTACACACTTTATCTACCTTGGTCTATATTTTAATGCATGCAACAGAGATAAATATAAATGATCAGTTGACAGACAGAGAGACAAAATAAAAAGGGGCATACAGTGATGCCGTTTTTTCCGTGTGTAAGCAGGAATATGTGTGTCATAGTTTATATTATTTTTCAAAGAAATAAGTTGGGTACAATTGCAGTACAATTGGAACCCAAGTGATTACTTAAAATATTATGAAAAAAAAACTGTATAAAACTGAAAAAATCTAGGTAATTGAGTTATTTTTTATTAAATTACGGTCTGTGTTAATACAAAACAAACATGGGTGTATTTTAAACAAAACACCGACAACATATGTCAAATCTTAATATAACCCTAATTATCAATATAACCTATATACAAATATTTTTTTAGTATTGCAAAATATTTTATTAATAATACTACTTACTGAATTTTATACCTTAAAAATTGATTAATTAACTTCAATCTTAATTTTTTTAAATCAGTATCTTTTGACATTATCTCTCTGCAATACTAAAATCAGTTTTTAGTACCATATACAACATGTTATACAAACTTTATTGGTGGCTTTCTGAGCTCCGAATATTAACTATAAACTGTGCTCTGGATCTACGGTTTTTCTAGAATCTATTTTTTTACAGAATCTGCTTCAGAAAACACAAAACACACGTAATAACACGAACCAAAATGTAAAAACAATATTCGCAAATATTTGACATAATTTGACACAAATTATAACCTATAATTTGGCAAGAGTTTCCTGAGTTTGACAAGCCTCAAAAATCTTAGGTCGAGTTCATATGCATTTGCGTCCATTAATGCTTATTCATCGTTCCGTCACTCTAATAATATTGAAATTTGATCTGTCTTTAATAAACGAATAAAACTGGTTAAAACAACAAGAGACAACGCATATACGACGGATTTATATATAAACCCATCCATAGTTAACTTAAAAAATATTAGAAACTTTTTTAGCGAAATAAATGGATTGGTATGGACGTCATCTGCCTTTTTTCTGTCATTGTGTGTCGAAATTGTACCTGAGTAATAAAACAGTATATATCTTATTCTAGGCATCCCTTAACACAACCACTACTGAACTGCAGCAACTGAAAGATATGAGCAGTCACCAGAAGAAGAGGATTGCCGAAATGCTCAGCAATCTGCTTAAAGAACTAGGAGAAATAGGTAAACTAATGCAAATTGTATATAAATTTTAGAAATCAAACTGATAAGTGTGTTATTTTTGCGCAGGTACGACATTGGGTAGCGAAGGAAGCGAAATTAAAATATCGAACGACTCGGCGAAACTTGAAGAAGAGTTTACCGTGGCCCGCCTTTACATTTCACGAATGAAGAGCGAAGTGACCAACCTAACCCAAAGATTGCAGGACATCGAGAACAAGGAGCAGGACAGCAACAAGAAAGTTACCGAATACGAAAAGGAATTGGGAGAGTGCAGGTTTGTGAAAGATATAAATATTTTCTGTCACCCTGTAAAATTAACAGAGAATTAGTTAGTTTTATACAGTATGTGCCCGGATTGTCTTTACAACAGGAAACACATTTTTTATTATTATCATTTCGAGAAAAACGCATTCCTCATAAAAAATTTTGCTTGTTCTAAAATGGTTAATTCGGTTTATACTTTTCCAAATTTCCATACCTCTATGGTACCATATTAAGGGTAAAGAATATACAAAGAAAAAGAACGGAAACTATCTTACTGAAAAATGGTTCCAAGTAAGAGACGCCATCTATTGTGGGGGGTTGGCATTAAAATACGCGCAATTACGTAATTATACTCTAAACTGTCATTTTAAATACAAGAACACTATTATCTTTTACCCAATTTTGACAATAATTGTAATTTGAAACATTATGTGGTATGTAAAAAATAAGATTTAAAAGTTAAATTTATACATACAAAAAAAAATCGGAGTCAAATATATAAACATCATTTATTATAATAAAACAAGACCAACGTAATGCGCCCAAAGTTTGGATGGAAAAATAAAGACTTGCATTTTATTTTAGAGCCACTTGTTAGAAACTATGGAAACTACAAAAAAAAATATGATTTAGCGCCATCTGGCAATAACTAATAGCAACTACCTAATCTAAAAATAAGTTGCACTCCCATCTAGCGAGCGGGGCTAGAACTATTTTATTTGAAATTTCTGTGGAGTCGCTTTTACTATTTCACTTTAGGCCCCTGATGAAAGGTGTCATCGGAAAGTGTAATACTTTAACAACAGCCAAAAATATGACGTTAATGAAAATTAATAATAATCATCTCATCAAAGAATGAAATCGAAATTATATTACCATAGAAACGCGTTTTGATTTTTAGAGTATTTTCATGTTTTTTTTTTATTTTTTAATATGGATATTTGACAAAGTATAAACGGGAATAACCATTTTAGAACAAGCAGAAAGCATTTTTTTTTAAATGTTAATAATAAAACAGTTTTTCCTCTTGTAAATAATTCCGGGGATATACTACAGCTACGAAAAATATTTTATTATTTTTTTTATTAGGTTGCTGATATCTCAACACGAAGCCCGAATGAAGAGCCTCCAAGAGTCGATGCGAGAGGCCGAAAACAAGAAACGAATGTTGGAAGAGAGCGTGGACGCTCTGAGGGAAGAATGCGCCAAGCTGAAAGCGGCCGAACAAGTGTCCTCGGCCTCTGAGAGCGAGAAAAAGGAGGCCAACGAACTGCGTCTCGCTCTCGAACAGCAAATGGACCAATTGCGAGACGCGCACCAGAAACAGGTGGCCGCCCTTAGAGACGAGATCGCCGAGAAGCAACAGCTCATCAACGACATTAAGGAGTAAGAGTTTGGCTCAACTTTCATTTAGCTAAAATCAGTTATGTACAGGGTGCAAGGATTTAAATTAACTTGATCTAGATCAAGATTTAAATCAACTTATTTTATTTTAATCATGGATTTAAATTAAAGAAAATCGGTCGTATAAATTTACGTCCTAAAATGCTTCGTTTCGGAGGTATAAGGTGTAGAAAATTTATTTTAATTTTGATTTATTCCAAATAATTCTTGAACTAACGTCGATATTTCGATGAAAATTTGCTGCCCAGGATTTTTTTGACATGGGAAATTTGGTTTCAATGTCAATATGACTCCTACTTGGACACAATAGATCTTTAAGGTTGCGGTGATTAACCCCCCATTCGCGCATTCCACATTCACGCATTCACGACTCCTACTTGTACGGGCCCCGCCTACATGTGTTTTAACTGCTGTGAAAATAGTAACTTTTTGTCTGTACCTGTATAAAACTACTGAGTGAAAAAAATATACATTTCCGTAATTTTCTACGTAAAAAATGCTTCTTAGTAAAAATCGCTACAAACAACTGTTCTCAAGATATTTAGGATGGAAATAGTCAATACATGTCATTGACAAAAAATAAACATGTTAAGTAGGTAGTTATTTGACTGAAATAAGTGTTGGGAAAATAAAAAGTTGGGAACTTTTTATTTTTTAACTTAATCATAAATTTTACTTCGAAAAAATTATGCTAAAACAGTTTCTGTTAAAGTTTTGGCCCAAAAACATTTCAAATTTATTATTTCAGTCCAACTATTTAAGCTTGATTTTCATGCATCCGTTGTCCGACGATACTTTGATACGATATTAATTTTATTGGTAGAATTTAAAGACTTTGATTGGTTAGAAAATAACGCAGTTTTTAAATTTATTGCATTTTCATGCCTCCGTTTATCAGATATACGTTGGTGTTATTTTATATTTTCGTTTTCATAACAATTTTGAGATTTTACTTATTAATTTGTCAAAAAAGTGTCAAAACGTCCGTTATCATATGAACGGGTCCGTTGACGGGTTGAAGTAAAATATTTACGGATGAAAAGTGGCGCGCAATCGCTATGACCAATCAGAGCACCGTCGGACCAACGTATCAACGTATAACGGATGCATGAAAATCAAGCAATCAACATGTTCATTTAAGTCAATGATGAGTTATTGATAATTTCGATTCCAAGTATCTCAAGAACTATATTACTCCTAGCGATTTTTACCAAGAGACCTTTTTTTATGTAAAAAACGTCGTAAATGGATATTTTTTACTCGGTAGTTTTATACAGGGACGGACAAACATTTATTACTCTTCAAACCAGTTAAAAATATGTAGGTGGCGCCCTCTACAATTAGGAGTCCTATTAACATCAAAATCCTTTGAATAAGAAGACTAAGGAAGGAGCATGATGCTATCCATGTATTCATGCATGGCGGGCGGAAAAAGGGTGGGGATCTTTGACAGTTCTTTTTGACGATTCATTTGACACATTTGAATTTGATTTGAAATTTTGTGAATTTGTCATTCTTTATGGAGCTTATTTTATGTTGTTTATTATTTATTCTACTACTGATAGTTGTATAAAGGTAGTAAATCTATGTGGAAATTGTAGCAGAACTTAAATTAACAGTGACACTATCGCGATTTATCGAAAAAGACTCTAAAATAGTTGGTTGTGTAGCGTGCTGTAGATCTCGGCAAAAATCGAGTGAAAGAATGGAACAACTTTTCGCTAGTAAGTGACTATATAATATACATACGTGTAGTAAACCGATCATTTATGAAATTCACTTAAATTAACTAAAATATATTTTTTCTTGCATTTTTGCTTTTATTTACTACTTGTCAAAGATTAGATGTCAAAGAATTTAGATACGTCAATTTGACTTACCTGCTTCAGTAGCGTATCGGATGTGTACGGTTATAAATAATTATTATAACTTATGTATTTTTATTAGAATTTTATATTTTTATAACAATTTTAGTAACTACCAACATTTATTCACAACGTAAAATAAAAAAACAAATTATTGAGTCTACCCTACATCATAGTTTTACATTTTTTAAATAAGTTATAATAATTATTTATAACCATAAATATCCGTTACGCTACTGAAGCAGGTAAGTCAAATTAACGTATCTAAATTCTTTGACATCTAATCTTTGACAAGTAATAAATAAAAGCTAAAATGCAAGAAAAATATATAATTTAGTTAATTTAAGTGAATTTCATAAATGATCGGTTTACTACACGTATGTATATTATATAGTCACTTACTAGCAAAAAGTTGTTCCATTATTTCACTCAATTTTTGCCGAGATCTACCGCACGCTACACAACCAACTATTTTAGAGTCTTTTTCGATAAATCGCGATAGTGTCACTGTTAATTTAAGTTTTACCACAATTTCAATCTAGATTTACTACCTTTATACAACTATCAGTAGTAGAATAAATAATAAATAACATAAAATAAGCTCCGTAAAGACTGACAAATCCACAAAATTTCAAATCAAATTCAAATACGTAAAATAAAAAAACAAATTATTGAGTCTACCCCACGTCTACCCTACATCATAGTTTTACATTTTTTAAATAAAATTAGAACGGCACTGATAAACCGGAATTAAAGTCGGCCATATTTGAGGCCCATCGCGGTGGACCTAAGATTTTTGATATGCTCCTTCCTTAGTCTTCTTATTCAAAGTCAAAATCAAATTTCTCATATTAAAAAACTGTCACATGACATCAATTTTCATCCAAATATCGACGTTAGTTCAGAAATTATTTGGAAAAAGTCAGAATATGCCGACGAAGTTTTCCGAATACAATTCGATCCACCCTGTATATTAGAATTTTTGTTTAATTTTTTTATGTAAGTGGTTTCAGCAAAAAAAAATCCACCCTTCCCTATTGATTGGAAAACAAAATAACGTAATTTTTCTTTCTAGTTCAAACCAGAAATTGAGCCTGGCCCAGCAACAGTTGCAGTCTGACTATGAGAAGATCAAGTCGGAGGAGACGGAAAAGTCTCACAAATTGCAGGAATTAATGTCAGTATCGAAACTAACTAAACATTTTGTAAACACTTCCCGCTCCCTGCCAGTCGATTCCAATAAAAAACAGTCTTATTTGCGGGACTCCCCGCCTTGGCACGAATTCTGTATCGAAATGGGAAAGCAATCGGAACATTTCGTGTCCAAAATGGAAAAGGACTCGTCGAATAGTTTGACGCGATCGGAAAATAAACGGCGCCACAGCGTGTACGCCGCCATGTCGATATTTCACATTCACACGTTTCACCTGCACCTCATCGTTTCTCTCACTCTGTTGTTGGTTACGCACAAGTGTCCGCAGTATCTCGTTATTTATTAATATCAAAGGAGGAAATGGTTCGTCTTTTTTTTTCTTGAATAAGATCATTTAAAACATAAAAATTGATATGATTCTAGAGTACTTCTATACAATCTCACAGAAAGCAGTGAAATTATATTTTAGCTGAACCCCAGATGCCATGACAGCACGTAATATGCAAAATCGAATATAATCGGTGAAATGTGTTAAATAGCTAACTCCACTATTCCTAATTTTACAGGAGAGCAAAAAAAACGGTACAAAAAATTAAATATTAAAACTAAAAGAGTTTTGGACTTCCATTGTCTTTATTTATGCAACCAAACCAAATCAAATATCAATGACAATTGATAAAAAGAATATGCAGTAATTTACGAAATGCCGTAATGTCGTCACCTATCTCTTTCATCTGGTTGTCAAGTGATTGAGAGAGTTTGATATTACGTGACTTTGAACGATCGCTGGACGTTCTATACACATGTAGCGAGTATATAGGGTGGTTCACGGCGATGGTACGTTAGTCGTTTATGGAGATACCGGTGATAGAATTTTTTTGAAAATATGGATTTTTACATAAAGGTATCTGCTCCAGCTATCTAAAATATTTTCAGCGTTACAATGTGGCCGCATCATTTGGAAAATGGCATCTTTCTTATTTTAAATGGAACACTCGGTATATTATTACAATTTTGGAAACTACTTTCACATTTTATAATTTTTCTATTATACTAACCCCTATACCAATCTAATAATTTTCGAGATAAAAAATAAAACATTGAATAAGCATTGGTAAAATCATGAATTTGACATATTTTTAAAATTGAAATGTGGTTTATAAGTTAACGAAAGTCGATATATTCGATCTGTCTAAATCAACCAACTGGATGTTACAGTTAGCCCGCGGTTACATTGGACGCGGGTCCGTGCGTTTTTTTAAACGTGCGAGCTCTGACGGAATTTACTCGCACGACTATTTTATTTTAGTGGTTACATTAGATGCGCGTTCATGGTGTCCTGTGTGTCGAGTTTGTCAAAACGGACGCCACTACTTTGATGCTGTTTGAGGATTTAATGTTAAAATAACTACTTATGAACAGAAGAAAGTGATGATTTATATAAGTAAATGATTTATATGCAAGAAAAAGCGAAGAAAATGAATATGTAAAATATTTGATGAATTAAAACAGCAACCGGTGAAATTTTTTGAATATTTTACAATGTTTCCAACAATATTAATATATCTAAAATAAAAATAAACCTGGTATTCAAAAATATTCAAATTTTTTGTGAATGTATTGAGCCCAGAGATATAAAAATTCGAACGCTCGGACGTGCACGTATTAAAAAAACAAACCAGATTGTTTTCATCCTACCAACGGAAATTGACGTACGTGCACGGACGCGCCAACTCCGATGCAATGTAACCCCCTGCGTAGATACCATTTGTTTGTTTTTTGTTGCTTGCACGTACCAAAAAAACGCACGGACACGCATCCAATGTAACCACGGGCTTAACTTGAAAACTATTAGATATTAGTATAGGTTAGTATAATAGATAATAACAATAGCAAGGTACAGCTTGCCATACTAGAACCGTTCGGTATACAAGGAAGGTAATGTGGCTAGCACTACGCTTCAACGGCCTATTATTACCTCAGGATTGTGAATCCCAAATGAAATGCCGGGTGTGGGATTCGACCCACTACATTGAGATTGGTAGACGAGAGCCTGTACCTCTACGCCACTGGGCACCTAGTATAATAGATAAATTATAAAAATGTATGAAAGGAGTTTGGAAAAATATAATAATATACCGGGTGTTCCATTTAAAATCACAAAGATACTACCACTTTTAGTATGAACTGTAACACTGCAATGCTGAAAATAATTTTAACAGATGGAGGGGAGGTGCTTTTATATGAAAATCCAAATTTTTAAACAGATCTTATTACCAGTTCTCCATAAAGAAATAACAATATTAGTTGGGGAACAATAAAATTCAATATTTCGTTCAAAATTTAACGCAAAAATTATGTGTCAACCGTATTATTTAATTAACGTAAAAAATGGAGTTAGCAAGTTAACACGTTTCACTGACGATATTTTTTGACTGTTAATTCGTTAAAATGAGTGAGAAATCAAAACTATATGTGATATACGTTAAATATTTTTTAAGTATTAATTTGATGTATTTTTTTAGTAAAAAAGTCATCAGCAATATGTATAAAGAAAATTCGCGTTCTATTTTTTTGCATGTATATAGTCCGCGTACGGAAATCGATATTTTGTTTGTTTTTATTCCGAAAAAAGCTCTTTTACTTTCTAGTCCGTTTTCCCTTTACACCCTATTTACCCCTTTTTTATTAGTTTATTTTATGTTTTTGTCGCGCCGTCACATCACACGAGCAGCCCGTTCATTTTTTTTCGATTATTTTTACGTAGAATACTAGCATTAAGAAAATGTAAATAAAGTTCAGAATCTTTTTTAAAACGCTCTATTTTAAATGAATTGTTTAGTAAAGTATATTCTGTTCCTAATGAGTTTGTTTAAAAAAGATTCTTTATTTGGACTTGTAAAAAGATGTAATAATACAATAGATAGGAAATTGAAACGTACTTAATTGATATTATATATTTTCGGGGAATTACTTATTATACCTATTTGTAATTATTAATTTTTAACTTACTGATTGGTTAGTAAACTTTTCTCTCTTTTTTTATAATTAAGTACTAGTTAATGTTGAACTGTAAAGATTATTAACCAATCATTATCAGTACAAATATTGTTTAAATTAACCAACTTGACTATGCAAAAAGTTCGAACGATCGAAACAATAATACAAGTATGTGATAGCAACTTTTTCTTATCTATTGACGAAATTGTTGAAGCCGATGCCTTAAAATGTAAAATTTCGATCGTATTGTAGTAGTCGAGTACGTTTTGGGGAAGTAGTATCAGTAATATCGAGAACCGTCGCATGTAAATCGAGATTCGTATAATTTCTGCCGTGTGGTGTGGCTTGGTGTGGACTCGCCTAAATCCGACTCGACTGACCCGAGCCTTATCTCTGCAGAGCGACCAACGAACGGCGTGAACAGGCGCGCAAAGACCTCAAAGGCCTGGAAGACACCGTCGCCAAAGAGCTGCAGACCCTCCACAACTTGCGCAAGCTGTTCGTCCAAGATCTACAGGTACGTGATTGCTCGCGTCCTCCACGGACATACTCTCTAATACCCTCGGATGCAAAAAAACCCAACCGATTTTTTTTTCCTCAAATTTAAAGTAGGCATTATATTTTTTTTATTTTTAATCCTATTTTTTCATTGTATATAAATACCGGGTGCTTCTCTAAAGTGGCTCACCCCTATAACTTTTTTATTTTTTTAGATAAAAAAACGAGATATGGTATGTTAGTATTTGACATAAATTGGAATTGATTGACCTATTCACTTCCTGTTTCACCGGAAATGACTACTACTTTTGGTTTTTAAATGGCACCCCCGGTATATTTTTACTTTATTCGATAGAAAATGATCTGAATAGAATGACGTATCATATGTCAACTTTTGACATTCTCGCTTAATAAAAAATCGTATTTTAAATTTCAATCTAGAGTGACATGGCTATGTTAAAAACACTAATTATTAATCAAGGAGCCTTGGGAAAATAGATTTGATCGCTTAATATTTTTAGTGTCTTGTCCTGGCCCATTAAAAAATGCCTAAATCGTATTTTTAATCATATCTCAATTTTTTCAAATGGAACGAGGGTGGCTTATTAGCATATTTGGAAAAAGCATTTTTTTACGAATAATTTGATACCACACACTTGGTATTTCAAGTCAAAAATTTTCGCTACGAACCTCAAGTTATAATTGTCATATACTAACATACCAAATCTCGTGTTTTTATCTGAAAAAATAAAAAGTTATAGGGGTGAGCCACTTTTGAGACGCATCCGGTATATCTACTTCAATCGAGATAACCTCAGTTTTTTATAGACTTTAGTATTTAGCTTATTATACAGGGTTAATCGAAGGGTTGTTTTATTCTATTTTTTAAACACCCTGAGCAATAATTTCAATGAGCAAATTTTTTTAAAACATTTTTCGATCAGAACCATGTCTTCTGAGCATTTTGTTTTTTGGCTCATGTCAATACATGACTTAGTAATGTAACTGCAAAGATTGAAAATTTTTGGTGGCAAGTTTATTTCACTCTAAAAATTAACAAAGGCACGTGTTGACATGAATCAAAAACAAACCGTAAAATAATGTTTTAGGAAAATTTGTTCATGAATTCATTGCGCAGGATGTTTTAAGGTAAAAACAGCCCTTCGATTAACCCTGTATAATAAGCCAAAAACTAAATTTATAAAAACTTAGTTTACGAATTTAAAGTTGAAATATTCATATACAGTTAGTAAGAAAACCATGAAAATAGGACTAAAAAATACAAATAATATAACATTTTAAATTTGTCAAAAAATATCCTGTTGCGTTTTTTTTTGTATCTGAGTGTATATTCTTATCTCTTTCTCTCTGCAGGCCAGAATGAAGAAGAATATGTCTAACGAGGATAACGAGGAGGACGGCGGTTCGCTGGCGCAGAAACAGAAGATCTCCTTCCTGGAAAACAACCTGGACCAGCTGACCAAGGTGCACAAGCAGCTGGTGCGCGACAACGCTGATCTGAGGTGCGAACTGCCTAAACTGGAGAAGCGTCTCCGGGTGACGATGGAGCGGGTGAAGGCGCTGGAAACGGCCCTGAAGGAGGCCAAAGAGGGGGCAATGCGAGACCGCAAAAGGTACGACCGAAGACATCTAACTAAAAGGGAGACAATGCTCCATTTGTTACAGTCATACATACTTTAACACTTTTATATAAGTTAAAAAAAGATGGGCACATAAGTCAATCTTCTTCATGTCAATCGACGCCAATCTCCTCATCGGAGGTTGGCGTCTATCAATTGGAATTCCTCCCTGTCTTGAGCCAAACGGATAATTGCACTGGCCTCTCCTATATAAAAAACTGTTTCTGGCTGTTTCAATTCTATGTTTGATTTCTTCATCAGGATCCCATTTGTCATTCAGCCAGCAACCCAAATACTTAAATTTTCTTACCCTTTCTATATTTTGATCTTCGACTTTGTATCCTGATATTTTCAATATTTAGTTTGCATAAAAAAATCATAAATTTTGTTTTGTTCATGTTTATTTTAAGACCATGGCTCTGACTAATACTGCTAACTATGTCCACCAGGCACTGCAAATCTTTCTCATTGTTAGCTAGGAGCACCGTAGCGTCAGCATATTGGATGTTATTAATAGGTTTACCATTCACCTTTATTCCCACTACTAAATCTTCCGCCTGGAATATCGATTCAGAGTATAAATTAAACAGAAGTGGCGATAATATACATCCTTGTCTGACGCCTTTAAGAATTTCCCTATCCGTTGTTGACATATTTCCGATTTTTATATAAGCTGACTGATTTCAATATAAGTTTCTAATGATTCTTATGTCTTTGTCATCTAACCCAATCTGTTTATATGCACATAAGTCAATAAACTTCGTATAAATGTAGGTCCTAAACTGCTTAGGTAGTTTAGGAGATAGGTACGGGGTGTAGAAGTTTCATTTTTTTTTTCGAAATAATTTCTGAACTCACCTCGATATTTGGATGAAAGTTGGTGTCTGGGTGTTTTTTGACATGAGAAATTTTGTGTGACCACCGATTTCTGTTGAAAACGATGTTTGATCGGGATAAAATCTGTGCTCCCTAAGGCAGAAACATCGGGTTCTGCTGGTCAATAGGGAAACGATAGTTAACATATCGCTGGTTCTGCCTTAATACCACAGAACTGTAAATAGTTCTGTCTCCTTTAAGTTAGCTGTCTTTGGGTATACGACCGTTGTTCAAAGAGCTGACGGGTATCTAACATGTTTTTTTTTCAACAGATACCAGTACGAAGTGGACCGAATCAAGGAGGCGGTGCGCCAGAAGAACCTGGCTAGGCGCGGACCAGCCGCCACCATCGCAAAGCCTATCCGTTCGGGGCAGCACCACTCGCTAGTCGCGGGGGGCGGTGTGACACGGCCTCAAGGCTCCAACCCGGCGGACGACGCGCAGAAACGCAGATCCATTGTCGTGGGGGGAAAAGGCAAGTAACTGAGGTTGCGTCGAAAGAAAGTCTTAATTATAAATAATAATAATAATATAGAGGAATAAAAAAATAATTTTCTCGATCATAAAGTATTTTTATACTTGGTATGATAACTCATTTTTTTTTTCTTTTTAGATTAAAATATGAAGCGTTACTTAAGTAATACAGGGTGCTCTCACGATTAGAACAAGCGATATAACTAATCTTAATACCAAAAAATATAATGAAGATATTGCTGATACTTTTTCCCTATTAAGGGGGGGATTGGTGGTCCCCTTCCCTAATTGTGCTTACAGCTTAGTTATTTCTAGGAGATAAGGTGCACTTAATTAAAACTAAAGTCACAGTCGATAATAAACTATTAACTATTGCGAAATTATTCTAAAAATAACTTGGTGTTTATTGATTCGGTAATAAATTCGACGAAATTTAACTGGATCGATCTCTGTCTATATAGTAAGGTAATTTTTTTATTTATTTATATATATTTTTTAACGCAAATTGATGAATAAGCAGAGGGTTGTTGGTTAAATTTCGCGACTTTTACCACGTAAAGTATTCCTAACTGTGTAATTTAGCTATTTTAGCGAGTGTCTTCGCTTTCATTGTTCGATAAGTATTAAAAGTTGATATCATTTTATGTTTTGTTACGCACTGAAAAATATATTTTCATTTTAATATACTATATATTTTGTTTACGATATTTACGTCTAAATTCGGCTTTTTTTTAAGCGTAACAGTACGTAAAAATATGTTGAAATACCTAGTGTTTCTCAACAGTGGCTCACCCCTATAACATTTTTATTTTTTCTACTAAAAGAATGAGATTTGGTACGTTAGAATGACATAAATTAGGATTGATTGGCGTATTCAATGGTTTTCGGTCACTTCCTGTTTCACCGGAAATGTCTAGAACTTTTGATTTTTAAATAGCACCCTCGGTATTTTTTTACTTTATTCGATAAAAAATGACACTTTGAATAGAATGACATGTGATATGTCAACTCTTGACATTTTCGCTTAAAAAAATAATCGTATTTTATATTTCAATCTAGAGTGTGGATGTGTTAAAAACACTAATTATTTTTAATCGAGGAGCCTTGGAAATCTGATATTTTTCGTGCCTGAAAAGATGCCCAAACCGAATTTTTAATCATATCTCAATTTTTTCAAATGGGACTACGGTGGCTCATTAGCATATTTCAAAAAAGCATTTTTTTACTGATAATTTGGTACCACACACTTGGTATTTTGAGTCAAATTGTAATTTTGAACCATATGTTACAATTTCACATAAACCATATGCGAAAATGTCAAAAATTGACATATGGTATGTCATTCTTTTCAGAGTGTCATTTTCTGTCGGATAAAGTAAAAAAAATCCGAGGGTGTCATTTAAAAATCAAAAGTTGTGGTCATTTCCGGTGAAACAGGAAGTGAAAGAAAACAATTGAATACGTCAATGAATCCCGATTTATGTCATATACTGACGTACCAAATCTCGTTTTTTTTATCAGAAAAAATAAACAGTTATAGGTGTAAGCCACTTTTGAGAAACACCCGGTATTTTGTGAATGGTACTAATTTTTAAGTAAAACAGTAGCAGTTTTATCAGACTAAGTTGCACATCGATCACTCTATTTATTTCCTTTTTTAATCTGTATAAAATGGAATGCATATTTTGTTTTGAAAATCTCTGTATATTTTTAGTTCCTTAGTTTGTATTATAGAATTATTTCGGTGTAATTGCTTCTTAGTATACGTTTATTTAAAAATTTTAAAAAGAGAGTGCTGGCTTGACCGGCGCAAGTCCCGAGCTACTCTACAAAAAAATATAACTACTATATTTTCCTAGCACCTATTTTACGTGCAATTTAGGGAATAGCGTGATAATATCGAAAATTTTATTTGTTAATTTTTTTCAGAACTAGTTTTACTTAATGTTTTGTTCCTTTATTCCTTGCCCGTTCTCACTGGTGCACTACCATTTTATTATGTTAAATTTCCAAATATAAAATAATTGTAGATAAATTTACTGTGCGAAGTCTATTTCATTTTTATACAGCGGTTAGAGTACGTGTAGTCGATACAATCCAATATATTTTTTAGTGAATGCTTACAGTCGATAACGCAATTTATTTATTTTATTGAAAATTATATTCTAATAAATTCTCAAAAACACAAAAAAACTTGTTTCGATTTACCTAAAATAAAACGCCTGAAATTCCTTACAAATCAAACCATTTATTATTAGTGAAGCTTAGAAGTTAAATTAGTAAAATGCTGGGCTTAGTTATTACGTATACCGAGGGCTTGTTCCAATTCGGCCCTTTTCTGTTGGACTTTAGTGTAGAAATATCTGCACACCGCTTCCTGGGCCCAGGGCTGGTAAAAGAAGTCTGAGCGACGCTCCTCTTCAGGGTTGCCAACCACATCAGTCATGGTCTAAAAAAATAGTATAACTATGTATTACATGTAAAAAACTATTTTTTACGCCCAAGGAAGTATTTTTAACGTGTAAACTATTTTTTACATATAAAAACAACTTAAAAACTACACCTAAAAACTATTTTTTACGCGTAAAAAACTATTTGTTAAATAAGAAAACATTAGATATTATCAACAAGAAAAAGTAACTAGAAATATTACCTTGAGGTCTCTAGTTTGAGAGACAATCCATTTATGAATAAATTGCTGAGGATCTTTGGCAAAGCTCAGGAAAAATTCTCTGTTGGTTTTCAGTTGATTGATTGTATCGACGGTTTCGTGAATTTTCGAATCCAATCCCTGAATCTCTTGCTGGCTAGCAGTGCTCAACAGGAAATTGTTCATCTGGGTCTTTAACGTATCATCAACCTAGAAAATAAAACCATAAAAATTGTTAAGTGGAATATAAGAAAAAAACAGCATTTCTTACTTCAACGTCAATATCGTAACAGGCAGTCTGTTTGCTCTCAGCTCCGCCCTCGACCGAGATCACGTGATTAATTACTATCGGATCTGGTGGGTGCAACAATGGATTTAATCTCTGCGGTATTTCAGCAAATTTCATCTTTGAACAGTTAAAAATCTGTTCCAGATATTTATCACAAACAATATACTCCCTCTCATGTGAATCTTGCAGCCTACAAAAAAAGACAATAAGAAAAATACTTCAGATTAAAAAAATATCAATTACTTATGGGTTTTGATGTATTGCCACAGAGCTGATATAATGACAGGTCTGGTTTGAGTGTGAACGCCCAGCAACCGTGCCAGTCTAGGATCCAATTTAAATTGCAACGGTTGGTAGTCTAGAAGGAGTAGTATGGTACAACGGACATTTTTATCTCCTGGTCGTTTGACTTGAAACCCATCTGTCTCTTGGGTAGTTAAGGTGCGATGCCATTCCACCAGGTGATTATCTGGCCCATATAATTCCTTATCCAATTCTATCACTAGTGATTTAAAGAATGAAGAGAATTTTCTTTTGACCTTATTGGGATCATTCTTGGCATCGTCCAATAATCTTCCTTCGACGCGTAGTTCCCAAGAGGCTACAGATCTAAGAGAGAAATAAATATCAATACAAACATACTCACCGGCATGAAAAACAGGCACGGTAAAATTTTGATGGATATTATATTTTGTTTAGTGGCCCGATTTTGATGATGTTCTAAGAAATTTGTAGCTAAATTATTTAACATTTTAGTATCTCTTTCTAAATTAAAATGAAGGTTCCCATCTGTCAATTATAACGGAAAACAAAATGTTGATATTTTGGTAAAAGTTTGAAACACCCTGTGAAATATGTATGTTAACAAAGGGAGAAATTTAAAACTCATTTGATGATCTAGGTGCATCTTTTCTTGATAGTTTGTTTTTTGGTTCATCTCAATAGTTTTTTTTGTTGGAGATATTCGCTTTTAAAGAATAAAAATTACAACAAAATATTAATGTCTTATATTTTTTTGTAATTTTTATTCTGACGGGAAAAAAGAATGAAAGAAAAAACAAAAATATAATAAAGAAAATTATTACTGATACCGAGTATCACAAATTTTGCTTAAAAAATCATCAAAATCGGTCCGTATCCTATAACTTTTTAATTTTTCAGTTAAAAAAAACAGATTTAGTGTGTTAGTATATGACATAAATTAGGATTGATTGATGTATTCAATTGATTTTGGTCACTTCCTGTTTCACTGGAAATGCCTACAACTTTTGATTTTTAAATGGCACCCTCGGTATTTTTTTACATTATTCGATAGAAAATAACACTCTGAATAGAATGACATATCATATGTCAACTTTTCACATTTCCGCATTTGGTTTATTTGTAATCATAACTGGCGGTTCTTAAAGAAAATTTGACTCAAAATACCAAGTGTGCGGTATCAAATTATTCGTAAAAAAATGTTTTTTCCAAATATACTAATGAGTCACCCTCTTTCCATTTGAAAAAATTGAGATAAAATTAAAAATACGATTTGGGCATTTTCTAACTGGCCAGGATAAGACACTAAAAACGTTAGACGATCCAATCTATTTTTCCAAGGCTCCTTGACTAAGAATTAGTGTTTTTAACATAGTCATGGCCACTTTAGATTGAAATTTAAAATACAATTTTTCAGTAAGCTAGAATGTCAAAAGTTGGCATATATGATATGTCATTCTCTTCAGAATGTCATTTTCTACCGAATAAAATAAGAAAATACTGAGGGTGTCATTTAAAAACCAAAAGTTATAGTAATTTTGGGTGAAACAGGAAGTGACCAAAAACAATTGAATAGGTTAATCAATCCTGATTTATATCATATACTAATGTACCAAGTCTCGTTATTTTATCTCAAAAAATTAAAAAGATATATGGGTGAGCCACTTTCGAGACGCACCCGTTATAAACCTTTAAAACATATCAAATATTAAGATGCACGTTTTTCATGCCAGTGAGTGTATTTATAAAAAGAAGCATTTACAATACATAGGATTTAAATATAAAATACTACTTAAAACGTACATACCCTTCTTGTGCAGATCCATCTGGGCTATCAGGACACGGTTCCTTAGCTGGATAGAATGTGTTGGAAATAAAAATTCTCAATTTTCTTTTTTGTTTCATGGGTCTCTTCAATGCCTCCTGTATATCTAAACGTTTCCGCATTATTGTCGCATCGAGTTTCCTTTCGAAAGCCAACAGATCCATATAAGCCTGACTCTCCGGCACTAAATCACGAACTTTCTGAGGCAGAATTTTGTCCGCCAATTTCTTCTTTTTCTTGCTTGTACTGTGACTGTAATCACTAAACAACGTATTAGTATAGAATTTGTGAAACAAGGCGATAGTTTCTACCTTTTTTGTTGTATGGTGCTACGATTATCAGCCGGTCTCTTTCCTGTGGGCTGGGTGGGAATTTGAGCTCCTCGCATAGGGGAGTATGGTGCTCCGGACGGTCTTTGTATCATGGTTCCGCCACTAGTATTCATATTTGGCGGCGGATTATTATATCCCGCACGTTGCTGCAGGTATATGAATGTTTATAGGAATAGTTAGCACAAAGTACATTTCTTACCGGAAAATTTTGTTGGTTGTATTGGCGCATGCCTGGATTTTGGGGTTGTTGGTACCGTTGTGGAGGAGGTGCACTGGGAACTGGAGCAGCCCCAGGTCCCGGAAATCTCTGAGCCATTCAAACAGTATTTTTAATAAAATTAAAATGACCTTTCAAAAAACGCAAACAACGCTAATATTGACATTGACACAAAGTCAACTATGAAATGTCAAATTATTGTTGCTGTCACTTTCATTGTGTTATCCGTTATGCAACTCACAATACTCCTTGCACATATTTGAATTTTTAAAATAAATAAAATAGCGAACAGGAATAGCGAACGTTATAAACAACACGTATTAGAATATACTTTCAATGATACTGACGCTAATCTAGAAAATTTGAATTCTTATTATTTGATGGTGTTCTATAAAAATTTTCTATTTTTTGGATATACCTGTCGTGTTAAGTCAGCTTAGTTGGATAGATCTTTAAACTAATTAACAAAAAATACTCTCTGTGTACTGTGTAAAATATTTATTGAATAAATTTTAATATATATAATACAAATCAAGGCAAATTAATATTCATTAATCACTATTACAGAAATACAAACAAGTAGAAAATATATTTGGTATGTTAGGAATCACAAAGATAACGTAATTTATTAACTCTTGTTACTTGCTATTAGGTAAATTTATATAAAAATAGTATAAATAAATAATATGGCAGTACAATAATAACAGTTACGCATGTATAATCAGATCTTAGTTTTCATCACACAATAAAGTTAACTTTTCCATCACTTACGCTACCCCTAATAGATTACAATTCATCATGGGCATTCTCTCTGCTACCTAAAAGTTCAGTAACTTGGTTTATAATACTCTTTGTATCTTGTTGATCCAAGGTGAAATATTTATCCGGAGCTAAATACAGCCTAACAGTGGGATAGGCAGTGACGCCCTGATTTCCGCAGAAAAGCCTGTTGCTCTCGCAGTCAATCTTGCCCGATTTGACTTTGCCGTCCAAATGTTGGGCCACCGTCCGAAATTGGGGCTCGAAGTGAACGCAGAACACACACCAGGGAGCGTAGAAATCAACCAGCAAAGGCAGATTAGTCTCATCTATAACCGCTCTTATAAACTTATGTTCATCGAGTGTTTCCACTTTAGAAGGAATAAAACTTAGGGCCCATTGTTTAAAAGCGGGTGCCTTCCTTTCACCATTATATATCCTACAAGATTATGAATTTACTGTATTAGATGTACCAAATACACTCGCAACGGACTTTTTTTCATCAAATTTAATGTATTATACAGGGTGTCCCAATATTCCGTAGACATACTATTTTTTGAATCAAAATAAGGTTCATTGGACACAATTTACCTCTATACAAAAGTGCTTCGTTTATCCCTTACAGGGTATCAAACTTTCAAAAAATAGACACATTTTTTCAGGTATTTTAAGAACCGTTATTCCGATTTGAATGAGATTTTGGGTGTTTAGTCCTTTGCTAAGCGCTTTAACATTTGACCTCCTCAAAAATCAAGAAAAAGTGCGGAAATGGTAAAAACTACCCCCTACATAAATTTTAGTATAAATATTTTCCAACTACGACCGACTTTTTTTCGTAAAATGGTCCTTCTAGTATTTACTACATTTTTGTCTTTTGTAAAAAAAACGATGACGTCCAAAAAATGTTTTTTGTCACATGAATGGAGGCGCATAGAATTTATTGTGCCCTAATAATCTAGTTGGCGAAAATATGGAATTTTATGTATCACGAATTATATTTGACAATAATCTTCATAAAATGCTTAAAAATTAATAAATTAATTAACGTTCGGGTTTATTTTTGATCAATGCCCTCTAAAGGACGAACAAAGCACTTCTGTATAGTGGTAAATTGTGTGCAATTAACTTACTTTGATCCCAAAAATACGTAGTTGAGCTATGTCCACCGAATATTGGAACTCCCTGTATATTTTGTAGGTCTGCTTTGGAAAAATAAATCCTCCAAAATTTTTGTTTTTCAAAAACTGTGCGATGTGGCGTTTTATTACAAGAGATAAAGAATTTAGTAAATACCAGAGGGACCATTTTATGAAAAGAAAATCTGTCGTCGGTGGAGTTATTATGGAAAATATTTATACTAAAATTTATGTAGGAGTGGGGGTAGTTTTCACCCTTCCCGTACTTTTTCTTGATTTTTGTGAAAGTCAAATGTTAAAGCACTTAGCAAAACATAGACACCCAAAATCCAAAATCTCATTCAAATCGGAACAACCGTTCTTAAAATATCTGAAAATATTAGTGATGGGATAACACGAGCGAAAATTCGCTCGAGTACTCGATTATTGAAATAACCGACATCGCTCGATTATAAACGAGCGATGCAAGTGACGAGTACCAAGCGACGAACACAAGCGATCCTAGAATGAAATAAATTGAAATACGATTTTAATGTGGCATACTCGATAAAAAGCCGAGCGAATTTTCTACATACATTGCAGGTAGCAAATTTATAGGACGCCGTATATACCGGGTGCGTCTCAAAAGTGGCTTACCCTTATTACTTTTTTATTTTTTTAGATAAAAAAATGAGATTTGGTATGTTAGTATATGACATAAATTAGGATTGATTGACGTACTCAATTGTTTTCTGTCACTTCCTGTTTTACCGGAAATGACTACAATTTTTGAATTTTAAATGGCACCTTCGGTATTTTTTTTACTTTATTCGATAGAAAATTACATTCTAAATAGAATGACGTATCATAGGTCAACTTTTGACATATTCTCTTAAAAACAAATTGTATTTTAAATTTCAATCTAGACTGCCATGGCTGTGTTAAAAACACTAATTTTTAATCAAGGAGCCTTGGAAAAATAGATTTGATCTTCTAATGTTTTTAGTGTCTTGCCCTGGCCGGTTAAAAGATACCCAAATCGTATTTTTGATCATATCTAATTTTTTTTCAAATGGTACGAGGGTGGCTCATTAGCATATTTCGAAAAAGAATTTTTTACGAATAATTTGATACCACACACTTGGTACTTCGAGTCAAATTGTCGTTATGAACAGCATGTTACAATTTCAAATAAACCATATGCGAAAATGTCAAAAGTTGACATGTGATATGTCATTTTATTCAGAGTGTCATTTTCTACCAAATAAAGTAAAAAAATACCGAGGGTGCGATTTAAAAATCAAAAGTTGTAGTCATTTCCGGTAAAACCTGAAGTGACCGAAAACAATTCAATATGTCAATCAATCCTAATTTATATCATATGCCGTTCATTACCGAAAGAATATGTGCCTTGCGCACGCAGCTTACTGCTTGGCGCTTGGCGTTAACAACATGCGACGGACAAAAACCGTATTTTTAAATACGAGCGATATTTCGCTCGAGTGATCACTCGGTTATTGCAATCGCTTGATACTCGAGTACTCGATTATTGAAATTAATCGTTTTTTCCCATCACTAGAAAATATGTGTTTAATTTTTTGAAATATAACAATTTAAATTTGACGAAAAATTTTCCGTTTGCGTTTTTTTTTGCATCTGAGTGTAATTATTGGAAAAACATACGCTACAGAACTCAATCCCTTGCTGCCCATAGGATACAGCCTCACAGTTGGATATCCAGTTATGTGCTGATTGTTGCAGATTTCCCAGTATGTTTCGCAATTTACCTTTGCAACTATAATCTCTTTGAACTCTGTCACCTATGTTTGTGGGATGTGAAAAATCAAGAACGACTACAATTTCATACAGTGTTCAAATTCGGCTTTCAGAAACGGTAATAGGTACAGAGTAGAGATATGAGTAGGTCCGGAGCAAGCGCCCTACAACATTGTATTTGGCCCCAACTTCAGTCACCCCGTATCTCTTACAGTCTCCTAGATCCCAATGGCGAGAGTCGAATTTGAATCACCCGGTATACTTACTGATTTAGCAAAATTTCTATACTCCAATTCCATCAAGTGACAGGCCCGACACCAGGGAGCAAAATAGTTCACAATCCACAATTCGTCGACGGGTTTGTTGGCCAATTGGCCAAAACTATCGTCATCGATATTCACCACCACCGGCTTTATAACGTCCTGTATAAAGGCCACTATTTCCGCCTCGTTTGGGGGACCCTAAAAAAACAATAAAATACACTAACTGTCACGAAAAACGGGCACCTTAGAAGTTTCATGTAATTTAAAGTTATATACCGAGTGCGTCTCAAAAGTGGCTCACCCCTATAACTTTTTTATTTTTTCAGATACAAAAACGAGATTTGGTATGTTAGTATATGACATAAATTAGGATTGATTGACGTATTCAATTGTTTTTGGTCACTTCCTGTTTCACCGGAAATGACTACAACTTTTATTTTTTAAATGGCACCCTCGGTATTTTTTTACTTTATTCGATAGAAAATGACATTCTGAATAGAATGACATCTCATATGTCAACTTTTGACATTCTCGCTTAATGAAAAACCCTATTTTAAAATTCAATCTAGAGCGTCGTGGATTTATTAAAAACACTAATTTTTAAACAAGGAGCCTTGGAAAAATAGATTTGATCGTCTAATGTTTTTAATGTCTTGTCCTGACCAGTTAGAATATGCACAAATCGTATTTTTAATCATAACTCATTTTTTTCAAATAGTGTGGCTCATTAGCGTATTTCGAAAAAGCATTTTTTTACGAATAATTTGATACCAAACACTTGGTATTTCCAGTCAAATTTTCGTTACGAACCGCCAGTTATAATTTCAAATAAACCATATGCGAAATGTGAAAAGTTGACATATCATATGTCATTCTATTCAGAGTGTCATTTTCTATCTAATAAAGTAAAAAAATCTCCTAGGTGCCATTTAAAAATCAAAAGTTGTAGTCATTTCCGGTGAAACAGGAAGCGACCGACAACAATCGAATACGTCAATCAATGCTATTTTATGTCATATACTAACATACTAAATCTCGTTTTTTTAACTTAGAAAATAAAAAAGTTATAGGGGTGAGCCACTTTTGTGACGCACCCGGTATATTGTGTTCTAGTGGACCGATTTTAATTATTTTTTAAGCAATTTGTAGCCAAATTATTGGGCTTTTTAGTATCACTTTCTAAATTAAAAATAAAAGTTCCTAATCCTAATCTATCAATTATACGAGGGAAAACAAAATGTTGTTATTTTGGTGAAAGTTTGGAACACCCTGTCTAATATGTTAAAAAGGCAAGGTATTTGAAAATTACTTTATCATCTAGGTGCATCTTTTCGCAATAGTTTATTTTTTGATTCGTCGTTTGAAGAAGGCACTGACATTTTTTCGCAATTTTTACATTAAAACCATGCTTTTCATTTTGGTCCTAGTCAACAGACCTATGGAACACCAAAAGAACGTACATGTAAGCAAACGGACTGAAAGAAGAAGATTAAACAAAGCAAATCTTATGTCAGAAGGCCTGCTTCGGGACCACAACTTAACTAGGTCTGTTGACTAGGACCAAAAGCAAAAACACGGTTTTAATGTAAAAATTACGAAAAAATGTTAGTGTCTTCTTCAAAAGCGAATATCTCGAATTAAAATTAGTAATGAGAAATATATTATTTTATTATATAAAGCTATTGAAAAAATGTCGATACTGATGTGGCGGATTCATCTCTCCAAAAAATCCTATACATATATGAGTATTTCGCACTGCAAGAAAATCTATAAAATAAAATAGTTATTTTTTGTAAACACTTCTGGCGTTAAACCCAAACGGAAACTACTTGTCAGCAGTTAGGTTTACAAATATACAAATTTGCCTAACGAACAAAAAAATGCTTTACGTTTCGGAAAGTTTATCTCTTTCCGTCGTCGGAAGCAAAAAAAAAAGTATAAAGAAAAAAACTATTTAAAATAGTTTAATTCAACTATTCGGGAACACTTTAGTTTTTTAAAACAGATAGGTACGTCTACAAAAACCGTGACAGACTGTCAACGGTCGACGGAAAGATAAACTTTCCGAAACGTTAAGCATTTTTTTGTTCGTTGGCAAATTTGTTTATCTGTAAACCGAACTTCTGAGAAGCAGTTTCCGTTTGGGATTAACGCAGAAGTGTTTACAAACAATAACTATTTTATTTTGTAGATTTTCTTGCAGTGGCGAAATACCCATATAGGATTTTTTATAAAGCTATTGAGATGAACCAAAAACAAACTCTCGAGAAAGGATGTACTTAGATGATAAAATTATTTTTAAATTCCTTGCTGTCTTCATAACATATTCCAAAGGGTGAACCAAAAACAAACTCTCGAGAAAGGATGTACTTAGATGATAAAATTATTTTTAAATTCCTTGCTGTCTTCATAACATATTCCAAAGGGTGTTTTTCCCAAACCACAAACCATTCCACAAACTTTCACAAAAATATCAACATTTTGATTTCCCTCGTATAATTGCCAAATGAGAACTGTAATTTTTAATTTAGAAAAAAGACACAAAAAAGTCAAATAATTTAGCTACAAATTGCTTAAAAGATCATCAAAATCGGTCCACTAAAACAAAATATATGAAACATTAAATTACATGAAAATTTTAAGGTGCCCGTTTTTCGTGCCGGCGAGTGTCTTGCACGACCTACAGCACTTACTGAAAACCTGCGAGTAACGCTGTTATTATAAAGTATCATAGACGGATAAGAATTAATTCCCTGCTTGGAGCAAAAACTATTGTGCAAGGTACAGTCGATCATTCCGAACTGGACCGTGTCCGGTTCAAAGTGCTGACTCGCCCTGCGCAACTCGGGGGTGAGTTTTTTGCAGGGAGGACACCAGGGCGCGTACCAATCGATGTACCACGGCGTACCCGCGTCCTTGATATGATCGAAGTCGGAGGGACTTAAAGCGTGTAGGTTGGTGCTTTTGGTGCTGTCCCTGGCAAACGCGGCGATTTCGTGCAGCACGTCTCTGCCCTGGTGGATCTCAAACGCGCCGCCGTCTTTGACCACGGCCCAGGTGGGGTACCTGGTTATGTGCAGGGCTGAGCATAGGGCTGAACTTTTTCCACAATGAATTAAACCTAAAAAACGGCCAGCAGGGTACTTCTTCAGTCACGAAATTATTTCAGATTATAAATACTGTCATTTAAATAAAGTATTTTAATGACCATTTACTAAGTTACTATACCGGGTGTTTCTCAAACGTGGCTCATAACTTTATTTTTTCAGATAAAAAAACAAGTCTTGGTACGTTAATATATGACATAAATCAGGATTGATTGACATATTCAATTGATTTCAATCACTTCCTGTTTGACCGGAAATGACTACAACTTTTTATTTTTAAATGACACTCTTTGTATTTCTTTATTCTATAGAAAATGACACTCTGAATAGAATAACATATCAAATGCCAAGGCTCCTTGACTAAAAATTAGTGTTTTAAACATAGCCATGGCACTCTAGATTGAAATTTAAAATACGATTATATTTTAAGCGAAAATGTCAAAAGTTGATATATGATACGTCATTATATTCAGAGTGTTATTTTCTATCAAGGTGCCCGGTGGCGTAGAGGTACAGGCTCTCGTCTACCAATCTCAAGGTAGTGGGTTCAATTCCCACACCCGGCATTGCATCAGCCGACTATTTTTATTAAAATAAAAATAGTTTGGGTACCTAGGTCGACTCAGCCTTAAGTGAGTACTTGGGGTTCATACAGCCAAATAAAATAAAATAAGAATAAAATAAAATAAGAAATAAGGAATTCTTATTTGTGTGCGTTCATACAGTCAAATAAAATAAAATAAGAAATATATATTTGCTCATGCGCAGTACGATGAGGCTGGATAAAAGTTAACTTTACGATTGTTTATAGTAATTTTACTATTTATAGTATATTTATTTATTCGTTGCCTACTATATTATACATTTTACTTATGTGAAATTATAAAATAAATTAAATCCAAACTGAAAATATTTAAGCGTGCGCAAAGCCGTTTTCACATAAAATAAAACAAGAAGTTAAAAGATAAAGACTTCTTATTTTATTTGTTATTTTATTTGGCTGTATGAACGCATGTACGGTATCCCATATAACCAACTTTCTTATTTTATTTTATTTTATTCTTATTTTATTTTATTTGGCTGTATGAACCCACCATCAGCCTTAAATGAGTATTTGGGATTCACAATCCTGAGGTAATAATAGGCGATTGAAGCGTAGTGCTAGCCACATTACCTTCCTTGTATACCGAACGGCTCTAGTATGGCAAGCTGTACCTTGCTACAAGGCGTTAAACGCTATATACGGGAGCTATTATTATTATTATTATTTTCTATCAAAAATAAAAAAATACCGAGGATGTCATTTAAAAATTAAAAGATGTAGTCCGGTGAAACAGGAAGTGACCGAAAACAATACTTGAATACGTCAATCCATCCTAATTTATGTCATATTACTAACGTTAAAAAAATTATAGGCGCGAATCACTTTTGAGAAACACTCGGTATGCTTGGTGTAATAATTACAAAATAAATACTTTAGAGCATTAGTAATTTTTATGTTTCAGATAATACATTATAGTCTATCCAACGGCGGAAAGATTTCGACAGACGACTTTCAAAAAATAACAGAAAATACTATTTGGCTGTGAATTAAAGTGACAGACACAACTGTCACTCTCAGGGATTTTCCCCTTGGACAAACTTTACAGAAGGTCCCCGGATTGTCTCTACAAGAGGAAAAGGTTTTTTATTCTTGATATTTTGAGAAAAATGCAATCTTCATAAAATTTTTTGCTTGTTCTAAAATGGATATTTATTATCTATTATGGTTAGCCCCGTTTGTAAAGACAATCTGGAGACATACTGTACCTACATGATGTTTTATGCATTTGATTTTGTCATGTAAAATATACCTATATTTATAGTGGGAATTATACTGGGCAATCTCTTCAACTCCAAATCTAATTCCCTGGCAGTGCCCAAATAGAAGCAAATTAACCAGGGCTTTTCAGTACCCAGTCGCAATTTTGTCCTCAAATCCTGAAACATTTTAGATATAGGAAGCATTAGTGACTGAAACTAGCAAAAACATACTTGGAACTGATTTTCGTCTAAACTAGGAGGATGTGGCAGAATATTTAATATCTGATTTAGTATTTGTTTAGAATCGCCATATTCAATCAAGTGACTTTTGGAAGTACCATCAATTATTTGCCAGAAAACTACTGAATAAGTACTATACCATTTATCATTTTTCAAAATATCCTCACATAATCGAATATTTCTGATTATACCAACTGGGAGAAGTCCTTCCTATAATTGTATGCAACTTTTGTCATATAAAGAAGGTATACGATTGTAGATACATGTACCGATCTGGTCATCGAAACCGCGTGGTCTGTATTTTAGTGTACGCGACCGAGATAAATATAAATGACAGGTTGACAGACAGAGAGACAAAATAAAAAGCGGCATAGCGTTGCCAGTTTTTACGTGTGTAGAAAAAAATAAACTATTTTAAAAACTTTCATGTCTACTACTGAAATTAAGATAATATATCTAAGCTAAATACCGTATGTATTGACATACAAAATGACAGCTTCATTTTATAGCCATCGCTGACGCCGTTTTTCTTTCGATCATACGGTAGGTATATTCTGTTACAGAGCTGTAGTAAAACGAGTAGCTAATTGTGAAAAATAAAGTTCCAACCATAGACTTAAAATAAAATATAGACTGAGCATCTCATTCATAAATAGCTGGAACATGCGGTCGGACAATGTCTTGTTATTGTTTTAGGTTATAACGAGTGCGACACGAGCGATAGATAGGTTGTCTCTGTCGTAACGGTCGTTCCCTGACGACTCTGCCGAGAAACACAACACTGTCTTTCGTTTCTCAAGTACACCTGAACTCTCCGTCTCATAGCCGGGTAATTTTTTTATTTTAATGAAGCTATAATTAAATTAAAAATATATCGTATTTAACCTTTTTTATATTTATTTTTTTTTATTAAGATTTAGGACATGTTTTTTAAATAAAAGTTTAGAAAAAACGTCTTAGAGTCCAAAAAGGATAAAAATAATAAAATACACGTTATAGAAGAAATTTTATAATCGAAATTACGTAATTTTTGAAATTAATAATAAATTATTAATTTTAGTGAAACATTTACAACCCCTAATATTAATCAAAACAGGATCTATTCCACAGATATAATAGAATCGGCGACAGGGAGAGAAAAAAAAATATGATTGTTGTAATTTTTTTTCTGGTTAAGTGATGTCTTATTATGTAAATTAGAGAAAACATAAATCTGTTCCATTAAAGCAAGGAAGGTGATAGGAAGGGGATAAAATGAAAACTACATTTATTTAACTCGGTACTGTCTTTATTATACCGGGTGCGTCCCAAAAGTGGCTCAACCCCATAATTTTTTTATATTTTCAAATAAAAAAACAAGATTTAGTATGTTAGTATATGACATAAATTAGGATTGATTGACGCATTCAATTGTTTTTGGTCACTTTCTGTTTCACCGGAAATGACTATAACTTTTAATTTTTAAACGGCACCCTCGGTATATTTCTACTTTATTTGATAGAAAATGACACTCTGAATAGAATGACATATCATATGTCAACTTTTGACACTTTCGCATATGGTTTAATTGTAATTGTAACACGTGGTTCATAACGACAATTTGACTCGAAATACCAAGTGTGTGGTATCAATATATTCATAAAAAAATGCTTTTTCCAAATATGCTAACGAGTCACCCTTGTTCCATTTGAAAAAATTGACATATGTATGATTAAAAATATGATTTGTACATCTTTTAATCGGCCTAGACAAGACACGAAACCCATTAGACGATCAAAACTATTTTTCCAAGGCTCCTTGATTAAAACTTAGTGTTTTTAACAACACCATGGCACCCTGGATTGAAATTTATAATACGATTTGTTTTTAAGCGACAATGTCAAAAGTTGACATATGATATGTCATTCTATTCAGAATTCTATTATCATTTTCTATCGAATAAAGTAGAAATATACCGAGGGTGCCTTTAAAAATCAAAAGATGTAATCATTTCGGTGAAACAGAAAGAGACCAAAAACAATTGAATACGTCAATAAATCCTAATTTATGTCATATACCTACTAACATACAAATCTGTTTTTTTATCTGAAAAAATAAAAAAGTTATAGCGGTGAACCACTTTTGAGACGACCCGGTATATTAAAAAATATTGTCTCATAATGTAATATCATATTAAAATTCTTGTATGTTATTTTAGATTCTGAAGATAATTTTAGAATAAACCGGAATATATTTTTAATAAAAACATTATTAATTATTAACAGGGTTATAATTATGATTTTGTTACAATGTAAGTAAGTAAATAATGTAATATAAGAGAAAAAATTCAGATTTTACATTTTACTAAAATATTATCTAAATAAGCGCCTTTCTACAACAACGCCACTGACTCCCAATGGGTAAATTGAGAGTTGCCTACCGGTCGAAAGTCGTTTCAAGACTTAAATGGATTATTTAAGTCAAATTTTTTGAAAATTTGGCACTGTCGAACCATATTTTATAGTTCTTGAACAGAAAAAGTCAATAAAATAGACACTTAAGGACTACAAGCTAAGAAAATGCGTTAATACAGCCGGGAGATAGCGGCAACAAAGCTTTACCGCACATGTGCGACACGTACTACAAGGTAATAAATGAATGAATAGGCTCCCTCGCCTCTAATCGGTGTTGTCATATTGTAAAGAACTTATCCTTATTAAACAGTATCCCACTTATAATTTAGTAGTATAAGGACTATTTAATACATCTATGGAATATTAAAACCTACTTTATTAAACTGTAGTATTAATATCTCAATATATGTGTATAACAAGAAAAAAAATATTGATAATATTAAAGACGTGACAACATAGGCTGGATGAGGAAGGCTCGGTCGACTGTACCCAGAAGTAAACATGTGTACAAAAAAGGCTGTTTGTCCGCGTTGAGATGTAAATAGTGTAGTCTATATTTTATTTTAAGTCTATGGTTCCAACCCTAGACGCAACCAATACCGCATAGAAGAAATGTATCAATCCAACTTTTGTCTCTTTTTAATACGTTTAATTTTACAATATGCTGTCTACACCACTGTCTTACACGTTAAAATCCAGACCGCGCATGACATGACCAGATCGGTACAGGGTCGGGTCGATTCTCTAATAAGAAAAAACTTAAGAATTTTGTTTAAGTGCAAACCTAAAGTATGTGATGTATTTCAGGAAAATATTTTAACTTTGACAGAGTGGCTCAAAAAAGTGTGAGTAGATCGGGATGATGGCTCAAAAAAGTGTGAGTAGATCGGGATGATTTTTTTAAACCAAACACCCTGCATATTGAAATTAAAAGAATTTCGGACTTCCGTTGTTTTTATTTATTTTGCTTACACAACGTTTCGGTCAGAAGTATCACGGACTGTTATCAAGTTCACACTCGATAACGCATAAGCAAAATAAATAAAAACAATGAAACTCCGAATTTTTTTTAGTTTCAATACTGAATCATTGTCTACCACATAATAACCCTGTATATTAATGCATTTTTGGCTTCCTCTGTGATCACTTTACATAATCCTAAGATATTCTTAAATATGTTGTGAGTGATACTTTCAGAGATTAATAAATAAAAATAATATTTTTTCAGCCTTTTTTTAAATATTAACATTACCAAGAAATGTCCTAAAATAAAATAGAGGCGAATCAAATTATTGATAAAGACTGTAATATCGATTTCTTCTGTGATAATATAAATAGTTTCAAGAATAAAGTAAAGGCGGTGGTTTTGTAGTAATTTATTGTAAAGTTTCTGTTGTGATGAATTTTATTCTAGTTGTAATTATAATTATTGTTGTATGTACATTTAAATGGCTGGTCCGTAAATATATTATTTTATTTTATTTTTTATTTTTATTTCAGGACATTTCTTGTATTTTTATTTAATAGTTTTTTAAAGAAGGCCGAAAAAAATGTTTTTATTTATTTATTAATATCTTTGAAACTATCAAAACATATTTAATAATATCTTAGAATTATGTAAAGTAATCAGAAAGAAAGCCAAAAATGCAGTAACATACAGGGTGTTACATTTAAAAAAATTATCCCAATCCACTCACACTTTTTTGAGTCACCCTGTAGAAGTTAAAATATTCTCTTGAAATACATCCTCGTACATACTTTAGGTTTGCACTTAACAAAATTACTAATTTTTTTATTATAGGAGCTACAGATGCCCGACACACTATTGCCGGATCCTGTATAAGATTCAAGAAAAAATTCCAGAGAGTAAAATTTACCAAAGAGGCAGCCACTTCTTTGATGGTTCCTTTATCTGGACATTTCGCATGTACTGTTGAGCAAAAGAATATAACCCATTCCTTGTTTTTCAACTGATTCCATTTGTCAGGATCAATTTCCTCAATATGAACATTTACCTTTGAGAGGACATAGTTTTTGAGAGCCTCTAAAGTCTTAGGTCCTCTGTATTTTTCTCCATCATATAAATGAGACTGCAATATGAATTAATATTAGCTAATTCATTTATGAAAATAGACAGGATGGTGCGAATCTTTAGCAGCATACCGCTACCAGTAAAATAAGTAAAAAACTTCTTATATCCTAAAATGCTTTGTTTCGAAAATACAGGGTGTAGAAGTTTCATTTTTATATCAATTTTTTCAACATAATTTCTGAAGTTAAAAAATAATGTAAAATTATTTAGTAAATAATTTCTAAACAAAAAAAATCAACATCAAATAAAATAACATCAAATAAAAATCAAAATAAAAATAACATTTCTACGCCCCCTATCTCCAAAAGAAAGCATTTTAGGACATAAGTTTATATGCACTTTTTTTGCCTGCAAAATATGCTGCCCAAGTTTCCCAAATACATTTCTGACCACCCTGTATAATCTATGCTTATTATTACATCTTTTTCATAATACAATAAACTAGGATACGCATCAATACTGAGCTGGTAACATAAAGCATAGTCTTCTTCACAATTTACAGCTGCTATGCGAACAATTCCTTCTAATTCCGTTGCCAATTTTCTCCACATAGGAGCCATTTCATGGCAATGGTGACAACGTGGCGAGTAGAAGTTTACAAACCACACTTGGCTTTGATCCAAAACATTAATCTCTAGAATTATAAAATAATTTAATCATATTATCATCGATAATGTAAGACTGGACTGACCATAATCATTCTTACTCAAAGTAGTTATTAAAGGATCGTCATCATATATTCCAAAATGATCCCTGTAGTATGTATAGCTATGATATTTATTTTTTTGGTTTTTAAACTCCTCATCTCCATACAAGTCATATTGTTTTCTTGTAGTTGGATCTTTTAAGACATCGTAGGCTTTGGCAATTTTGATAAATTTTTGTTCAGCTTCAGGGTCCTCCTTATTTTTATCAGGGTGCATTTTTAAAGCTAGATTTTTAAATGCTTTACGTATTTCTTGAACGGTTGCATCTCTTGGAATATTTAACAGGTTATAATAGTCTGCAGGTTTATCTGCTTGAACTAAGCACCAAAATGCAAAAAGAACACAAACATATATAGAATGTTTCCTAAAAGATGGATTTAAAGTAAGTTCTATGTTTGTAGCTACTTAATGTAAAACAACTTACATATTGAGAATTTTCCAAAATTAACCAGTTCTGTTAATATAGCATTTAACCTAGACTGGAATCTGTTTGAAAGAATGAATAAACCAGAGTAACTTACCTATTGATAGCTCTATAACATAGATCTGATAATAAATACTGGCTCTAACTTGCAGAAATTTAACTAGGACACATTGACGGGAATAAACAGAAAAAAAAGGCTTTCAGCTGTATTTTTATTGCTTTCTCACCTTTTTTTATGTTTCTTTTTTCAGGGAGAGTGCCTCCGTTACTGCCTCCTCCCGTATAGCAGACATAAAAAGCCTGAAATCAGAGTTAAGCAGTTTGGATTTAGAATTGAGTTTTTTTTGATAAGAACCCCAGTGTAAACTGTTGTATAAAATTTATATGTATCTATATCATTTAATTGTTGCCATTGTGATTCATAAAATTTTGTTTTAAATGTTAGTAGCAGTATGTTAGCAGTTCTTTTATTATATTTTTATCATTCTTTTGCCATTTTTGGTACCTTTTCCTTTTATTTCACGCCATAGTTTCCATCATGTTTCCATATAGTTTCACGCCAAAATTAAAACTGGGACATAAAGTAACTAAAATATTTTTTTTTATTTTATATTTCTCTATCTGGAATTGAGGTGCTTGTCAGATATAACACCCTCCGAATTTTGTACTTTTTTTTATATCACTCGAAAGCATACATCGAAATAAGTATTTCAAGCCAAAAAAAAGTGTGGATGATCCATAATTTAATGAAAAAATTAACATATAATTATTGCTACAACAGGCTACTTTCTATGCGAAAACTCCTCCAAATTTTGTCGGCGTTGCCAGATTCATTCATTTCTTCTTGAAAGGTTCATTAAAAAAACACGTGTGCTGGTCGGAAGAAAACTGGCGTTAAGAACAGATTATAAATTATTTTAAAATCAAGAAAAGGCGATCGCCTGAGGAACTGCTCCTACCCATAGCTGATATTTTGCCTACGATATCTGACTATTGATAACTACAAAGTTGCACGAAAGAGTTTTGATTGCGTTGGTTTCAACTTCTTTGGGGGTTAATCTGTTATTTTTTTTATATTTTAATACGAATCTGAGTGCTTTCAATGTCTTGATTTTAAAATAACTTATAATCTGTTCTTCTCGTGACAGCGCTACTGTATAAGGAGGCGACCGGCACGTAAAATCAAGCGAAAGCAATCAGATTCGTATTAAAATAAAAAACAAAACAAAAGATTTACACCCTCACGAAAAGGTTGAAGCCAACGCAATCAAAACTCTTTCGGTTTCAACTCTTTTTTTGTATCATGTAACGTACCGTATGATCGAAAAAAAAACGGCGTCAGCCATGGCTATGAAATGAACATCGCTGTCATTTTATATGTAAAATTATATGAGGAATGTCATCGATCGTCATTTCAAAGCCAACTGGACGCCGTTTTTTTTTCGATCATACGGTATTATGTATCATACAAACAAGAAATAACTTTGGCAACAATGCTTACGCAGCTTACATTCTTAACAACAAATGGTGACAGACGGCTCCGGCGGCAAGTTTGAATCGAAAGAGTAAATCGATCAGGCAAATATTACAAAAGATATCACCAACTCTATTTTTGATTTATGACTTACTAATGCTTCTCAATGATTAATTCTGACCTTTATATTAATAAAAAAATGTATATAATCGTCATATTTTACAATAATTACACGCTTATACAACTTCACCATAACGTAAAAATTCACTTTTAATTTATTTATTTTTCAATAAATTGTGGTTCATCCGCAATTTTTTTTTGCTTAAAATTCTTATTTAAGTGTATGCTTTCGACTGATATATAAATAAATGCCAAATTCGGAGGGTGTTATATCTGACAAGCACCTGGAATTGATAATGAATAAAGAATACTACGGAAGCTGACGGAAGATAGAATATTTTTTTTATTCTTTATCAAAGCCGTGATTTCAAAGTTATGTAGGTTATGGATGGTTATGGAGCAGGGTTCGGAAAACTACATGTTACTTTTAAAAACTACATAAACTACATTACATGTAGTTAATGTAGTTTATGTAGAGGGTGTAGTTTATGTAACGTATGTATGTAACTTTCAAATATCATAGGTTTGAGGTGAGGTTATAATAAGTTGAAGCTTTAAAAACACATAATGTATTTAAGAAAACAGAAGAAATATGGCTTTAAATATAATAGTTACATCATATTATCTCTATTACACCTCATACAAATGAAAATTATTCATAATATCAATACATAGTTTATTAACGTAGTTTTCATGTAGTTAATCAACGAAAAAAGTCGTAGTTTTTGAAGAAAAACTACACGTAGTTAATCAGGTAAATTACGTCTTAATTAACTACTTCCGAACCCTGTTATGGAGTACTAGGCATCATAGATAATATGGACTAGGATATGACTATATGACTAGGATAAAAGCCCATCCCTTATTTATATATGATCCTCCAAGACCACAGATTCTAAGACGTAATTTTATAATTACTACAGATATAAATTGGGGAGAGATATTACAGATATTACCCCCATTACCCCTAAAATAAAAAAGAAGAAAATGACAATCGGTATAATTATAATTGACAATTGGCGGGAATTAGGTATATATTTCTCTTTTCAAAACATGCACGATTTTTAAAAATAAACATTTTCTGTATCAATAGATGAATTCGAGAAACAAATAAAATCATAGCAATGGATAATGTTCTATATGTTCGAGACTTTGTCAACGGTGTGCAGTTGGTTCGTTTCGTGAATAAACCTGTGTGTATGATGGGTAAAGTAAAATCCTTGTAAAATCAGTCTCTCCAAATGGTATGAGTTTTGAAATTCAGTCTGTCGATAATGTAACTGTTAAAGTTAACATTAAAGAACGTATAAATACTTCTTTAACAGACCACTGGTTGGAGGTAAAGCAAGGATACACAGTGATTTCTTGTTAATCAATTTTAAAATATAATTCTAGGTTCGAGATATATCTGCGGGAAAATTGATAGATGCAGACGATTACACCATATTCTCAAACAAAGATTTTGATGCCCAGTCGCATAACTTTTTCTGTTCGTTGCTTTATTCTGTTCCAAATATATATCACACTGGAGGTGCTCAAGATGAGCACAACCAATAAAAGGAGTTGCAGATGTTAAGGTGTACTAAATTGCAAAAAGTACTGAATCTATATTTTTAAGTTCTTCATTATGTATTCTTTCACATGTGATGTGTGTGATTTCTGTATAACAGAAAAACATTTATACAAAAAAATTATATTAACTATTAACCAATAAAATATATTACAAATACATTAAAAATAAAATAATTTTCTTATTTTAGGAATTATCAGTCATTATTTCCTTAGGAGTCCTTATTCAAATAGATCACTACACACGGTGTTGTCAAGGATAACTTTCATTCGTTTAGCTCTACGTATGGCATCCATTTTTATTTGTGGAAGTGACTTTCTCGTAAGCACAATCTCTGAATCATCATCACTTATATAACTTGAACCAACAGATGATGGGGATAGTCTTAAACTTAAATTATCATTGAGAGAGTGATATGAAAGCTCCTCACTTTCATCACAATTTTTTTCTGTGTTTGGTTTTGAAACAGGCTGAATATTTTCATTTGTATTCTCTTCCATTGTGACCTGTTCTAAAGGTGAATTTTTTTCTGTGTTAGGTTTTGAAACCTGTTGAATATTATCATTTGTGTTCTCTTCCACTGTGTTCTGTTCTAAAGTTGGTTGCAATTCTTCATTAGAACCTTCATCATCGGATATTTCCATGACTTCAGCCTGATTTCCTTCAATAATAACAGCTTCAGAACTAAGGTGGGCAGTTGTTCTAAGAACACTGGCTGACTCATCTAAACTAAAGACAAAACTTTTTTGTGAGTCACCCGGTGGGCTGTCTAATACACTCATTTGTTTCATCTTCTGGTATTCAATTTGACTTTCAGCAATAGTTTCTTCGATGGTATTTAACAAGTCAACAATATCTTTATTTCTATTTTCCACTTCAGCAGAATTTTGAGGTGGATGAACCACTTCACCATTGGAAGTGACATTCTCATGATTCTCATCAACGTCTGTGTAGAATCCCTCCATTTTTAGCACCTCGCAAGTATGTAAAAATGTCTTCATAATATCATATGGAATATCAACATCTCCTTTATAAATGCAAGTTAGTAAAAGCTTTATTTCTAAAGCGGTAACGTCTTTTAAAATAACCACAGGATAACTGTTAGGCGGTATTTCGAGGAATATGTCTTCGAAATACTTCGAACAGCCTGCTAGAACGATCTGGTGAGCTTTGAAGAACTTTCCTTCGCTTGTAAGGGTTACATCGCAAAGGATCTGTTTGTTTAGGTAATTTGAAAGGGCGCCTTTAAAACATTCTCCTTGTTTTTTCCATTTTATATTGTACCCTTTACCTGTCATGTTATTATATTGTAGATAGGGACCTCGGTTATTAGCTAGTTATAAGATACTCGACAACTTGATTATGAAAAATAATAGCCTGTAAGATTTAAATTAGTTTTTACACCCCATCATTTCTGTATCATGAATTTGTAAACTTACATATACAAAATACCTACCTACTTATATTTACTTTATTAAAAAAGTTAACTAAAACCTTAATAGAAATACAAAAACATAGTTTGAAATTTGAAATCGTATTTAGGATAGAGGTTAGGTGTTAGTTTTTAGCATGTTTTTAGTTTTTTAGCTGTTTGTAGCTTGGGTTTGTAGCATATACAAAGAATACAAAGTATGATATTGCGCAGGTTGGTCACTACGTCACAGGTGATAAACGGCACCATTGGTCGTTATTAGCTCTGCGCGCCAATTTCAAATTGTCAAACAGATGACATAATAAATGTGAAAATATTTTTTCAAGTGTTGTCCCGTTCTCAGAACTGCGACTGTCGCCAGCGACACGACAAAACAATCAATCAGATTTCTACAAAATTCAAACAGCTGTCAATTTTAAATTTAGTACAGCTCCCATTGGTCGTTTGAAGTGTCGTGTCAATCAGTGTCGCTGTCGACACGACGCAGTGCCTTCTATTAAAAGATCAGCCTACGGGCGAGATTTATGACGTCACGCTAGTTAGATATAACGGATTAATAAATATATTGTAGAATACATGGAAAACATAATTATTCCTCAGATTTTTGGTTTGTATTTTAAAAATAATATAGTTTAAATGAAATATACATAATATACAGTTAATAACTACAACATATATACCTATTTATAGTAATAAATACTTTGGCAAATAAACTATGAACCATACAAATGCAGCAAATGTTTTACAATGTACAAATAATGTATAGGTACATAAGATAATATGGGAAGTTTTACTGGAACCTTGGGTAAGGTAATGTTCTCTTCATATAATTATATAAAAATATGCTAAATTCTTAAATTATTTATATGATTAAATTTTCTTTATATTATTCTTTTTTGTATTATATACAGGATGAGTCAAAACTAGATATTATATTTTTCTTTGCTATTTCAAATGGAACACTTTATTTTATATCATAAATCAACAAATCGTTTATCCAACTTATGTTTTGTTAAGATCTATATCCCAAATTAATAGTTATTGAATTGTTCTCAATAATTGTTTCTTTGAGAATAAACATGATATGTTTTTCGCAATTTTTATTAGTAGGTTTGTCGTTAAAAGTGATGTATCTACAGATTTATCAGCGACAAAAATTAAGAATTAGATGCCTAAAATAATTTCCTAATTATTTTTTTACTTGGCGTATCAGTAAATATTATTTATTTTATAGCTGCAGCTGAAAATAATTATGTATTCTAAAAGAGGACATTACTGTGTATAAATACGATTATTTGGATTTAAAAATTATTTTTCAAAACAAAGTTGGAAAAAACTACGTTTATGTCATAAAATGTGGAGTTCTCTTTGAAATAATCGAGAAAAACCCAACATCTAGTTTTGACGCCACCAGTATATATCATGCATTATAGTTGATTATACTGCAATTTATTATACATACGTAGTTTTGTTTGGTGAAAATGAAACTTTCTAAAAGTATTCCCAATTAAAACATATTAAGAATTTCCTACATTATAATTTTGAAAGACGTTTGAGTGGGCAGACAATTTGGTCTAAAATAATCATATGTCTAAAAAATTTAGTCTAAAATAATCAAAAACCACTTAACACATATAACTCGCTTTTAAAAAATCTAAAAGAAATAAGTTTGTTTATTATATTCATATTTTATTAAATTATTATAGGTGTGACTGCTAAGTGGTCGTACTCGCCACTTTAACCAAGCATTGGTGGGACCTTCAGAGATCATAATGCGAATTTCTTCATACCATGTAAATCTATATACATGTATTAATAAATGCGTTTGCTTTATTAAATTTTTTTTCTTATACGGTATGAGCGAAAAAAAACGGCGTCTATTTGTTTACGTACAAATGACATCGATATTCATTTCCAAACCACCTCTGAGGCCGTTTTTTTTTATCGTATGGTATATATTTACATATCCCTTATCCTTTAATTCCGATTTATTTCTAATAATTATAAAAATAAGATACCTGATTAATTCTTCCGAAATATTATAAAATGAGATATCACGAAAGAAATAAAGTTAATTATCTCGTTTGTTTTGGGAATTCCAAAAAAATAAAAAAAAGGGTATAGAGAATCTTTAGAGACACAGTTCAAATGTTATTTTTGAGTATACTGGTTGCTTCAAAAAATGTGGCGGATACATGTTTTTTAATGCAAAACTCCATTTTTATTTTATTTTCGATTCTGCCTAAAATTCTATAACTTTTTTTTATAAATAACGTTAGTAAGTATTTACAATTTAAAAAAAAAGTAAAATTTTATTCCTATGTTACTTAACTGTCAGTTGTTTCCGAAGTTGGACTACACAAATTTGGTAGGAGTGTTTTACAGAGATGAAAAAAAAATATATTTATATGTAAAAATACTTGCAGTTAGATGCTACACTGTGTTCAAACATTTTTTTTGGCTGATCCGATATATATATTATTATTTTTTCTAGTGATTTTACAAAACCTTTCAACATTTGTTAAGAAAGTATATTAAGTACACCTATACTCAACAGCTTGCAATCTGTTCTGAATTTTATCCTTCTTTTAATTCATTTACATTATAACAAGTTGCCATATGACAAAACAAAAATTATTTATTATTAAACATTAAGTAAAGTGATTTATTTAGTTATATGACATTCTTAATAGAAGTTGAAGGATTTTGTAAAATCTATCAGAAAGAATTATAATATATCGGGTGTTTTTCAAAAGTAGCTTGATTGATGTATTCAATTAGTTTCGGTCATTTCTTGTTTCACCGGAAATGACTACAACTTTTGGTTTTTAAATGGTACCGTCGGTATTTTTTTACTTTATTTTGCAGAATATGGCATTCTCAATAGAATAATTCAATGTCAACTTTTGACTCTTTTACTTAAAAAATAGTATTTTAAAGTTCAATCTAGTAGAGTGCCATGATAATAAACAACATGTAACCGGTCGTAAAGATAACGACAGTTTGACTCGACATACGGAGTGTGTGGTACCAAATTATTTACCAAAATTAGGTACCAAAATTTATTAGGTATCAAAAAATGCTTTTCCAAATATGCTAATGAGCCACTCTCGTTTCATTAAAAAAAATTGAGTTATGATTAAAATACGAAATGGGCATATTTCAACTGACCAGGAAAAGACACAAAAAATATTAGACGACCAAATCAATTTTTCCAAAGCTCCTTGATTAATCCTTGATTAAAAAATAATGGTTTTAACACAGCCATGACACTAGATTGAATTTTAAAATGCTATTTTTGATTTAATTGAAAATGTCAAAAGTTGACATATGATTGTTGATGTCAAAAGTTGTCATTCTATTCAGAATGTCATTTTCTATCAAATAAAGTACCGTATGATCGAATAAAAACGGCGTCAGCAATGGCTATGAAATGAAAAGCGCTGTCATTTTATATGTAAATTTATATGAGAAATGTCATCGATGTTCATTTCATAGCCATCGCTGACGCCGTTTTTATTCGATCTTACGGTATAAAAAATACCGAGGGTACCATTTAAAAATCAAATGTATACATTTCCGGTGAAACAGGAAGTGACCGAAACTAACTGAATACGAATCAATCTCGATTTATGTCATATACCTACTAACATTCCCAATTTAGTTTTTTTCTCGGAATCTGAAAAAATAAAAAAGTTATAGAGGTGAACCACTTTAAAAAAAAACACTCAGTATAGGCTGTGTCATTGAAAGAGTCTGCAGATATTTTTTTAATTTTAAATACGTAGAATTAACCATTAATATATGTTGAACACCCTGTAGCATCTGCCTTAAATATCTACATAGTATCTAATATTTTTTCTTCATCAACAAATTGAAATATTAGAAAACTAGTTTTAGGTTACACCATTATACAAGGATTATACATAAAAAAGTAATAATTTTACGCAGGATCTAAAATAGGATGTTACATTTAAAAAAAACATTATGTTAAATCCGTCATACTTTTTACAAAGTTACAGAGGTAGGTAGGTATAGTTTCATATTATATTCTTTAATTATCCATCTAAAAATAAAATATTTATATACCTAATATAATACTTTAGTATCCAACAAGTGGCTATGAAAATCAAAATAAATATAAATCCATGTCCAAAAATAAAAAATGTAAATAACGCTTTGAGGTATAAATTCGGTTCGAATCAGATAAGATATTTTTATTCTTTACCGAGAATTAAATTCGAAGAATTCCTAGTCCCTACTTCTTTGCCAAATTCAATAGTCTCCGCCCCTTTTTACGTTTTAATTTCTGCCACCAGTTGCATCGACTTATACAGGCACATTGACTAACTATTAATATATAAACAAGGGTAGTATCCTTGTATATTTTTTTTCCTATTTTTGGCCACTTGTCTATTACGACATTCAATAGCTTATTTCTAATATTTACAATTAGCGTTTAAAGTGGACAAATACCAGGCTCACACACATTTAACACCCATGTCCGAGGCCGGAATCGAACCGGCGACCTTGCGTCTACTAGAATGCGGCGCAATCATTTCGACCACAAGGCCGACTATCCTTGTATATGAAGTAGTATATTAGTTTAATGGCCACAGCTGCCAGGGCTATCCGGCCGGATGGTCTTTGATTCATCTTTTCAACACTTTATTATCTACAATCTGCTACAACTATATTAATATATGATCTTTTCTTTGTATCATGATCAGGATATCTGGTAGTATGTTCTGTGATATCTAGATATGATCTAGCCTAGATATTTAGAACATTTTAGATATCTGCTATCTGCTATACAGGGTGTCGCAGAAATAAGTTCAGGGTGCAGCCACACTATCCTAGAAACGGCGTATCGGCGTAACGGCGTAACGACCTTGAATCGATTTCCAGTAATTCTATTGGCTGAAATTTTTGACAGATGAATTTGACAGATAAAATTTCTGACAGATGAATGTTTCAGCCAATAGAATTACTGGAAATCTATTCAAATCATTATAGACCGCCGACCTCAATCCACGTCGTTTTAGGATAGTGTGAAACACTATCAGTATACAACCACGCCTATCCTAAAAACGGCGTATCGGCGTAACGGCGTAATGACAGCGAATAGATTTCCAGTGAATTCTGTTGGCTGAAACATTCATCTGTCAGAAATTTTATCTGTCAAATTCATCTGTCGAAATTTCAGCCAATACAGAAATTTACTGAAATCGATCAGGTCATTACCTACGATACCTGCACGCCATTCAGGATATTTCTCCCTCAAATAGTTCAGAAATTATTTTAAAGGGGTCAGAGGCGCAACTAGTGGGGGGGCTTGATTACGTTATGCTCTCATGATATGATACAATTTTAATTACTTATTCTTTATTCTTTGATTCATCTTTTCAACCCTTTATTATCTACAAAATCTGCTACAACTATATTATATGATCTTTTCTTTGTATCATGATCATGATATCTGGTAGTCATATCTGGTATGATATCTGGTAGTATGTTCTGTGATATCTAGATATGATCTAGCCTAGATATTTAGAACATTTTAGATATCAATACAGGGTGTCGCAGAAATAAGTTCAAGGGTACCAGTTCAAGTATTTTAAGGGGTGGTGGTAGATCTCGATAAAAGAAACATATTTTCTCTTTATCGTTTTTCAAATAAGTCTAAAATAACGGAATTATTTTACTTTGAAAATTTTCAAAAAAAAATGATTTTTTGCTAAAGTTTTCAGTAAGGTTTTGAGAACCACTACCCCACTTGATCTTTTTTGGATTTTCTTTCTTGTAAATCTAATCTATTACCTATGTTGCCATATTATCAAGAAATTATATCTTTTAACTAAAAACTAAAATAATTTCCAGAAAATTTTGCAAAAAATTTCGAATTTTAAAAAAAAAAATTTCGCGAAAAAAAACTCAGGCGTGTTTCTGGGGTAGAACATGGGTAGAACCATGGTAGAACCAAAGTAGAACTATACTATAATACCAGTTAAAATAATACTTGCACTTATTTCTGGGACACCCTGTATATTTTATTTTGTTATGATTTTGTAGAACGTGTAGAATATAGAATTCATGTAGAATTGAGGTTAAAAGATAGTAGACAAGAGTAGATCAAAGTCTATCAACAACAAAAACCTGTGATTTATTTAGAAGGGGTAATATATACTCGCCTGAATCATTACTTTTTAATCTTTAAGGATAAGCGGTATTGTTATAGTCCAAAATCCAAAAATATGTTGTTTTTTGGCAAATCATGACATAACAATATATAAAAATTTTATGTTTGCTTCAATACATAGTTTTCTATAAACAAACGAGAAATAGGCGTTGAATTGAGCATTAATTATTTTATTTTGCAATTCAATTTTTTATAATAGGATTAGGATGACTGTTTTTAGATCGGCGATCAAATTTTGTTTTCAACCCTGCCGTAAACTGTCTAGCAAAAAGTTGTTCAGGGAAGTTGCCATACCTGTCCCTTGGGGCGAAATTAGAGGCAAATGGTGGGGCCCGACCGACAAAAGACCAATATTGACTCTACACGGCTGGCAGGTAAATTAATTAAAAAAAAAATTATGTAATTTATTTCAATTGTTGTGCAACGGTTGGAAACAACTTTTCACATTTCACTCAATGGCGAATGCGCCGGACAACTATATTTTTTATTTTTTTACTATTAACTTATTTCAATACTGAAAAACTATTATTTTCTTTTAGGATAACTGTGGTTCCTTCGATAGATTAATACCTCTATTAAATAACGACGTTGGATACCTAACAGTAGATTTGCCAGGCCATGGTTATTCATCGAGATTGCCCGTGGGCATTCCACTTATCACCTCACTGAATATCTATCAGCCGTGGGTACATAAAAAGACACCTGGGATGGCCCCATCTCCTCCTAATGGGCCACTCCATGGGAGACCATCACCTGTTTCACCTACACCATGATGTATCGGACGAGGGTCGATTTTTTAATATGCATCGATGGAGCTAAACCCTTGTACACCCAGAGTTGAGAAAATCGCTTATCAAATCGTTCGACACTTTTATGAAAACTCCGATTTGGTTATAGAAATAGGAACCGCCCGGATTATACGATAGAAGAATGAAAAATGAGTGCACAAGCCAAAATCACGGATCGGTCGATGTTGAAGTTGCGCGCATTATCTGATGGAAAGAAATATGGCTCCTTCTAAAAATTCAGCCTGGGAAAATACTATTTCACCAGAATCCGCGTCCTGAAGGCGGAAATATTTACGTTTATTACACAGGAGAGACACTATACATGGTGCAATGGAATTAAATGCCCAGTTTTATGGGAAAAGCGAAAAATGCGCTCTATTTCGATCAAAGGAACATTTCTACGAAGGTATTTGGATGTTCTGAACGACACGTGCCGATTGTGTGAATATCATTACGTTGAGGGTACCCATCATGTTCATTTAAACAATCCTGAAACTCAATTGGTCAGTTTAATAGATGATTTTATTAGAAAACGTTATTTAGGCGATAGGAGTGTCGGTGGAATAAAAGGGATATTATTGTCGACCTTGAAAGAACTGTGATAAATAGCAAAATCTTACTATAAATTAATATAATTTTTACTATTAAAAATTTCCCTATATGATTAATAACAAAAAAAGAACACATAATTTTTAAATTTGTTTGGATGATATTGACCTTTGATATTAATTTTTTATTATTACAATAAAGTCAGTATATCAAATCTCTGAAAACTTATATACAAGCACTTCCCTCATACATATTATTTCTTTTTTTTGTATTCAACATTCAATAATTATTAAATAAATAAACCTTATATTTGTCTCTTTTATTCCTTTATAACAAAAAATCTTTAAAATTTGAAAAATGTAATTTTCTGTGAGAAAAAATAAAAAGTACCAATACAGGCGCTAAGAATAATTCGTTTTTTTCAACAAAAAAATGAAAATTTTCCAATATACAGACAGCATATTCTGCAGATAAAAATAAGTAAAAAAGTTCGTATAGGTGTATGTCATAAAATGCTTAGTTTCGGAGATACAGGGTGTAGAAGTTTCATTTTTATTACATTTTTTTCCAAATAATTTAGTAAGTATGTATAGTAATGTCAATATTTGAATGAAAATTATTGGTATCTGGGAAAATTATTGGTATATAATTGGTATCTATCACACTATTTTGACATAAGAATTTGTTTTGATGTCAATATGACTCCTACTTGTAGAGGGTATCTATATATTTTTAATTGGTTTGAAGAGTAATAACTTTTCGTCCGTACCTGTATAAAACTACTGAGCAAAAAAATATGTCTCTTGGTAAAAATCGCTTTCCGGAATAATTGTAATTATCAGGGAAGTAATAACAAAGATCTATTAAGAAAAAATATTTAAGTTGTCCTAAAAATTAAAAAGAAAATTATGTAAAAAATTCTTTTTTGATTAAATTAAATTAATCAATTCTTTGTGAAAATATAATTCTGACATTTTTTTTTATTAAAATAAAAAGACCTTTATATAGATATACTAGAAAATACCTTTTATATTCGCGTAAACAACCTCAATAAAGAGATAGTTTTATGGAAATTATTGTTCGCTCTAATTTATTATAGGTATGTATGTAACTAATTATTGCATTTTTGTATATTTACATAGATGTAACTCTTTTGCTACATGCTGAAACTGAAATATCTATCAATTGATAGTACTGTAATAAATATAGGTACCTATACCGTTAATAGAGTTTGGTTAATACTTACATTCTTACATATAACATAACACATTAAATATCATTCAATTTCTTCTGTAAAAGGCAAATACGTAAATATAAATTAAATGCGAAATGAAATAAAAAATTATACTTGCCCCACGTAAACTCAGAGATTATAAGGTCAAATTTTGGGGAATTTTTTTAAACGGTTTTATTTAAATAGTTTACTTCTAAGAATAGAAGTATATTACATTTTTTTTAGTAGAAATTATCAAAGTTTGTTAAGGGTCAGTGACTAATAAAGTCGCTCCTTATTTTTTATGAAAGCTATACAGGGTGATTCACGGCCATGGTACGTTAAACGTTTATGGAGGACCGGTGGTAGGATTTGTTTGAAAATTTAGATTTTTGCATAAAGAAAGGCAGTGTATAATAAATTATTGTTAGCGTTAAGTGTTGCCGTTTCATACTGAAAGTGGTAGCATCTTTGTTATTTTAAATGGAACACCTGGTATATATTATTACATTTTTTGAAACTACTTTTATATCTCATAATTTTTCTACTATACGTCATTTAAAATATTCTCATTCTATAATAATTGTTTCCTTTAAAGAAAATCGTTACCATGACAAATATTCAGACTTATATATGTACAGTACGTCTGTCCGTTCTGTAGCTACGGGGTATCCGTGAGAGGGGAAACTATATTCTCTCGATGTTTTCGTAAAAAATTAGACGACGCGTCCCATCAATGTTCAAACAAATTTCCAAGTAGCCAATAAAATGAGTGGGCGGAGCGATTAGCGGTGACGTACTCGTCAAGTCATTTTTTACTATTAACTTATTTCAATACTGAAAAACTATTATTTTCTTTTAGGATAACTGTGGTTCCTTCGATAGATTAATACCTCTATTAAATAACGACGTTGGATACCTAACAGTAGATTTGCCAGGCCATGGTTATTCATCGAGATTGCCCGTAGGCATTCCATATCACCTCACTGAATATCTATCAACCATTAGGTACATAAAAAGACACCTGGGATGGCCCCATCTCACTCTAATGGGCCACTCCATGGGAGCCATCACCTGTTTCACCTACACCATGATGTATCCGGACGAGGTCGATTTTTTAATATGCATCGATGGAGCTAAACCACTTGTACCCAAGTTGAGAAAAAATCGCTTATCTAAATCGTTCGACACTTTTATGAAAAACTCCGATTTGGTTATAGAAAATAGGGAACCGCCCAGTTATACGATAGAAGAAATGAAAAAAATAGTGCACAAGCCAAATCACGGATCGGTCGATGTTGAAGTTGCGCATTATCTGATGGAAAGAAATATGGCTCCTTCTAAAATTCAGCCTGGAAAATACTATTTCACCAGAGATCCGCGTCTGAAGGCGGAAATATTTACGTTTATTACACAGGAGGAGACACTATACATGGTGCAATCGATGAAATGCCCAGTTTTTATAGGAAAAGCGAAAAATGCGCTCTATTTCGATCAAAAGGAACATTTCTACGAAATGTTGGATGTTCTGAAACGACACGTGCCCGATTGTGAATATCATTACGTTGAGGGTACCCATCATGTTCATTTAAACAATCCTGAAACTCAATTGGTCAGTTTAATAGATGATTTTATTAGAAAACGTTATTTAGGCGATAGGAGTGTCGGTGGAATAAAAGAGGATATTATTGTCGACGAAAGAACTGTGATAAATAGCAAAATCTTACTATAAATTAATATAATTTTTACTATTAAAAATTTCCCTATATGATTAATAACAAAAAAAGAACACATAATTTTTAAATTTGTTTGGATGATATTGACCTTTGATATTAATTTTTTATTATTACAATAAAGTCAGTATATCAAATCTCTGAAAAATTATATACAAGCACTTCCCTCATACATATTATTTCTTTTTTTTTTGTATTAAAACATTCAATAATTATTAAATAAATAAACCTTATATTTGTCTCTTTTATTCCTTTATAATAAAAAATCTTTAAAATTTGAAAAATGTAATTTTCTGTGAGAAAAAATAAAAAGTACCAACACAGGCGCTAAGAATAATTCGTTTTTTCAACAAAAAAATGAAAATTTTCCAATATACAGACAGCATATTCTGCAGATAAAAATAAGTAAAAAAGTTCGTATAGGTGTATGTCATAAAATGCTTAGTTTCGGAGATACAGGGTGTAGAAGTTTCATTTTTATTACATTTTTTCCAAATAATTTAGTAAGTATGTATAGTAATGTCAATATTTGAATGAAAATTATTGGTATCGGAAAATTATTGGTATCTGTCACACTATTTTGACATAAGAATTTGTTTTGATGTCAATATGACTCCTACTTGTAGAGGGCGCCATCTACATATTTTTAATTGGTTTGAAGAGTAATAACTTTTCGTCCGTACCTGTATAAAACTACTGAGTAAAAAAATATGTCTCTTGGTAAAAATCGCTTTCCGGAATAATTGTAATTATCAGGGAAGTAATAACAAAGATCTATTAAGAAAAAATATTTAAGTTGTCCTAAAAATTAAAAAGAAAATTATGTAAAAAATTCTTTTTTGAATTAAATTAAATTAATCGAATTCTTTGTGAAAAATATAAATTTCTGACATTTTTTTTTATTAAAATAAAAAGACCTTTATATAGATATACTAGAAAATACCTTTTATATTCGCGTAAACAACCTCAATAAAGAGATAGTTTTATGGAAATTATTGTTCGCTCTAATTTATTATAGGTATGTATGTAACTAATTATTGCATTTTTGTATATTTACATAGATGTAATTCTTTTGCTACATGCTGAAACTGAAATATCTATCAATTGATAGTACTGTAATAAATATAGGTACCTATACCGTTAATAGAGTTTGGTTAATACTTATTCGACAAATTTGCAAGTAGCCAATAAAATGAGTGGGCGGAGCGATTAGCGGTACGTACTCGTCAAGTCGACGTATAAAATATATTTCTGTATATTTAAATGTTTTTTGTCCGCATTCCTTTCATAGACACAGATCCAGCAGATGTACTGTATCAATAATTAGATAATAAAATTATATAAGAGTTTCTTGCCTTGAACTGCTAATATAGAAATTAATTCCACGCTGTCTTCGACACAATGTGGATCAACCTGCTCTCACTACCGGTTTCGGGGCCCTACCCCATCATCAGGTGAGCTTGGGTCGTTTCCACAATATGTCGAGACGACTTGTCGTAAAGTAGCGGTAAGATATTAAGTCCCGCATCGCGATTTTTTCATTATATATAATTAGATAATTAGACTTTACTTGCTAAATTTCTAATATGGTCATAAGGATAAAACTTTCACAGGACATTGGTGCCAACTACAGAACACTTCTGTATAAGTTTTATAGACAAGGGTCATAATAACCAAATTTTTGAAATGAAACTATAATAATAGAATGATTCATTTTTAAACAGCTATACTTAAAAAGATTTAGGTATAGGAACATGATATATCGTTGAAAAGCAATTCTATTAGTCTTACTAAAGTATACATATAGAGTTAAATTTCAAATGACAAAGATTCGGGCAATCTACCAATGCTTATTCAAGATCATGTTTTTGTCAATTTTACACATATTATATTTTGTTTTATAGGTTGGTATAATAGAAAAATTATGAGATATTATGAATAAAGTAGTTTCCAAAAATGTAATAATATACTGGGTGTTCCATTTAAAATAACAAAGATTCTATCACTTTTTAAACGATATGACAACGCTGTAACGCTGATAATATTTTAGATAGATGTAGATGGTAGGTATACCTTTATGGAAAAATCCAAATTTTCAAAAAAATCCTATTACCGGTTCTTCATAAACGTCTAACGTGCCATCGCCGTAAATCGCCCTATACAGGGTGGCGCACCTCTTTCGCCTCGGTTGATTATACGAAAACGGAAAGATGTAGAAACAAACTATTTTATGGATATATGTGGGAAGGCAATGTGCATAATTTAAAATTATTTTGAAGTGTACAGGGTGTGTCAGAACTAAGATCAATATTAAAGTTATATTTTTTCTTATGGAACACCCGGTATTTTATTTCATTTTTGGATTCTTGGACATAAAATAAGGCATTTATTGTAAGGGTTTGATATGTCTAAAAGCTTTGGTTTTTGAGATATTTAAAGATATTTAAATATGCATGCTATAACAAAAAGGTTTGTCAACACCTTGTACATTACTTTTGAGAATTAATTCTGGTGCTGACTTTCAAGCCAGAGAAATAAACTTAACTAAAAAATTTGATTGTTTCCTTAAATGTATACAGGGGTATTAAAAATTACTGGTCTATTTTAACTATTTATTTAAAAAACTTCGTTATTTTAAATGCAACACTATGTATTTTTTTAAATAAGTCGAAGCAGATTTAAATGCTCTTTCAAACTATATTAGGGTTTCCTATACCTATCTGGCTCAGATTTTGAATAAAAAGCGAATTTTCAATAAAATTGTAATCAAGATGGCTGGTGTCGCTATGGCAATTTTCTAGTGACACTTAGTAGCTATTTTAAAATCGACATTAGTTTATGGAGTTTATTTAAATTTATAACAGGTTATTTTTATTTAATTTACCTACAATAATATTAATAAGTAAGTATTTATTATTTTATCAAGGAAAATGAAGCAGTATCTGCTGGCGGAAGGAATGCATATGTTACTAGTGATTTTATTTTGTGAGGACAATTGCTTGTTGGCCTGAAGGGTTTATGCTCAACAATATATCCAAATAAGAATCTTCCTGATAAGCGTTCCTTTGAAAAACTACATACATTTCCTATTTCGCAGAGCTGATGAAAAACCTATTAGGCAGAAACCTGTCGTTGAAAGTGAAGAAAATGAATTTGCCTTAATTGGTTCTTTTATAGAAAATCCAATATATCTACAAGTTATCGTAATATAAATCAAAGAACTACTTCTTTATTTTTCTTGACAAAATAATAAATGCTTGCTTATTAAACTGTTGTAGGTAAATTGAATAAAAAGTAAACTGTTATAAATTTAAATAAAGTCCATAAACTAATGTCGATTTTGAAAATAGCTACTAAGTGTTGAAATAACGAAGTTTTTATGTAAACTAAATAGTTAAAATAGACCAGCAATTTTTGATACCTGTGTATACATTTATGGCGGCAATCAAATTTTTTAGTAAAGTTTATTTCTCTGTCTTGAAAGTCAGCACCAGAATTAATTCTGAAAAGTAATGTACAAGGTGTTGACAAACCTTTTTATTATAGCATGCATATTTAAATATCTTTAAATAATATATCTCAAAAACCAAAGCTTTTAGACATATTAAACCCTTATAATAAATGCCTTATTTTATGTCCAAGACTCCAAGAATGAAATAAAATACCGGGTGTTCCATAAGAAAAAATATAACTTTGGTATGTATCTTAGTTCTGACACACCCTGTACATTTCGAAATAATTTTAAATTATGTACATTGTCTCTCTACATATACCCATAAAATATTTTGTTTCTACATCTTTGCGTTTTCGTACAATCAACCGAGGCGAATGAGGTGCGTCACCCTGTATATTATGACGGAATAATAAAGATATAATTTTATAATATAATGTATAATTTCTCTGAACCACTTATACTATTTTGTAGTTGGGTTTATAGTAACCTTAAGTCTAAATCGGATATCATAATGAGTCTCTATAGATCAGTCTCGAAATTTTGTCTTACAATAAGACAACCGAATAATTATTGTCGTAACCTTTCAAATAAAAATACTTTTAAAGAAGTTGCTATACCTGTCCCGTGGGGTGAAATTAGGGGAAAATGGTGGGGTCCAACTGAGAGCAGACCCATATTGATTCTTCATGGTTGGCAGGTAATTCATTTCAACTTATAAACTAAATTAATATATTTTATTTTTAAATTTTTATTTGTATTTTTCATAAATAACTTTATAACTTATTAATTCTGAAATTCGGTCGTATAAATTACTGACATTTATAAGGGTACCGTATTATCTGTGACCGTATGATTTAAAAAAAAACGGCGTTCAGTTGGCTTGGAATTATACAACGTGAGTCTTATAAGTAAGTGCAAATATTTTCAGGCGTGGTATATTTCGATCCCAGACACTCTATGAGGTTTTTTCATATATCGATTTTTTAATTTATAGTTAAAAACAGTATACAATAGATAATGTGACAACAAAAGTAGTATAAATTTACAAGAAAGAAAACAAAGAGAAAATTCATGGGTTCTCAAAATTTAAACAAAAAAAAATTTTTGCTTAAATTATATTGGACTTTTTTGAAAAACGGTAGAGATAAGATATATGTTTCTTTTATAGATATCTACCACCCCTGAAAATACTTGCAGTTGAGGTACCGTACATAAAACTCTGAGTTTTGATGAACCCAGTTTTATGTGGTTGAAGTGGTTGGGGGTTATGAACTTTTGGTATATTACAACAGCAAAATAAAACACTAATTCACAAGAATTCACCACTATATATACGTGATGATGCTAACATGGTTAGCCAAACGCGCGTCCAATGCAAAAATAAAGTGTTTTGTGTATTGTGGTGAATTAGTATTTTATTTTGCTCCTTGCACTTATCTAAAACTTACCTTGTATACCAGGTGCGTCTCAAATGTGGCTCACCCCTATAACTTTTTTTATTTTTTCAGACAAAAAACGAGATTTGGTACAATATGTTAGTATATGACATAAATTAGGGTTGATTGACGTATTCAAATGTTTTTGGTCACTTTCTGTTTCACCTACAACTTTTGTTTCTTAAATAACACCCTCGGTATTTTTTTACTTTATTCGATATAAAATGACACTCTGAATAGAATGACGTAGAGCCACTCTTATTCCATTTGAAAAAATTGAGATGTGATTAAAAAACGATTTGGGCATCTTTTAACCGGCCAGGACAAGACACGACGAAAAACATTAGATGATCAAATCTATTTTTTAAGGCTCCTTGATTAAAAATTAGGGCATGGCATGACACTTTAGATTTAAATTTAAAATACGATTTTTTTGTAAACAATAATGTCAAAAGTTGAAATATGATATATCAACTTTGACGACATTCTATTGACAAATTCGATAGAAAATGACATTCTATTCAGAAAATGACATTCTATTGAGAATGTCATTTTCTATCGACATTCTATTGAGAATGTCATTTTCTATCGAATAAAGTAAAAATATACCGAGGGTGCCATTTAAAAATCAAAAATTGTAGTCATTTCCGCTGAAACAGGAAGTAACCAAAAACAACTGAATACGGCAATCAATCCTAATTTATGTCATATGCTAACATACCAAATCTCGTTTTTTTTATCTGAATTTGTAATTAATTTCTTTATTATAATATATAACAAAGATCTTATTTAGAAGAATCAATTTGATTTTTAGTGTTATCTTTTATTGAGTCTCTCTTTTATTAAAATCAATTCTCTCATTCTGTAATATAAAAATTAATATGCATATTTAATACATTTCTCTAAAATTTTTTCCGATCTATAGAATAGATTCTGATACTTTTGAGATTATAAAACCTTCTACATAAAAAGTAAAGTCAAATTATTACCTATTATTGTCAGTTTTAATAAATGGCGGATGCGCCGGAAAACAATATTTTTACATAGTAATTTATTTTACTGGCTAAATAATAAAATCAACTATTTTCTTTTAGGATAATTGTGGATCATTCGACAGGCTAATGCCTCTGCTGAATAACGAGGTGGGATACCTGGCAATAGACTTGCCAGGACACGGTTACTCCTCCAGATTGCCAGCAGGTATCCCATACACTATTACGGAATATTTATCCACAATTAAGTATGTGGAAAAATACCTGGGATGGCCACGGGTAGCCTTAATGGGACACTCCTTGGGGAGCGCGGTCAGTTTTACATACACCATGATATACCCAGACAAAGTCGATTTTTTAGTGTGCATAGATGGAGCCAAACCTTTGGTACCCAAAGTGACAAAAAATCGGTTAACTAGGGCGCTCGACGCTTTTTTGAAAAACTCCGATTTGGTTATAGAAAATAGAGAACCTCCTAGCTATACAATAGAGGAAATGAAGAGAATAATACATCAACCGAACGATGGAGCTGTCGATATTGATGTAGCACATTATCTAATGGAAAGAAATATCGCTCCCTCCAAAACTCAGCCTGGAAAGTACTATTTTACCAGAGATCCACGTCTAAAAGCTGAAGCATTTACTTATATCACTCAAGAAGAAATTCTTTACACTGTTCGTAATATGAAATGTCCTATTTTTGTCGCTAAAGCAAAAGGTTCGCATTATTTTGAACAGAAGGAAAATTTCTATGAGGTTCTTGATGTTCTGAAAAAAAACATCGCGGATTTTGAATTCAATTATATCGAAGGCACTCATAACGTACATTTAAATAATCCAGAAGCAGAATTGTCCAGTTTAATAGATACTTTCATCAGTAAACATAATTTAATCGACAGGAGTGTTAGCACTGGAATAAAAGAGGATATTGTTGTTGAAGAAATTGATTTGTTAAGAAACAAGATATAAATTTCAGAAACCCGGTATACTAGTCAACCAATAATATTCTAATCTAATAGAATTTACTAAATATTTATTTTGATACTATCCTTTTGTTAATTTATATAAGAATAGGAACATATACAAAGAGTGTATTACTCATATGAACTTATCAAAAACCTTTTCCTCTGTATCTCAGTTTGTTTAGATGGCATAATCCCTTATTCCTATTAAAATAAAGATGAAAGATACAGTATGTCCCCTGGTTATTATTAATTTCAATTAACGTCATAGTTTTTGCTATTTGAAGAAATGTCAAATCAGCACAAAATGTTTCACCTTTTCCGTACCATTGAATCAAATAAAATTTTTAACATAATAAAAACAGTAAATTTACGCTAATCAAAATCAATATCTATATCCAGCATCTATCAAAGAACGAAAACAAAATCTGTGAACGAAATTATATACCGTATGATAGAATAAAAACGGCGTCAGCGATGTCTATGAAATGAAGATCGCTGTCATTTTATATGTAAAATTATATGGGAAATGTCATCGATCGTCATTTCATAGCCATCGCTGACGCCGTTTTTATTCGATCATACGGTATGTACTTGGGTATGTATTATAAGAAACGCGTTTTGATTTTTAGGACAAACAAAAAGATCTATCTCTCCAAAAAAAATCCTCTATGGGTATTTCGCCACTGTGGAGAAATACCCATAGAAGATTTTTTTGGAGAGATGAATCCGCCACATATACCTAGGTACCTATAGACATTTTTTAAAATCTACATTTTCATACTTTTTTTATTTCTCTCTAAAATGGTATGAAAATTTGGAAGAGTATAAACGGGATTAACCAATTTAGAACCAGCAAAAACTTTTATGAAGATTGCATTTTTCTCAACAAGTTAATAGATAGCAAAAAAGTTTTTCCTCCGGGGACATATAACTATAAATATATTATATTAAATAAATTTTCAGAACTCGCCTGTTCGGAGAATTTAACTTTAAATTTCGAAATAATATAATATAAATCCACCTATACCACTAGAAATTGATGTAATATAAATGACTCAGTTTTTATAATGACTAAACATTAATAATGATTTTTTTAGTTATTATTCGCCAATCTATAGTATGTAATTTTATATAACGAAATAATACACTTATTAGATAAAAATATATTTTCTGCGTGGGGCGCATTCAATATCAATTTAGAAACAAAGAACTATTATAAAACTTTGCGTGGTTTAATCTAAAATTAAAAATTTAGAATTAAAAAATCTCCCAGAGCGCTTCTTCAAATTACGCATTATATTGACCCCTAAACTATTCTGTTTCTAAAAAGAAAATATCAATCTAACTTACACTGACAATTCTCTAATAAGTTAAAGGTAATTAATTGTTATCGTAACTGTAAATTCGTGTATATTTTTAAAATTGTTTAAATATTTGCGAACAATAATTTTCTTCCATACGAGAAAGTTGTTGGCGCATGCGCGTCTTGATCATCGCGTTGACTTATCCAACCGCCATGTTGAACACAGGTTCCGATAGAAACTCTCGCTCTCGTTAAGAATTCTACCGAAAAAACTGAATAGTTTTAGTGATTTTTCCCTGTGTGGACATGGTACTATCACCCTGTAATTTACCCATGCCCAACATTCATAGGATTTAATCGGGATACACGCAAGCCACAGTAAGTACCCACAAGTTTACCTACTATGTGTCATAAGAGCTGACAACCTACTTATTATTTACCTATATTTGAATATTTATTTACATTTTATCTAAACTCTATTATTTAATTAAACCGAAATTGTTTTTCGATGTTATATGGCCTGATAAATTAGGTTTTAGTCTATATTATGGACTTTAGAATGACAAGAACCTTGAAGAATATAACTAACCCTCATGGATTTAGATTAAAATGTAATTTTTCTTGCCATAAATTAATAGTATTCTATAACTGTATAGATAAAAAAGTTGGGAATGTTTATATTATCTCGATTTCATACGTAGATACACTTAGGTCGAGAGAGTTAAATAAGAATAAAATAATAGTTTTAGTTTAGTTTATTAACCTGCTAATATACAGTTAATATGGCCAACTTTTAATTATTATTGTTTTAATAAATGTCTTACCATAAAGAGACACACATGGAGAAATCCGTATCGACGTTTAAACAATGCAAAACGTTTTGAACGAAAGCATTTCAAATATTGAGCAAGTCATTAGGAAATATGGTTTGATGAATTTGAATTCCATACTCATTAGAAATGGTGTTTATAGACTATAGAAAATCAAAAATACCTTAACTTGAAGTCCTAGAATGATTACAATTTGTACCTGTTAAGTAAATTCAAGTTTTTTCTCTTACAAAACATGATTTGAAGTGATTGATAAATTGTTAATAATAAACACATACAGGGTGTAAAAAATAGAGTGTACCAACTTCACTGATTCTGCAGATAAAATAAAAATTCGCAACAAAAAGTTTTTATAAACATATGCCCTAAGATGCTTCCCAAGGTTTAAGTTACAGCCCTTCAAAGAGTAGAGAAAAATAATATAATATGTATTTTATTTATTTTTAAGAACATAGATGAACTGTTTTTCATAAAATTTGTTATTCTTAAACACATAATGCGAATGGCGATAGTTTAAAAATCCGTAATAGTTCTGAAAGGGTACTTCCATTGGTGTAAATATGGTAGTTTCTCACAAAACTTAATATAGTCACCGTCACGAAAAAAGGGCACCTTAAGATTTTTAGATATTTTAAAGTTTAGTATATTTTGTTCTAGTGGGCCGATTTTGATTATTTTTTAAGCAATATGTAGCCTGTGATGTACCTAAATTATTGGACCTTTTTGGTATCTCTAAATTAAAAATGAAAGTTTCCATCTGTCAATTAATATGAGGGAAATCAAAATGTTGATATTTTGGTTAAGTTTGAAACGCCCTGTAAAATATGTTAAGACAGCAAGGAATTTAAAAATTATTTTATCATCTAGGTACATCCTTTCTTGATAGTTTGTTTTTAGGTTCATCTCAATAACTTTACTTTTGTTGGAGATATTCCGTTTTGAAGAAGACACTCCCAAAAAAATAAAGCTATTGAGATGAACCAAAAAATAAACTTTCAAGAAAAGATGCATCTAGATGACAAAATTATTTTCAAATTCCTTGGTTTTGTAACATATTCCACAGTGCGTTCCAATCTTTCACCAAAATTACAACATTTTGTGTTCCTTCGTATATGTTTCAACTGAGGGCTGTAACATACTTATGTATATACAGAGTGGTCAATTTTTTAAATAGTTAAACTGTAACCATTAAACTGTCAATAGAAAAACTCATTGTTATCAACATACCTAGTGGTTGTTTGTTGTAAAATTATATTAAACACTATAATTAAAATTTTAATTTTTAAAATTTATATTTTTTCTTATTTATTCATTGACACCCTGTATGTTAGATAAATATTTTGCAAAATTAAGTTGTGTATTGTTTAACTAATAGTTCGCACATATTTTATTTTTAAATAATAATTTATTTTATCAATTTCTAGAACACTTAGGTAATGAACACTTAACTGATTTTGACCAACTTTTTGAAAATCTATCACTATAAAATGTAGGTTTCTATATTAATGTTTATACGATAGTCAAGAGTTGATTATATTTATATATGTATGTACATGTTTTATTTTTTAGCAGGGCTTGTATGTAATATATTTTTTTTTATTTGAACTGATTTATTAGAAATCTAAGATGCCGGGGCCCCCTCCCCCGCCTCCTATGGCCCCAGCGGCGCCTCCACCGCCTGCCTTTTCCATGCCGAAAGGTTCTGATGACAGAGGGGCCCTCCTAAACTCGATTCGTAAGGGAACAAAATTGAAAAAGACCGTCACTGTGGATAAGAGCGCTCCTATGATTTCAGGTATTTTTTTTTCTTTTGGCGATTCTTGGGGTTCCGTATCCAAAAAGGAAAAAACGGAAACCTTATAGGATCACTTTGATGTCCGTCTGTCTGTCAAGGCCCTTTATCACGGAAACGCATGGAGGTATCGAGTTGAAAAATTAAAACCATTTACTCATGTCTACAGTCTGTTGAAGCTGTCAAAAAATCAAATTTCTAAGTTAACGTAAAAAGATACGGCCGTTTATACCGCAAAAAGATGGGACGCATACGCCAGAATTTTTTCCTACTTTGATACTTATCTGTCAATATTATGGTATCTAAACATATTAATATAAAGTGTACTGTTTATTATAGCCCTAGAGCATATATACTTACGTGGACAAGTAAATCGCTATGGAAACTGTCGCAAACATATTAACTTCCATTTATCTTCTTTTTTTGTTGAACACGCGGTGCTTCTACTCTATCTATCCTTGTCGAGGTCCTATCGTTCACGCGCCAAATTTGAACATTAATTTTAAAAATTTAATTTGTAAAATGCATATATTTGAACAATAAATTGAATGTTTACTGTCACAAGAATTAAATTATATAAAAAATACATTTAGCCACTCCGTAGGAATATCAATATTCTTAGGAAATCTAATCAGAAAGTATGCATGTGGTTTAATATAAATACAAGAACAACTGAATACCTCACTTTTCTATGAAAAGATAATTTGGGTACCTTTATATTAAAACTTCCACACACCAAAAATTTTCTAGTCATTATTACGAGTATTTAGAAAGTCCAAGGAAAAACAATTGAAATATAATTAACTGCACAAACTTAAAATTAACTTCTCATTGAACACACTTCCATCCTTGGCTATATAAAGGTGGCCGATAAAACAGTAATTAATACAATTTTTAAAGTAAAAAACGCAAAAAACAAGCGTCGTTAAACAATGGAAATAAGATTATGGCATAGATAAATGAAACAAGTTTAGATTGGAAAGTGCCCATAAGGACAATGTAAACACTATTTGGCGCTATCCTTGCAACGGTCGCGACCCAAAACTTTTGAAAATTTTGGAGCGGTTCGGCTGTTTCCGGAATTATATCGCCAAATATTGTTTATTCAAATTTATAATTATTTTCGTTTAATTTTATAAATAAAATACAGTGTGTTACATACAAGAAACTTTATTTTATATAAGAACACATGTATGAAATACCTATGAAAGATTGGAAACCGACGTTATGCCACGATCCACGATGGTTTTTGCAGTTCACAGTTCACACCACAGCTTTTTAAGTTTTTAATGCCACTTTTTCACAATTATCACCGGTTGGAGTAAATAAAACTTGAAATAAACTCACAAGATAGCAATAATTACTTTGAAAATGGACGCTATAAACACTTTTCGGAATTTCTTTAATGAGAGCGGTTTAGATTTTGAAAGATTATTATGATCATATTATGATTTTTGAAGATTCTGACTTTGACAAGAGAAAATTATTTCTGTTTTTGTTTGCCGTTGTTCTTAACGACCTAAATAGCGACCGCTATAGCAGCGCCAGATCGCGTACGGTCGCGACCCAAAATAATTTCGCGACCTAAAATTTTTACGGGCCAATCTAAACTTGTTGCATTTATCTATGGATTATGGCATATGATTATGACAATTTAATGACAGTGAAAAGTTGGTTTCCATAACAATGTATTTGTACTTTCTAAACCGTATAAAATTGTGATTATTTTGGAAATATGTGCAACTTTTAATGAGCATGGCGCAAAGTAAGATCCTCGGAAGAGACAAACCTATTGAACGTTTCATAAGAGCAATAAAGAAGGTTTGTAGATGGCATGTCGTGATAGATAGTATTTTGTTTCTAGGGAAAGTAAACAGTGTTTCAAATTCGAACAGCAACAACTTTGGGACGAACAACAGCACCTCAAACACCGCTAGTTCGAACCAATCGACACCCAATGGATTACCGCTGGCTGGTCTTTTTGCGGGTGGCATGCCCAAACTGAAACCCACCGGACGGCTAGGTGACACTTCTTTGACGTTTATCTTTCGGCAGTGATTCAGAAATGCTGTTTTAGGTTCGTCCACGTTGAATTCTTCCAGTACGACGAACATAAACATGAACAACAACGTGGAGAGTCCTAGTCCGAAGGTACAGCAGCCCGCGAGGAATTTTATCAGCGTGCAGGATCAGCTGAAGAAGCAGTTGACGAGTCCCAGTGATACGAGGACCAGAGGGCCTCCACCACCGGCTCCCACTAGAAACGTATGTTAACAAAATAGTTATAGTACTAATATAAGTTACTTATGCAACGCATTAACTGCTTTTGCAACGCTGCAGAAGGGTTCTGGGCCTATGAATGGCATTGATGACCTTGTTTGGCCATTTAATCTGCCTGTAGTATCATTCTCTGTACCGTCTATGGGACACTGTCATATACAAGTGTGGGTCAAATTGGATGCCTTTAAAGGGAAACACTCTTCTATAGGAGATAGACGAAAACTAATATCGGTGTCAGGAGCTCAATTTTTATCAAAAACATGATGGTGAAAACCGCACATCGATATCTGTTACCGTTTCGTAGTTACAGGGTGTTCTTCAAAAGTGTGCATTTTTAACAAATCGCTGTAACTTTTTTGCTATGGAAAATTTTGTATTTTTGTGAAAACATTTCCAAAGCAACTTTTTACGTAGAATTAAATGGTTTGAGTATAATTTTTTTTAAATTAATAATTTAAGAATAATCATCAGGAAATTTGATTTTTTGTATGGGTGTATATTTTTAATTCATTAAAATGCATTTAAGTTTACCTTTCCGAAAATATAGCATACTTTGATATTTTGCTCAATTCCTCTTCGAGATATAGAGTTTTTAAAAATTCGTCCACTTTGAATAAGTAGGCTTTGAACGGCGCCGGCTCTAATGCAAAAAAAATCTAGCTGTGAGCAGCAGTTAAAACGAAAATAATATTTGCAATGAGAGATGGGGAATTTTATAACAATTTAAACTATATTTAACAACATCAACACATTTAAACGATATCTAGTAACAATAAAAATTAATAGCAAACCAAGACATGAGATTTTGGTGGTGTTTGACATGTGGACCGTCTTCTGTTATGGACAGACGGAAACGTTTTTGGACATTTCTCGCGGAATTAATTAACTTAGTGGGGTAATTCTTGGTCTAGATTACTCGTATACGGGCGATTTAAAAATAAGAACCTTTATTCTTCCCCAAAGATAAAAATCTACTAAGGATAACAGGTACCAAGTCCGGCGGCCTCGACGACCAACGGCCGGGATCTTGGTTAGCTGTTGAATTATTCTCGAAATTGGCTGCAGAACTTTACTGATAACTTTAGCGTTCTGAGGCGGTGCCTCGTCTTGCTGGAAAAAATATGTTTTTGGGTTCCATTAGGGGCAGTTCGTCAATAAGGGGTCCAAAGCCTACTAGTTAAAAAAAGTAGCAAACTTTTAAAAATTCTGTATTTTGAAGGGGACTATAAGAAAATATCAAGTGTGCTATATTTTTTGGAAAGGTAATTTTAAGTTGTTTTCAGTTAATTAAAAAATACGGGGTGTCCCAAATAAAAAATTACTGTTCTCTTGATATACTTAAACCATTAAATTCTACGTATAAAGGTGCTTTGGAAATTGGAAATGTTTTTTTTTAATTTTTTAAAATACAAAATTTTCCATGGCAAAAGAGTTACAGCGATTTGTTAAAAATGCATAAACGGTAACAGATATCAATGTTCAGTTTTCACCATCATGTTTTTGATAAAAATTGAGCTCCAGACACCAATATTAGTTTTCGTCTATCTCTTATAGAAAAGGGTGTTTCCCTTTAAAAGCGTCGAATTTGATCCAACCTGTACATGTATTGTTAACTTAAGGTCTATATCATTTTAACTTCAGATGTCCGTCGACGAAACGAAAAACATCAAATCTCTAGGACTAACGAATCACCCTAGTGCGAACGGTCTTCATCTGAGCCATACGTCCCTCCAGCCCAACACGTCCACGCTGCACCTACAGAGCGGCCGAAAGTCGAAGAGCAACGTGAACTTGGTCTCGTTGGACAGTACGGACAGTAGCGGCGGCAACGGTGTAAATATTAGCGCGTTCCACGCGACCATCAAACCTGTGATCAGCCACGGCAAACCCAACTTGGCGCCCAAACCTCCCACGCACGTGAATGGTCAGTAGAAAATATGTTGTTTATTTTTCTCTACCTTTGCTAAAATTTTAAAATTATGTTAGTCCAGAAGAAACAAGTAAAAATACAGGGTGTCCCAGAAATAAGGGCAATTTATTCTTTTTTAATAGAATGTAAAACCTTGAGCGTTTTATTAGTTACTACACACTTGTTGGATAATAAATATTTTGTTCTGTAATAGTTCTGGTTAAAATTAGAAATTATACGTTTACTTTAAAATAACTATTTTTGTGGTTTTACTGATTTGTTTCTTTTATTTATAAACGCATTTTTGGTCGAATTAATCTTGTATGTTTATAAAAAAGGCGTCAAAGACTAATTATAGGAAGATTAAAAATGGATAGAACGTTTACAGACACACAAATCTAATTCCAAATTTTTTTTTCTCGAATTGTAAACTATACACCATTTAAAACTCATATTTACTCAATATAAGATTAAATTAGCACCTTCTTAAGGCCAATTGGCAGTAAGCGCCATTAAAAAATAAAGAAGAATATGGACAAAGTAAATGACGTCTAGGGCTAGACCTTGCCAAAATTATCACCGATTGCAATTTCCGGCAGTCTTTGACGCCGGTTTTTTTTTCAATCATATGGTATAATTTATTAGAGCAATAGAGTAATTTTTGATACATTTTTTAGGCAAACAGGGAACACCCTTAAAATTAAGTATTATACCAAATAAACCCATCAGCAGGGCACAAAGTATGAGGTCGCCGCGAACGCCTTCCCCCCAAACCCCCAACTTGGCCGATACGAGCATCAAGTTCGGAACAGTCAGGAACATATCGACGTTGTTGGGACCTACCATAAACGCACAGGTAATTTTCTAATAGAATCAGTATAAAAAAGTAAAAAAAGGAGTGAAAAAATCAACCGATCGCAAAATGAGATACATGAATGATGATATACATACTTGAGACTAATTTCGTTATTATTATTTACATATACAGGGTGGTCAGGTAACAAACAGGCAGCGGCCGGGTTTGGCGACGCGGCCGTCGGTACCGCCGCCGTCTGTTCCCGCGCCTGCCGCCCCTTCGAAAGTGAGTGTGGTGAAGCCGCCCAATCACGCTCCGCCGCCACCTCCGAGTATTCCACAGCCGCCCTCTACGGCGCCGCCTCCGCCGCCCAATAAGACGCAGCAGACGGTAATGGCGCAGCCGGTACGACCGCCCCCTGCGGTAAGTTCAATAATTTTTTATAATTTAATAAATGCGAACTCAAAAAAATATAAATAATGTCTATACATATACCGGGTGCGTCAAAAGTGGCTCACCCCTATAACTTTTTTATTTTTTCAGTTAAAAAAAATGAGATTTGGTATGTTAGTATATGACATAAATAAGGATTGAGTGACCTATTCACTTGTTTTGAGTCACTTCCTGTTTCACCGGAAATGACTACAACTTTTGATTTTTAAATATCGCCCTCGGTATTTTTTTTACTTTATTCGATAGAAAATGACATTCTGAATAGAATTACATTTCATATGTCAATTTTGACATTTTTGCATATGGTTTATTTAAAATTATACCTTGCGGTTTGCAACGAAAATTTCACTTGAAATACCAAGTGTGTGTTATCAAATTATTCGTAAAAAAATGCTTTTTCCAAATATACTAATGAGCCACCCTCGTTACATTTGAAAAAATTGAGATATGATTAAAAATACGATTTGAGCATTTTCTAACTGGCCTGGACAAGACACTAAAAACATTAGACGATCAAATCTATTTTTCCAAGGCTTCTTGATTAAGAATTAATTAGTGTTTTTAACATACGATACGAATTTTAAAATACGTTTTTTTATTAAGCGAGAATGTCAAAAGTTGACATATGATATGTCATTCTATTCAGAATATCATTTTCTATCAAATAAAGTATAAAAATACCGAGGGTGCTATTTAAAAATCAAAAGTTGTAGTCATTTCCGGTGAAACAGGAAGTGACCAAAAACAGCTGAATACGTCAATCAATTCTAATTTATGTCATCTACTAACATACCAAATCTCGCTTTTTTATCTGAAAAAAATAAAAAAATTGTAGCGGTGAGCCACTTTTGAGACGCATCCGGTATACTAGCAATTTTCGGAATTGGGATCCTGTTTTGAAATCCCAGGATAAGAACCTATAATCCCCGGATTCCGGAATTGACCATCAGAGTGAGAAATTTAATCTAAAAAAATACTCAATAAAAATGCAGATACATACAGGGTGTCCGGAAAGTTAACGATAATACTGAAAGGGGTGATGAACCAACTCATAGAAAAAACATAGTACGATCTTAGTAAAAAATCGGTGGTTTTCGAGATATTGCCACTTTAATAAAATTTGTTAAGAATTCGGAGGCAAAACTCCGGGCTCCGGGTATTACCTCCGATATACTCCGGGTAGTACCTCCGGGTATTACCGTAATACCCTATTTTTATTCTCGCTTACTGGCCTATTGAATGAATACATTTTTGCTTTTAATCAAATCGGTGTGAGAAACTATGAAGCTATAAAACGTTGTTTCGGGAGAGTTAGAGTTGAATATCCGGGAAAGTTAAGGTATTGAATATTATAGCACCCAACAACGCTCTCCTTTACGCGTTAACATTTTTTCGGCGATTTTATTAACATTTGAAATTCTCACAAAACAACACGACGCGCGACGCCTAGTTTGAATTCTTTTTCACTTATTTTTTACAATCCGAAACAGCGTTCATCACACAAACCTCGTACCTGAGTTTTATAGTCTAGTTTAATGTAGTATTTTTAAAGCTATATGGTATTTTTATGTGAAAATTATATTTAAAGTAACATTCAAATAATATAAAAAATATTTTCGAAGATAAAACATACACATATCAGTTATATCTTGATCACAGATTTATTAATATATATTTTAATTTTAATATCGTATTGCGCCAGTTCAAACAGCTTACAGGGAGAGAAGGATAAGCTTATATGTTAACCTTGCTCTAGAAAGAAATGAATAGAAACATATACGTCGTATTCTTAGAAACAAAGATGTGTATAATAAATTATACCGTATCTTTTTCCGCGAACTTTATAGGGTCTAAGGCTTAGATAACATTGGGTTACAGGTTTATAAACCAACTGACGTTATTTTAGATACCAAACAGTAACCACAACAGTGCCAATAATCCGCCTCCACCGCCACCTCGCGGCTCCTCGATGAGGGACACCAACCAAACGCGGCGATCGTTCACCGATTTCGATGTGAAATTCCAGGACAAGTTTGCCACGCCCGACGACTTTCCTCGTCCGCCCCATTACAGGAATGTCATCAAGCTCTATTCGAACAGTCAAGGTACGTTTCTTAAAATAATGGTGCGAAAGGCTCAACGGTTCTGTATAAAATAATTATTTTGTGTTGTCTGTGTGTTTTTTGTTGTATATACACGGTGACGGTGAACCATATAAGAATGTACTCTACAGGGGTCTCATATAGAGGAAGAGCTATAGAGATCATTAAGTTAGAAATACCTTACAACGTTGTGTTTTGAAATCTAAAAAATCTGATTACTTCCGAAGATATTTAGGAAAACCCCAATTTTTCGGTTATTATTATTTTTTGACTATTTTTATGTCATCTAGTTTACGAATTTACTGTATTGTGCATTCTTATATGGTATATCGTCGACCCAAACATAGGAAATCCCAAGTAAATTTTAAAAATGATGAATAAGTTTTCCCAATTTTATTTTACAGAAAAATGTATTTGAAACTTTTTAAAGAACCCCGTACGCGCACACTGACCAGAGCCACACGCGCCGTATCGACCAAAGAAAAATATTGTTTGTGTTACTTTCAATGAAGGTGCGCACACTACCAGAGCCGCACAAATCGCATCGACGAAAATGCGGCCAGCATTGTTGAGCCAGAATGATTTTCGGTCAATGCGGCTAGTGCTGCTAACGTCACACGCAATTCCTTCCACTCTACGTAGGTAGCCAAATCGAACTAGCCAAAGAGGAGATTAGAAATTCAATATGCTAAGAAATTTCGCAAATTTTTCATGGCTCATTTTTAAATATTGAAAAATTTTTAGTTCGTCCTCAATTAAATATGGAAATAATGTGTGGAATTCCCCTCCTAAAGATAAAACTTTTGCAAATATTGTGGACCCATAACTCTCGATTCTTTCTCGTGATTTATTCTTCTTCTATTAGCAAAGAGCTTATCATTATTTCTTGTTCGTTGTTATTCATTGTCGAGAAATATTAAAAAACATGCTTATCACCGCAGACAGGACTCCGGAAGCGAATGATGAGAAATTCGATTGGCAAATACGGGTGTAGTAGGGGCAAAAAGAAACAAAATAGCGAATAATGCGGCGCGTTCGGTAGTAGTGGCGCGCACCTTTAGAATGAAACAAATTGTTCATTTTGAATAGTTTAACAACAATCACAAATTATGTGACAATATGACAAATCTATTATGATTTTCTATTACAGAGATCTGTCAAAAATGTCCTAAGTTATATTCTCTATGAAAAGTTACAAAAAGTACACTGTATACCGGGTGCGTCTCAAAAGTGGCACACCCCTATAACTTTTTTTATTTTATGAGACAAAAAGACGAGATTTGGTGTGTATATATATACACACACCAATATATGACATAAATTAGGATTGATTGACGTTTTCAGTTGTTTTGGGTCACTTTCTGTTTCATCGAAAATGACTACAACTTTTTTAATGATTTTTAAATGACACCATCTGTATTCTTTTAGTTTATTCAATAGAAAATGACACTCTGAATTGAAATCCATATCAAATGTCTTTGAAATTTTCGCATTATGGTTTATTTGAAATTTTATTATGCGGTTCATAATGACAGTTTGACTCAAATACCAAGTGTGTGGTACCAAATTATTCGTAAAAAATGCTTTGTCCAAATATGCTAATGAGAACTACTTCAAAAGAAAATTTATTTATTAAACATTAAACAATTCGCAAATTATCATACTTGTTAATTATAAATGGAGAAAATTTTCCCCACGTTCATCACCCCTCGTCCATTTTATTCTTGGTGTTCGGAATATTTAAATGACTTAAAATTTTATGCTTATTCAAAATTCGCCAAGAGTGCTGTTTTTTCGACTATTTCTCCAAGTGTTCTGGTACTTACTTGTTACAAGATGAAACTACCAAGTTGTTTTCATTTTAAGAATATTTAATTTATTTATTTTTAATAACTGTTCTGGCCTTTTTGGAAAATGTACAGAAAATAAATCCTTTACAACATATAGACTATTTTTAAAAAGTTACACACAATTTTTTCTCTAAAATAAAATGGGAAACTCTTATTGACTATGTTCGGGGCGGCAATGCAACACACGGTATACAAAGTGACCCACTAATCAGTAGCAGGATTTTAAGAGTCGCCTATAGAATCATTTTAATTAGAAAATTTCATGTTATAGAGATTCACTAACATATAAGACTTGACGTAAATATTGTTCTAAGTGCCAAAATTATTATTTTGAGATAAACAACATTTTTTGTTACATAACCAATGTACAAGAACGGGCGGGTTCTATCTTGATTTTTTTTCTCAAAATAAGTGCGGCTTCTGAAATGTGGGCCACCCTGAATTGTGTGGGCATTATACATTTTCTTGTCTATTAACTTACACTTTTTTGTGTATTTTTTCATAATACAATTTCTGTTTTGTGTTATTTTTTCCTTTATTCCTCATATTTTACCTTATCCATTGTACTTTTTCTAATTCATTTTTTTTTTCTGTTTAATTTAGAATCATCCTGCTAATAGAGGATTGCTGCATGTATAATTTTTCTTTGTGCATGGATCGGTTACTACAGTCACTAACCTTTTACTGTGTTCTTTTTTATCATTAGGGTACTTTTTTGTTATAGTTTTTTTGTATTTTATTTAATTTTGTTTTGCATAACCATTTAAGCATCAAGTAATTTTACTCTTAATAAAAACAATGTTGGGTTAATTAAACATCAATTACTTTGTGCTTAAGTGGTTAATAAAGTAGGTAGAACCAAAAACACAGCATGTTTTAGAAAAATATATTACTAAATTCATATAAAGTATATCCAGCGAGAGAATATATGATTTTGACAGATGGCACGCAAAATAAAACATTTCATTCGCGTTTTCAATTAAAATGACAAACTACTACAACTGTCAATCTCTTATATTCTTTCGCTAGACAGACTACAAGTCCTCTTGTCTTTACAAGAGGGAAAGCTGTTTTATTATAAACAGTTGGAGAAAAATGCATACTTCACAAAAAAGTTTGCTTCTTCTAAAATGGTTAATCCCGTTTATACTTCTTCAAATTTCCATACCGTTTTAGAGAAAATTGAAAAAAAAACTGAAAATATGGTTGCTAAAATATGAATTCCTAAAAAATCAAAAGGCCTTTCTATGATAAGATAATTTCGATTTCATTCTTTGATAGATTGTTATTGATAGAATTTTAATTAACGTCATATTTTTTGCTGTTGTTTTTTGCTAAAGTATCACATTTTCCGATAACAATTATCACCCTTTCCAAGCAACGGCCTAGCTACGTTGAAACACCGGTTCCCATTAGAACACCGAAATTAAGCGACGTAAGGTGTTACTGGTGGATGGACGGGTGACCAGTTCGAAACTCTGTATCGTGCTGTTGTTCAAGGGAAAAGTGTAAAATCTATTGATACACACTGCTTATTCACGCCGGTTCGAGGTCGGATGAGATCGGATATCTCGTGAGTAAGAGTTGATTTAGACACTTCCTAAGTCGGTAGGCCATTGACCATGATATGGCCGAGGACCGCGGTTTGGATTCCGCGTAAACAAAGTAGGCCCCGTCCAGATTAGCCCTGGCAGCAAAAAGGAGACGTTAACTGAAATCTTTATCTGTTATTATCACCCTTTCCCTAGCATTGAACTAAATAAATTTTGTACTTCTTTGACTTTTTATAACAGCAAAAAATATGGCTTTAATTAAAATTCTATCAATAATAATCCAAGAATGAAATCAGAATTATATTACCATAGAAACGGCTTTTGATTTTTAGGACTTTCTCATGTTTTTTGACAAACATATTTTCATGTTTTTTACAATTTTCTCTAAACCATTTTAGAAGAAACAACATTCTTTATGAAGAATGCATTTTTCTCAAAATATCAATAAAAAAGTTTTTTCTCTTCTAAAGACAATCCTAGGACATACTGTATACTTAAGTGTCCAGATTAGATTAACTTTTAACACGAAAGACGTATATTTTCTTCAATTTATCTGTATATTGATTACTTATTCAAGTCTTCCTGCTAATAGTAAACTTATACAGTATATTATATAACAATATGTTTTATTTTAAAGTATTTTTAAACTGTGTGTTATGTTCATCTCCATTTCTGATTAACTTGATTTTTATTGGTTCCTAGTCAATGATTTGATTTGGTGAAGTAATAATGCATTATGAAATTGTAGAAGAAACTAAACAGTTTTTCTAAGGGCTGGTTTTTGAAAATTTGATAAGGGAAACAAATTTCAGAAATATTTTTGTTTAAAAATGATATATGAGTATATTTTAGAGCCAGTGCTAAAGTAAGGGATAAAAATAATTGTATATCTACCATTGAGTGATTCTTCAATAATTTGAATCATATTCTTTGACATAAAGGGTTCTTTCGTCTTTTGTTCATATTCCAGAGCACTTTACATTTAAATCTAGACATTGTATGTAATAAGAAAACTGTTATAAAGAAATCAATAAAAGTTGATATGCACGTCATCATCAAAAACGTCGAAAATATTACGCAATTGAATTTCTAATAAATAAAAATTTGTAGGGGTACTTTCGGGAACTTACAGTTATATTAATACACAGGTATATTAACTTGGCCAGAGTCTCCAGAAAGTTATCGTTATATATAACGTTGTGTCTAGGTACACGTTAACGTGTACCCTATTATAATATTTAGGTACACGGAAAAACTGGAAAGCTTTCCGCACTAAGTAATGCCTAGTTATAGCCTAGTTACGAAAGCAGCCTGTGGCTGCGTGGGTGAAGTTGTCGCTTCGGGAGCGAGGGATCCTCAGATCGATTACCCACAAATGTAGAACTTTTTTAATTTTTTTTTGCAGCTGTTGGTAATACCAAACAAGCCTACGGCGTATTTTGATTGCTTTGGTTAATCTCTGGGGTTATTTTTTTTGTTTAGATCGTACGCGAAATACGCGTTTCGCGTGCATCGAAGTTTTATTTTTATTACACGTTAACGTGCACCTAGACACAGCGTATATATAAAGACATAATGGTAAAAATCAAAACTTTAAGTGCTGTTTCGCATGGCTGCTTTCTTCCGGCCGGTCCGCGCTGATCGTTTCTGTTGTGCCGTTTCACGTGGAGTGGAACATCCGCGCGGGTCGTCCGTTGATTGAACAAGTACCATGAGTTTATACGAATATTTTCACATGGGAGCGGATGATCCGTTCGGACCACTAGCTTCGACGATCCATTTGCGCGAGGACCTGCTATATGATTAAAATGTTTCACATGCGCAGATGCACGACGCACAGCACAGGTGAAAGTACTCCATCGGACCTTAAAAATAAACATAATGGTCCGTGCACGAAGCAGGACTCAACTTGAAGGAAAAATAATAACGCAGTTAAATGGACTTAAGTTATTTCATTGTACGGCTGGTGGTTATCAGGTTCTTTCCCTGTATGCATATTTTTACTAGGCATATTTCATGGATTTAACAGCTAAAAAAAAATTTAAGAAATTGGCGCTTATCATGTTTTTTCCCTGGACATTCAATTTGTATTGTGTAAAATTGAAGTGAAAAAATCGGTCACAAAATTACGAATTTATTTGACACTTAAAGTCAAATTATATTGATGACGCCATGTGCATACGCCAACTTTTATTGATTTCCCTGTATATTACTAACTCTCACTATTATGAAACTGGAACTTCATTTGTAACTCTCTATTTTCCTTCTTAGAGCTCTAGGTCTAATGGGTGTTGATGTAAATGCGACAATTTTTAACGAAATCTATAACCTTAACGTATTTTTTCCAGCGACAAACAAGCAACAAGCCCCCCTGCCTCCTCATTTACAGGCGCCCAGTAGAGTTTGGAATTCCACTTCGACTTGCTAGCATCAAATTTCGTAATTATTAAGACACTAACTGCGATAATTCAACGTTTTTTAATAATAATAATAAATAACGTCTGGAAATACTCGACCATTAAAATAAGCGGGCACCCTGTTTTCACCGACCACCTTGAAGCCGACATGGTGTGGTCGTTGTGACGTCACTTCAGGGCGAGTCGAAATTAAAAATAAACTTTGTTAACCATTGGGGCCTTATTAGTCATAGTTACTAGGTAGATACGTTCGTTTGAAAGTATTTAGAAGGTTTTTTTTTGGATTTAGAAAAATATTGGGATGTATTTGTTAACATAATTTTGCCCTGAAGTGAAAGAGTTTATTTTTCGGTAGTTTCAAAGTAACATTTGTAGGGGGCATGCCTGTGTTTTTGTATACTGGGTGGTCCGAATTATATTCGGGCAACTTCGGCAGCATATTCTGCATATAAAAATAAGTAAAAAAGTTCGTGAAAAATTATGTTCTTAAATGTTTCGTTTCGGAGATACTTACAGGTTATAGAAGTTTAATTTTTAATAATTTTTTTATTCCATATAATTTCTGAACTAATGTAGATATTTTGATGAAAGTTGGTGTCTGGGTGTTTTTTTGACATGAGAAATTCGATTTTGATATCAGTATGACTGCTATTTGTAGGAGGCGCCACCTACTTTTTTTTTCTTGTTTTGAAGAGGACGTAACTTATTACACAAACAAATTTACCCTTTATTACATAACAAATGGCAAAATTATATATTTTTTCTCTCAGTAGTGTAATACAGGCACGGACAGTTGTTACTCTTCAGAACAGCTAAAAACTTGCAAGTGGTGCCTCCTATAAGTAGGAGTCTTACTCACATAGATATGGAATTTCTCATGTCAAAAAACACCAATTTTCATCCAAACATCTACGTTAGTTCAGAAATTATTTGAAAAAAAAACTAAATAAAAATGAAATGTCTACACCAGGGGGTCTCCGAAACGAAACATTTTAAGAAATACATTTGTACGTTTATCTGCAGAATAATATAATATATTGCCTAAGTCTCCCGATAACAATTCGGATCACCCTGTATATCTACCTACAGTATAACTTAGAAAAAACGTTAGACGGTTGTAAGACAAACAAATGTCCCCTTTTTTTTAAATCAACTCTAGAAACATTTTTGCCAATTACAGAAGAATGGAACTTTTTCTTTTATTAAAAGAATATCCATACAATAGATATGAATTTCTCTAGTTGTAAATCAACTTTAAAAATACCATAGCAACGAAATAAAAAAACGGCGTCAGAGTTGGTTTGGAAATGATAAGATCGCTGTTATTTTATATTTCAAATTTATCGTAAGTCTATCTTGACGCCGTTTTTTTTTCGATCATACGGTAGTCCTTTACCGAAGAATATCACTCTCTAGATCAAATTATATGTAACATTTTTTTTAATTTGTAAAAAGTTTTTTTTGTTCATTTAGGATTTTTTTAATATGGGAATGATTAGCAATAACCCTCAGTATTTTTGAAAAAGTATTTATCAAATATGTGTAGTAATATCAGATCCAGGATTAGGTATTGGTAAAAACTTTGATATTATACAGTTAAAATTTGTGTTAGACATAGAGAAAAGTCCGTATATTTCTTATCTATATATTTTGTGTGTATCATTCTGTTGAATCTGTCAGAAAATTTGAAAATTTTTGTCCCTCTCCCAATCTGTATCAAAACGAAGTGAGAGTGTCCCAAAAAAATAAAATGAAACGTATTAAATGTCGATAGAGACGTTTAAAAAACTATGAAGTAATGTTGTTTGCTCAATAATGCAATCATTATGTTTTAGTCACGGAGTATATATATTTTTATTTTGTATATGTTGGTATTATTATCCCTAATGCATTTATTTGTATTATTATTTATTCTTATTTGCAAGTTTTTTATATACACCTGTATAAATCGTTTCTTTTTCTTTTAACAAAATAAGGTCGTGTTTTCGTACGCGTTGGTTTTTATAAAATGATTCGTTTTTAAGTTAATGATTTTTGTTTGCTTTATTTGTATTAACGTTAACAAATAAATAATATTCGAACTATAATTTAAAGGAACTTCTTTGTATTAATTTTTAATTTCAGTTTATTTAAAGAGTCAAACAACTGCAAATTTTTGTTATACGCGCGTTTCAAATTATATTCGAGTCGTTACATAGATTTAAATATTTAATATACTTACTAGTCACCTGTTAACTCCCATTTAGCAAATATTTCAGTGCCTAAATTAGTAAATTATTTTAATAAATGTAAATAAAACATAGCATATAATGTATATAATCTGTAAAAAATAGACATTTTGAAATTACTATTTTTTTTATTTAAGTTTTTTAAGTTACTCTCATATATAGGATGTTAGTGTTTATATTTAAGAGAAACAAGAACCTTAAATTGAATTGAATTTGGAAGGAAAAAATATCGAGCTAAAGTCTGTCCAACGAGTCTGGGAAGATTTCGACAGACGACATCCGAAAATACAATTTAACTGTGAATTAAAATGAAAGACACAACTGTCACTATCACGTTTTTTCTCGCTGGACAGACTATAGTTTCTTGAAGAGTTTTTCGCCACTAGAAGGAAATTACAAAATAAGTTATTTTTTGTAAACAGCGCTGGAAATGAAACCGCAACAAAGGTACAGATATTACTTAGGCTATAGTTTGTCCTGCGAAAGAATATATTATGAGAGTAATTGTTGTCATTTTACTTTGAAAAGTAGATTTTTTGTATTTATGCAGTTTTTTTACTGTATTATGATAAAAAAATTTGATAACCAAATTGCGATGACTAAAAACAATCAGACATAATACATGAGGAGAAAAAAACACTGGCTTAATAAAATATAAAAATTTTATTTAGTATCAGTACGCCTTTTTTCACAAAATACAAATTTTTCAGTTGAAACAGTACAGATAATTCTCAAATTGACTTGTTTCATTTGAACAATCAATTATAAAATATTAAATAGGAATTTTGAACAATCAAAAAAAAAACTGTTAGAATAAATGAACCAATTAAATTTTCGTGAGTCTTAATTTTTTTGGCTAATTTTTATAAGTTATTTATTCTAATCAATAATAAATTAGTTTTAATAATATACATCTTGTTACACCTTTCAGAATTCAGAAATGTGAGCTACACAATAAAACAATAAAAATAAACAAAATGAAAACTCCGTATTGTCCACCAAGAAAAAAAAATGATGGATAAAATAATTTTTAAATACAACACTAATATAAAAAATCTATCCTAAAAACTAAATATATATAATATAGATTTTCTACATCCCAATATCAACGTAATTTGTACTAAAACGACGGAAGTTTAAGCGGCACTGCGAAAAGTAGAGAAAATTTCAGAAAATACAGTCAAAAGAACAAAATAAATATTTTAGATAAAATCAATCTTCTTTTTAATTCCTTATTCTGTGCGAGAGTTTGGTTTCTGAACATTTCGAACTTTTTTGTTTTTGATACTCTCAGAAGATGTAAAGACGTAAATCTAACTTACTGACCAGCAAGACCTGTCGTCGTAGGCACAGATTCAACGGTACTTCCTGTAATTTTCTGTACTTCCTGACTTTCGGCCAGTTTCATTCGCAGCGCCGCAAACGCCTTCTTCATTCTATCATTGGCTGGAATACCTCCATGGGCTGGTTTTGGCCTGTACAACCCTTGTTTTGGCCTGTTACCAGCCATCAAGCTCTTATCTGGGGTGCTCATGCCGTGTTTCTGCACCTTGTGAGTGTACAAATTGCGGTACGTCGTAAATTTCGATTTGCAAACTTCACACTCTAAAATCGTTGCTAGAGTGGAGTTTCTCAAACTTCTGTCTGCTACTTTAGCGATGGACAAGCGTCTTGGAGGGGTTTGTATAAATGATTTTCGGATTTTGAACGATAAACGTTTGTTTTTCGGCGATCTGAACTTCACACAATCAATGCGAATGTGAGTATCAAGCAAGAGACGCGACGTAAAGGTGGCGGAACATGTTAAACACGTAAACTTTTTATGAGTTTTTACATGCAAGTCCAAAAGACTTCTGGTTTCACACACTTTTTCACATTCCTTGCACTTGAACCCACTCAAACTTGATTTTCTCACACCTATCAAAGGTTTTTGGATGGATTTCTTCGGAGAAACCTTTTCTATGCTTGTGTTCTTCACCAAGTTCGACTTAACATGACTTTTTTTGTGCATATTCAATAATGCAACGTCCCGGAACGATTTAAGGCACACCGAACAATTGAAATCCGATTGTTTTTTCCTGCATTCGTGCCGTTGTAATAAAGCATTGTTTTTGAAGTTTTGTTCGCACTTCTCGCACTTGTGGTTATACTCAAACTTCATTGGTAGAATAGATCGTCTTGGTATTACACTCACCCGGGAAGAGTTCATTTTCTTTTGTTCCTTCAAACTATTCTCTAAATTGTGATGGATTTTGTGTGTGTTAAGACTATTTTGACTAGGGAAGGACTTCGAGCAATGCGGACAAGGAAATTCTATTTTTTCTTCAATGTCCTGGTTTGAATTAAAACTTACTGATTCTATAATTGGTGTTAGCTCTATTTTCTTTTCTGTGGGTGGCTTTTTGGGGGGTCTGCCGCGTCTCCTTTTAACAACAGTCGACTTGGAGGCACTTTTAGCTAAACTATCGTCGTCAGAATGGATTTCTACAACGGATAATTCTGATTCGCTTACAGTTACTCGTCGTGATTTTGAATTGGGCTCTTCTTCGGAATCGGATAGTTCAACCACAGCGCTAACCTACAAATAAAAACAAATTATAGACAAAATTACTTAGATTTCATAAATTAACCACCTCAAAGATGTTTTTAACTACTTGTTTAGAAAGAAAACGAATCAAGAAATATTCGTTACAAATTTTGATTTTAAAACAGACAACTGTCACTGTCATCTGTCATTTAAAGCAAGGTTATGTAGATTTGTTGTTGTCTTTCTCTTTCGCGTTATTTTGCTGAGAGAGATATATATACTTTATTAATCAATGGAATGTTAGGAATGAGATCTGTATATCGATATTTTATCGAAAATTATTTCGACACAGGGTTGATCGTGTAAGAAAAGTTCTGATGTAAAGAATCACTTTTTACGTGTTTAAAAGTCATTACCTTCTTTCATGTTCTGTAAAAAATGCAAAAAAAAAACATACGTCACAAGGTATTCAAATTAGTAAAAATGCACGTCTCGTATTTTGATGCAAAATACACGTAAAAAACGGAATTAAAAAGAATGACAATTGACAATTCTCTTCAATCCCAACATACCAAAGCTATATACGTATTATTTACAAATATACTCAGCCTAATCTCCAAAAAGTGAAGCCCAAACAGTGAAAGAACAATATGGAATTCTGCATAAGTCTATTTCACCCGGATATTCATTTAACTGCGCATGCCTCACCTGAAGAAGTTTTCATTGGTCGATGTTTTTAAAGGGAAGTGGTTGACTGACATTTCACCTAACCTTCAATTTTATTTATATTTTTATTATGTATAACATATTATCATGGAGTTAGAAAAATATCAAAAAATAGTTGGAAACAATAAACTAAACAAAATCACTCTTTTACGCGCACAAATAAAAAGTAATCCAAACAGAACTAAAACAACAATCAATCGGAGTTTAGCGCAATCGCAGTTCAATCCATATCCGGGTGAAATAGACTTATTGCAGTTTTAATATGGAGCTGGGTTATGTTGTCTTTCTCTTACGGCACAGAAACTGCACACGGGGTTAAATAGAGAACCCTGAGTATATATGTAAATAATACGTATATGACCAAAGCAACATACACATTTTTAATGGTTTCTGCCACACAATATCAAAAAATATTTATTTATCAATGAAAGATAAAACATAATGAAATAATTCAAAATATCTTATTTAACAAAGTTCCTTAACGGTTTACAGCATTTTAGAGGAGCGTTACTAAAATGTAGACGTAGGTTTTTGATAAAATATAAAAAACCTACATCGCAAAATGTCTTTTTACACGTAAAAAAAGCTTTTAAGCGCAAAAAAGTATATCTTTACGTTATGGCGGATTCTCACGACTGGCGTACTTGACAAACATTTGATATTGGAATATACTTGCCATGTCGTGAGAACGGGTTCCTTGGTCACTTGTCGCGTCCCCACTCTCTGTCGGTAAATATAGCCCGAGTCAAACGATTAATCGTACACTTGCCAAGTATACTTGGCCAGCCTGGGCCAGCCTTGTTTACACTTGCCGAGGCGCAAAAAAAACGACTGCGCAAATAATGTTACTGTTATAGCGTATGTCCGATTTATTTCCGGATCGTAGTGTTTTTCGAGTTAATTGCGGATAATTTAAAACGTTAAAACAATAATAGATTATGTAATATCAAATTTACATTAATAACTTCAATATTGGCGACATACCTAAATCGTTTTCACAGCAATAAATGGAGTGGACAAATGAAGACTACACGGGAAAACCAGATATGTCACATTTTCATAGAAATTAAGATACAACTTTATAGAAAATGTTAACGTCATTCGAAAAAAGAAAGCAATAATACGCTTAGTCCCAGAGATATTACAGCTTGGTTATTTTGCCGTACAAAAGAAAAACCACAGTAGTCCACGCGTAAATGGCAAAAACCAGAGATGTACTTACGCATGGGCGACAAGCATGCATCTTGCAATTAGTATTATATTATTAAAACAAGGGATATTACAGAAAATAAACGTCGAAAATCAAAAACACAAACAAATTTATTCCGCTCGAAACTTGCCGAAGCTTACAATAAACAACAATAATCTCGACTGACCGAAAAACATAGATGAATCAACAAATCTCTCAAAAACATCATCTGACACGATCGATAGAAAAATATTATCCTTATGTAACAATCTTAAAGGTATACACATACGTAATTAATTTATGTACGCATATACGGAATATTTTTTTCGTTATCAATATGGTTATAAATTTATGTATGGTAATAAAAACCTACTTAAATATAAATTTTCAACAAAAAAAATAATAGTTTAGATTTAGGTTTTATACAACCTTTAATTAATTGAACATCTCTGGTTTTCTGCTGTTTTGTTTTGCATTTTGACTATTTTTTTTAGATTATCTATTTAGATTTTTATTTCAATATTTCAGAATATGGCGATAATTCACAATATTAATAATTCAGAATTGGTAGTAATATAAATATTTTTCTAATTATTCAACCGAAAATAACATATTTCCTTAAAAACACTAAATTGCATTTTTCTCGGCTCCAATTAAAACGGACAAAACTGGGTTTTCCCGTGTAGTCTTCAAATGATGTTGTTTTGGAATTTATGGATTTATACGAAAATGAGCCCTTCATATGGATGGCCAAACATAAAGAACATAGAAATCGTATTGCAGTGTACAGTAAAAGAACTTAAAAAGAAAAAAGAATCACTAGCAACGACAATTTCCGGACGACCAGTATCCATCGATGCGACTATACTGTTTACTTGCCAAGGATTGTAGGGGTACTTGGCAAATACGCAAATATTGGCGTACTTGCCAAGTACACTTGCCAATGTAGTACAAAGTGGAGACTGGTGGGGATACTTGCCAAGTACGCAAATATTGGCGTACTTGTCAAGTACGCCAGTCGTGAGAATCCGCCTTTATAATTGTTGTAGACACCCGTGTTCCTGTTTATAAACATAAACTCACGTGTTATAAAAACGTTAAAAACCAACTTCGTAATAAGTTTTTTACGCGTAAAAAACTATTTGTTGCGTGATAGTTTTTTACACACCCAGCCATAATAAAAATTTTAAAAAAATATCTTACCTCGACTTTTTTGTTTCGCAATTTTTTATTCAAGTCTTGCACAAATCCCGTAGACGAAATCATAACTTCCTGCACGATAATTTCTTCATCCCTTCGTTCCTGCACGGGTTTAATTTTTTGCTTCCTCGGTTGTCTGGTCTGTCTAACGGGCGCCACTGGTATAGTCGTTCTAAAAAAAATGATTTTTTAACACCCAAAAAATAAGGGAGAAAAAAAGCGTCTACTAACCCGTTAATGAAATTGTGAAACAATTTCGCCTGCATCGCTTCCTTACTCTTGGCGAACCTTTTTTGGAACAGGTCGCACTCGGGCAATTCGAATTCCGTATTTTTAACACATTTTGGTACTTCCTTTGGTTTCACAAATGACGTGCGCAACACGCTTCTGGGATTGGATTTCGGTAGTTTAGATAAATTTGGCAATTTTTCTTTGGCCTGACCTAAAAACATTCAACATAAAATATTTTTGTTTTTTATACAGAGTGTGGTCCGAATTGTTACCGGGAAACTTCGGCAACATATTCTGCAGATAAAAATAAGTAAAAAAGTTTGTTTAAATATATGTCGTAAAATGCCTCGTCCCGGAAATATAGGGTGTAGAAGTTTCATTTTTATTTTGTTTTTTCCAAATGATTTCTGAACTAACGTCGATATTTGGTTGAAAATTGGTGTTTGATGGGTGTTTTTTGATATGATAAACTCGATTTCGGTTCCACTATGACACCTACTTGTAGAGGGCACCATCTACATATTTTTTAACGGTTTTGAAGAGTAATAACTTTTCGAAAATTGGTGTTTAAGTGTTTTTTGAGATGAGTAATGCTGTTTTGAAGAGTAATAACTTATAATTGTAATACAAGTAAATTATAAGTACAAGAAGGAATCATAGTCAAGTAGGAATCATTAAAATCGAATTTCTCATGAAAAAAACACTCCCATATGCAAATTTTCATCCAAATATCGACGTTGGTTCAGAAATTATTTCGAAAAAAAAACGAAATAAAAATTCAACTTCTACACTCTGTATCACCGAAACGAAGCACTTAAGGACATGATTTATAAGAACTTTTTTACTTATTTTTATCCGAAGAATATGTTGCCGAAGTGTCCCGATTACAATTCGGAATCACCCTGTTTTATACTACATGACCATGATACAAGGAGGGTTAGATAAGATATTACGCATGTAGTGGGCGGAGCTTAACCGAAAATTACTATCCGGGTGACGTCATGCGCGCGGAGAACCGATTTGCCATCGCCAGGGATCTTTTGAGAGAAGATATTGCGCATGTAGTTGGCGGAGCTTGGGTGCAACTTTGTTCATGTTTCAAAGCGATAGCAAAGTAATTTGTAGCTTTTATAGATTTCCAACCGTCAAGGATCTTATCTAACCTTCTTGTATCATGCTACATGACTTAGAAAAAAGTCTATTATTTATTACCGACTAATGCATTAACGTTTTCTTTCTCAGGGTAAACAATATAATATTTCACGTTCACAAACGGCTGTTTGCTGTTTTTATTCTCCAAATTTGCCGAAGAATGTTTTAATATGTTCGATTTCTCAAGAATAGGTTGCTGGTTGACTATAATTTCTTCTGTATTAGAATTTGATGTTATTTGGTATTGGCACGCCTCAATATCCTCTGCTTGTGGCTCTGAGTGAACAAGAATATTAAAAAAAAATGTTTGGTAAAATAAAAATATTAAAAAATTCTTTTCTATCGTACCTGGTAACTGAAAATCATCAGCAATTTGATAAGCATCGCTGTCAGATTCTATGCGTGGACTTGCACTACAAGTCTCAGTCTCGGAACTCACATTCTCACACTCTTGATTATAGACATCATTGTAAGGATATCCTTCAGGTACTCTATACGTTTTATGATAAAAAAAACAATTAATACACATATAATTTGTATACACAGTAGAGATCTGCACGGGCCGGGTAGCCCGAACGGGCCTCAGGCCCGGCCCGGCACGAACACGGGCCTTGGCCCGAGCCGGTTTCGCACTGCCAATAGGGGTCGGGCCTCGGGCCGGGCCGGTTCCGCACTTTAAAAAAACACAACTTTGCTTCTGTACATGTTTTTGAGACATCCTATACTTTAACAGGTATTTTAAGGCGATATGTTTATGTGAAATTGATAGATTCTCTGGAATCGACAAAGAACTACTTGGAATAATTGTAATTGAAAGGATTTTTGTAATTTTATTTTAATTGTTCGGGCCGGGCCGGACTAATTTAAGTTTTAACTTTCCACAAACCGGGCTGGGCTTACAAAACCTGCTCCTTTTCTCGGGCCGGGCCGGGTCGGGCTACAAAAAACCGGCCCGTGCAGGTACACAGAGCGGATCAGTTAAAAAAAATAGAGTTTTTAGAACTTTATTTTTTTAAACAAAGACCACCCTGTATAAAAAATAAAGCACTTTTTTACTCATTACGATCTTCAGCGTTCTGTATATTTTCATGATAAAAGAAGAAAAAATATTACACATTTAATTTGTATACAGTTTAAAGTAGCAGAGCTTAATTCTTTAATACAAAGATCACCCTCTATAAAAATAATTAACACTTATACTTCATTACATTTCATTTATACACATCATTCTAACGATATTTTTCAGGTACTCTAATATGTACCGTATGATCGGTTAGGTTAGGTGGGTGTCAGCGATGGCTACGAAATAAAGATCGCTGTCATTTTATATGTAAATTTATATGGAAATGTCATCGATCGTCATTTCCCAGTCAACTGGACGTCATTTTTTATGATCATATGGTATTTTTATGATAAAAAAAAATGAATTATTAAATTTTTCATTTGTATTTACATAGTTCAGTTTTTAGTTTAGAACCAGAACTACTTTTTTATATGAAGACCACCCTGTACAAAAAATATATTACTTTTTTACTTCATGCACATCATTATACTATACGTTCGAAAATAATCAGTGTCAAAGAAAGCTTGGAAATGTAGATTGCTGTCATTTTATATGAGAAGTCATCAATCGTCATTTCAAAGCCAACTGGACGCCTTTTTTTCCGATAATAGAGTACTGATTATGATATAAAAAAATCGAATTAATACACATTTATTTGTATACACAGAGGGGTGCAGTTTATATTAGCAGAACTTTTTTGTTTCATATAATGATCACACTGTATAAAAAATAATTCCACCAATAATAATAATAATAAAACCACCCTGTATAAAAATTACTTCATACACATATACTCTATATATTTTCATAATAAAAAAAAGAACAAATTAATACACATATAATTTGTGTACACGGAGTGGTCTAGTGTTTAGAAAGACAATTAATTTTTTTATACAAAGACCACCTTGTATAAAAAATAATTTACTATTTTGCTTTGTACCCATCATTATAATGATACTCTTCACGTGCTCTATATATTTTCATAATAAAAAACAACAAACTAATACACTTTAGTAGCAGAACTTAAGTTTGTTTTTAAACTAGAACCACACTGCTTAAAAAATTAATTCTTTTAATACTCACTCGTCGAGATCTTCAGTTCCATTGTCGAATTCCACTTCAACAGCCCCATTGTCATTCATAAGCTGCTGCACTATGTTTTCATCATTATTCTCTAAAACTTCGTTATCACAAGGCTCACTATCGTTTTCCTGAATCATATTTTCAGTAAAATTACCATCGGAAACCTGTTCACCGAAAATAAGATGCTGTGAAGAGCCAATGACACCATCAAATCCATGGTTTTCTTGTATATAATCGGGATGATCTTCATCATCATCATTGTTGAAGACCTGTTCACGTTTCACACAATTCAGATCGATTTCTTGTGAAGGAATATACACTTCTAGAAAAAAAAAATGATACAGCTCCTAACTTTAAAACAATGTCAAATATACAGGGTGGCGCTTCTCATGACCATTATAAACCAAATTAAAATTTGACCCAAAAAAATTTCCAGACAACATTAATATTGATTAAAAGTCACTTTTAAAAGCAAGTTCCTCTTTTATTTTAAACGGAACACCCAATATATTATTCCGATATTCCGTGGAGAATTCATATCTCTTCAAAATACTATTAAAGTTACCTACCCCTTAGACTAAGATTTTTCTAGATATTTTCATTTTTATGATTTAGCGTCAGTAGATCTTTATTATTTGACAAACTCTAGGTGGCTGTGACATGCCATGGACATGTCTTTGATTAATTTAACAAAAATTAAGGGATGTAGAGTAAAATATTCAAAGGTAATAAAAAGAGCATGTTTGGAAACATATTTTAATTAATACAGTTACAAGAACAAAATATGTAAACGTATAATTATTATAGATGAAATTAAATGCTCAAAATGCTCTTTTCAAAAGATCTTTGACATTAGGAGGTACACGTGGAGTTGTACTTAAACAGCCACAAAAGCAAGAGAATTATTATGAAAAAAACTTTTTTTTAGAAAATTATACCATCCTGTATTTCAAAAGTTAAATGTTTAGGACATACATTCATATAAAGATTTTTTCTTAGAATGGGTTCAAGCATCATCCCCTTAAATATTACCATGTCATTAAGGAACACCCTGTATATACTTACCAGTTTTAATATTAACTGCACTCTTATTATCGTCTAGCTGTAATAAATCAGAATCACTCGGTATTTGTTGAAAAGTGCTTTCAAGTGTATTTGAATCATTTTCATTATTATTCTGCATTTGGGACTGTGCTAATAAATAATCTTGTAGGTCATTTGATTCATTTTCACTTTGAATTTCTTGTTGAAATGCAGCTTCATTACCAAGTGCGTTATCATCTGGAGGCAGTAACTGTATAGTTTCAGGAATAGCTTCTAAGTTACCTTCATGATTAGTTCTAGAAAAAAAAATTACTTTATATTTTTAAAACGCTTTCTAAATCAACACAAACCTAAATTGAAACTGGTATTTCTGTATATTTCCTTCTTGATCCTGACTTAACTGTAATCCATAGAGATCATCCGATCCTTCAACTGCAAACACAACAACTTGACTATTATCATTTTCTTCGTTTGGAATTTGTTCAGGGGGATCTGTTCCAGAAAAAACTATATTTTCTTCTACCGGCATATCTCCTAAGGGAAATATTAATTAATAAATACTAAAAGAACCAAAGCAAAAACAAAAACTTACCAAGTGTTATATTACTCAAGTTAATATTCTCAAGAGTAGCTTCTCCGGACGAGTCTAGTATTGATAAATACTGCGTCTCGTTAGAATCAATTGCTGTAGCGTAACTCTCGTTGATCGTGGCGTCAGTTATAACTGTGTCGTTTGCATCGAAGTATTGCAGGGAAGATTGGTCGTGAACTGCGTGGTTCCAGATCATATTTCCTTCTTGGATAATTATAGAGTGGTCCGAAGAATATGAATAACAGTCCGACATCGTAATGTCTTTGAATATTTTAACTAAAAATAGTTATTTTAGAAACCCTCAGCTCTAGTATTAGTTAAATTTTATACGTTCTCAAGTAGCAACTTGAAATCAAATGAAGGGTGAAGTTTAAATACCTTAATAAAAACATAACCTACAAAATTTACGAACCTTTTAAAAATGTAGTAATCGATGGAAAATCGTGAGTTATTAAATTAAAACATGGAATGAATGAAAATATCTATCTGTTGTTTAAAGAAAACTTTAAAATTTAATAAATACTCCGTCAGATATCGTATACACGTACCTATATTTACAAAAAAACAACTAAATTTTATACATGTTTAGGAATGATTGTCAAGATTTTGAAATTGAGTCTACACCACAATCTGAGAGCCAGAGCTGAGAGCAAATAATATATTGTATCTTTGAATAAAAATTCTCACAAAACTCTGTGAAGATCAGGTGAAGATTATTTAATACTTGTCAAATAAAAAATTATCTGCTAATCTGTCAAAAACAAACAAGCAGCCACAGAATAATGTACGTACTACGTAATTTACCTGATTAACTACGTGTAGTCTTTCTTCAAAAACTACGTCTTTTCCCGTTCATTAACTACATGAAAACTACATTAATAAACTATGTATTGATATTATGAATAATTTTCCTTTGTATGATGTGTAATAGAGATAATATGATGTAAATATTATATTTAAAGCGATATTTCTTCTGTTTTCTTAAATATGTGTTTCAATAATTATGTGTTTTTAAAGCTTTAACTTATTATAACTTCACCTCAAACCTTTGACATTTGAAAGTTACATACATAGGTTACATAAACTACACCCTCTACATAAACTACATTAACTACATGTAATGTAGTTTATGTAGTTTTTAAAAGTAACATGTAGTTTTCTGAACCCTGGTTGTCCCTAATCTATGGATAGAGCTATCCACAGAAAAGTTATTATATCCACGGATGGGTTGGCTTCCCTAATCAAATGGAACTATAATGGAACCAGGGCAAACCAGGGTTCGGAAAACTACATGTTACTTTTAAAAACTACATAAACTACATTACATGTAGTTAATGTAGTTTATGTAGAGGGTGTAGTTTATGTAACCTATGTATGTAACTTTCAAATGTCAAAGGTTTGAGGTGAGGTTATAATAAGTTGAAGCTTTAAAAACACATAATGTATTTAAGAAAACAGAAGAAATATGGCTTTAAATATAATATTTACATCATATTATCTCTATTACACCTCATACAAAGGAAAATTATTCATAATATCAATACATAGTTTATTAACGTAGTTTTGATGTAGTTAATGAACGGGAAAAGACGTAGTTTTTGAAGAGAAACTACACGTAGTTAATCAGGTAAATTACGTCTTAGTTAACTACTTCCGAACCCTGAATGGAACTTCTTTGCCAAAAATATAGAAACGTCCTTGAAAATAGAAAAAAATTCCAAATCCCAGTTAAAACATGGCTGATATTTTGATCGTATCCAGCGAAATTTTGCAAGAAGTTATAAGATTTTCCGACCGTGAACTAGATTACTTTTTTAGCGAAAAGTGAACGATTTAAAATCAAACTAAAATGGTAAAATATTTTTTTCCTTTTATTTTACTGTAACGACAACACGACAATGTTATTTGCCGCTCTGTTATGATGATGTAACAGCAGCATTGTTTTGAACATATGATCAAGAGCTTTTCTTCTAGGAAAACTCTGGATTGAATAATAGTGGAGGTCCCGGTGATAATGATGGTGAAGGAGAAGATCAAGACGACCCGTCTTCTTCGGTATATATATGGAAACATAAAAACGATTTAAATTATGAGCCATTTAATAATTTTAGTTTAACGTTCAGGATGAGTTGACTTATTTTCGAGAAAAATGGCATAAGGAGCTTAGAGTTCAACCAAAAACAATAAAACAAAGTGTTTCTAAAGAAGAACGAAGCAGAAATGAGACTGACATTGATCCAACTGGAACTGACGAGGAAAGTAGAGCTCGTATGCTTTTTTACAAAGGTACATTATTATATTTCTGGATATTTAAAGTTTTTAAAAAAAAATGATGATTATATTATAGGAATAGAAATGGAAAAATCTGGAAAATTATATGAGGCCATTCAATTCTATCGAAAGGCAGTTCAAATCGTGCCAGATATTGAATTCAAACTTGACTATAGGCCAAAACATATCAACTTAAAGAATGAGAGACCTCCAGAAGTTACTGAAGGTATGTAAACTAAATGTTTTAGCTGATAAATATAATTTTTATTTAATTTTAGAGATTGAAGAGACTGAAGATTCCAGTGACGATTCTGACGACAGTGAAATCATAGAGGAAAGCCAGTTGTTACCAAAAATACAGAGAAGAGTGTCCAAAATGAGATTTTTGTGTTCACCGAAGTTTGATCAAACAGTATGCAAATAAATTTATAATTTAAAATTATACAGTTTTATTATTATACTTTTAGGGTACACATATATCTTTTTTACCTGTGGAAATACTACTCTACATTCTCAGATGGGTTGTATCCAGTGATTTGGACTTGAGATCTATAGAAATGTTTGGATTAGTTTGCAGAGGATTTTATTTGTGTGCTCGTGATCCAGAAATTTGGCGATTGACATGTTTGAGGTATTTTTTGAGACAAAATTTATTTAAAGTTCTTTTTGTTTTTTTTTTATTTTAAAATTTTATTACTTTATTTTATTGATTAATTATTCATCAATTGTTTAGAATATGGGGTTTGAATTGTGGTTCATCTCCTGGCATGTACGGTACATGGAGAAACATGTTCATTGAAAGGTCCAGATTGAATTTCAACGGGTGCTACATAAGTAAAACCACGTATATCAGACATGGGGAAAATAATTTTCAAGATCAGTTTTACAGACCATGGCACCTAGTTGCTTACTACAGATATTTAAGGTATTTGTTTTATACAAAAACTGTTTAAATTTATAGGATTTTTTATATCAGAAAATATTTTTTAAAAGGGATGGGTAGGGAAAAAATCTCGTCGTAGAGAACTATTTTTTACATGTAAATTACGAGGTAGTTACGTCCACAGATTAGTAAAGCTTCTCTGAGCCAGTTAACAGTACATGATCTTTGTTAAAAAGATTTTTTCACTATATTTGGTAGTTTTTATTGATGTAAATCTCTTTTTGTATAGTTATTTTTTAAATTTAAATTTAGGCAGAAGCAAAGAAAATGTACGTTGGGAAGAAAGAGAAATCTAATTTTTTTCCCTTGCATTATTTTTTTGTGTTTTTAGGGTTTTTGCATTTTTACGTGTATTTTAGACTAAACCGTAAGACAGTACGCGTTCACACCCATCCATGATTTTTTATATTTTTCTAGGTTTTTCCCTGAAGGACTGGTATTAATGTTAACCTCTCCAGATGAGCCTTCGCTTTGCGTACAACAAATGAAGTCTCGCAGTCCTAGACAGCCTGTAATGGTTGGGTATTACAGACTGAAGGATGACAAAGTATAACATTTGCAGTAATTGCTTCAGTTTAATCAATTTTGTGTAATTTTTTTAGGTTACATTGGTTGTACAGCGGCAAGATACGTCCAGGGCTGTCCAGAGTACCTACAGAAAAGGATTGAGACGGAGAGAAATGGAAAATGCCGAGCAAACCTTTCATATGGTAAGATTGATTGATGTAACAAAATAGTTTTTACACGGGAAAATACTTTTTACATGCCAGAAAATAGTTTTTTGCGCGTAAAAAATAGTTTTTTACACGTATTTTTTTTACCCATCCCTGCTAGTTTTTTTTTGTATTTTAGGAATTGGAAATAAAAAACCACAAGAATAAACGTCATTTTAAGCTAGTCTGGACTTATTATTCGGTGTTTACAAAGTACAAGCATGGTCAAGAGAGCACTTGCACTTTCGATCTGATAGCCAATCGGTTTCCTCCGTTGATGTTTTCCAGGGTCAAGAGCTTCACTTCGGATATTGCTTGCTTTTTCTCCTAGGTGACTTAGCATAGGATAGTTAACCTCATCCATTCCGGGGCAGAACTGGTTTTTCCTTTGAGGCTATGTGTTAGTTCTTCCAGATTGAAAGGAGGGTCTGCTGTCTCCAGTGGTTGCAGTGAGAAGTTTGGTGTTATGTTTGTTATTGAGTTGTCTTTTAGTATTTCCTCGGATATTGTGTCACTGGGTATAGGTAGTCTTGCATTCGCGTGTGTGCCACCAAATTTCTTTATCTTGTTCCATATATAGGTTATGTTTGTATTTCTGTTAAGTGTCCCACAGAATTCCTTGAAGCTGTCTTTTTTTTTTCTATTCAATTGTTTCTTTGATAAGGCGATTTGTCTCTTTGCTTGTATAAAATTCTGCAGGTTGGGACTGGATCTAAAGTTGCTAATGGCTTTCCGTCTCTCTTTGACAATCGAGGAGCATTCCTGGTCCCACCATGGATTACCTTGTGGTTTTATTTGGTTTGTCTTAGTTTCTGGTATACTTTTTTGAGCTGCTGCCTCCACTATGCTGTGCAGGTCGTCAAAGCCAGCATTCAAGTCTAATTGGTTTGTCATTTTGCCTATCTCAGTTTCATACCTTGTCCAATTGGCTTTTCTGAAGTTTTTCCTAGGAAACGTAGAATGTCTGATGTTTGTGTTGCCCACCAGAGTGCACATTGTTGTTGGGTAGTGGTCACAAATCCGGGGTCTGGGATGAGTGACCATATTGTTTTTAGAGTGAGGTTGTTAGAGACAAGTGTGAGGTCTAAAGGACTTTCATTGGTGTTGTTGGCAAATCGTGTTGGTGCTTCGTTATTTATTATTGAAAAGTTTTTTTTGTTAATAAAGTTGTATAGGTTAATCCCGCTGTGGTTGTTTTTTTTGCTTCCCCAGTACTCATGATGTGCGTTAAAGTCTCCCATTATTATATTTTTCTTATTGTTGATGTCTATTGTCGTTTCTAAGTCTTGTGGCGAGATGTTATATTGGGGTGGGGAGTAAACATTTGTGATGTTAAGATCATCAATTTTTATGGTGAGTGTTTGAAGTTGCGAGATATTGTTGCTATTGCTGTTGATTACGTTGAACTTTATGTTTTTTTTGACACATGTGGCTATGCCACCGTAGCCGTCGTCTCTATCTTTTCGCATTATGTGGTAATTTTTTAGATTGAATTGATCTGTAGAAAAAAGCCAAGTTTCGTTCAAAATTAGTATATCCGGGTTAAATTTTTTTATAATTGTGATAAGATTGGTCCGGTTGGACCGAACACTTCTGATATTCCACTGGATAATGATCAGAGTGTTTTGTTGTGTCATATACTATTGTTAGAGGAGAGTGCCTTGTTTACAATTTGCCACTATATGTGGCAACCTATAAAGAACACTCCCTAGTGGTTTTCAACATTTGGTCCACACATTCTGTTGGTGTTTGTATCTTGTATTTGGTCGACATTTCTTCTATGAACGTTTTTATTTCGTTGCTGTATTTATTGAAGTTTCTCGTGGCACTTAATGTAGGCGAAATTAAGGTAGAAGCGTTGATATTTTTTGGTATTGCTCCTGTACTTCTTACTGTTTGCGGTATAATTATGTTACTACTAGAGTTTGTAGGTAGGTCCAGGTCTTGGTATTTTCTTGGTCTTGAATTTGGGAAATAAAGTATGTCCTCCTTTTGCTTTTTTAGATTGTTTGTATTTGTTTTATTAGAGGCTGCAGCCATGGCATATGTCTGCTTCCTTCTTGTTGTATTTAACCATTTTTCTTGTGATGAGTAGGGACTTTTTTCCGTATGTGGCTTGGCCAGTACTTCTGGAAAATCACCCCGTTTGGGTGAGAATGGGGTGTTAGAATTAAAACTTTTATATTTTTCGTTTGCTTCGAAGTAGGTAAGGTTGTCAAATGCCATGGCTTTTTTGACAACCAACTGCCTTTCAAACTCCATGCAAGTTTTTGAGCTGGAGCGATGTTCGTCGGAGTTGCAGAGTATGCATTTTACTTGGCATAGGAAGGATCCGTCTTCCTTACGGTGAGGTGTCTCATTTTCCGGTTCTAGGCTTCCACAATTAAGGCATTTTTTTTTGACTTGCAAATTTTTTTGGTATGACCGTATCTGAAACAGTTAAAACATTGCGTAACGGGTGGAACGTATGGTTTTATCTGCATGTCCAAGCCAAAAACCTGGATGTCTCTGGGCAGTCTTGTGCCCTCAAATGTGTAGAGGACTGTGGTTGTTGGTATGTATTCTACACTTTTCTTTTCTTTGTCAATAACTTTTCTGTTCAGTCGTGTGCAGCTTATTACCCTGCACTCTCTGCTGGTACTATTCTGCACTATCGTCTTCATGGAGAACATTTTTGGTATCGCCCTGACGATGCCTTTACATGATGTGTAGTTTTTGGGAATGAATATGTCGTAGCCTAGGTTTTTTAAATGTTTGTTTTGTAGAAAGTTGTTCGCCGCCTTGAAAGAATCAAAATCTACACCTAATCTATTACGTCCTTTGATGTTGATTTTTAAAATGTTACTAAGTTTTAGATCAAAGATATCTTTAGCAATTTTCAGATGATTAAACCCACCTATATTGTTGCCCGATTTTTCTGTTGATTCGATGTATACAGTAAAAGGGGTTTTATCTTTAGCTGTGTATATAGTTTCATTGCTATTGAATTCTGGATTGAATGCGGACTCTGTCAGCGTGGCTTTTTGTTCTGGAGCATGTGCATTTTGTGAGGTTAGATCCGGGTTACTTTCCGCAAGAATAGCTTCCGAATTGTTTTGCAAAGGACCCTGTGGGGTTTGGCTTAAGTTTCTCGTGCCTATGATGTCTTCTATGATCTCATAATCTATGTTTCGGTTGCTCTTTTTCCTAGGGGGGGATCCGGTCCCCCCGGGAGACTCCATTATTTTTCGGCCGCCGCAAAATACGCAATTATGAGGATAATAATGGAATGATACTTTATGAAACTATTTAATTTTAGGCTTGACTTACCAGGAGGTGAACACAAATGTTAGTATTTTTTTTTTCGCGTTGTCACTTGTTTCAAGTTTCACACACGAATCCTGTGACAAAGTAGCGGACTGCGATTTCACAACCCACCTCTACTTCTAACCTGGTTACGATTTTCGTGACCTAGCTCGAGAGTCGGTCACATTTTGTATGTGTCATCAAGTGGTCACAGTCACATTGTGTATGTGTTTTGTGGTCGGTCACGTTTTCTGGTTACGAGCAGTATTGTCAGATTTTTGAAATTCACCAAAAAGCGCAAATCAGTACAATAAACAAATTTAACCTGTCCAAAACATATCCAAGTGATAGTATTGGTTGATAACATGATAACTATGGTTAAAATATCTGCATAATTATTATATGGTTAAGACTGCTCGTATACGTAGTAGCTAGCGGTCTTTATTTTGGTGTAATCTGGTAGATGAGTCGGGCTATAGCCGGGTATATAACTCAGTTAAACAAATAAGCAAATTTTGACTTACAGATTATTTAATTACATAAAATTACAAAAAAATTACAACAATTTATTGTGACAAAATATTGTTGGAAAAAAAAAGAACTTCATCGACGTAAGGAGTATCTAGAATTTTAGAAAATTAAAAACGCTCAATCTAGAAAATTAAAATCGCCCGATTTGCACATTGGGCTTTTTATTTTTTTTTGCGCAAATGAAGTCTGAAAAGCGCCCAATCTGGCCACACTGCCATAGATAAGCCAAACTGGTGGCAACAGAAGGCGTTTTGGCGTTAGGTATCGGTTATCCTAACCATATTTGAAATCAGTAACCAGTTCGTTACCACAGATGTTAACCCATTCCGTAACCTGGTAAACGCGAAAACTCGTCAATGCTATCCATGTATCCATCTGGTATCCATGCATGGTGGGCGGAAAAAGGACTCTAGGGTGGGGATCCTTGACAGTTCTGTTTGACGATTCATTTGACACATTTGAATTTGATTTGAAATTTTGTGGATTTGTCAGTCTTTACGAAGCTTATTTTATGTTATTTATTATTTATTCTACTACTGATAGTTGTATAAAGGTAGTAAATCTTCAAAAAGTTTTTTTGTTTGTGTTCTACTAAATGTGAGAAAAGGCCTCAATAAAAAGCTCCTACTTTGGTTTCATTCTCGCTAATTTACTTCGCAAAGCAGGATAAAATCGGAAGTAAAATGAAGTTTCTTTCCATATATGTGGATATGGTTCTGATGTAGCTATACTAGAGATGAACATTGGTGCTTGGCCATCCAGTGGAGATCGAGTACTGTAGCTTGGTGCATGCTCCAGACTGCAGCTACAACCAGTACGTGCATGATATTGTGCGAGTTCAGACACAAGTCTACCGATCCGGGAAACCATTTTTCTGGCACATGTATCGCGCCTATACATCCGCCAGCTATCGATACAACGTCCTAGAAAGAAAAAGAAATAAGTAAAAAAAGGTGAGACTTTTAAAAAGTATTTTTTTTTCTTTTTTTTTAATCCTTTTTACTGAGACTCTTATTAAAATATAAATTACTTGGTATATGTAGAATGACTGACAGGAGGGTTAATCACCGCGACCTAATTAAAGATCTGTTGTATCCCCCTTTCTGAGTTATAACTCAGCATACATGGATATTTTCCTGTTGTAGGGGGGAGGGGTATTAGGGGAGTATTAAAGGGTATTACCTATCCTCCTCCGATTTCCAAGATAAATAATTATTTTATTTTAATTTTACCTGTAAAATAACGTGTAAAAATGCTGCCGGATCTCCACCCCCTAAACCGCTTATTCTCAGGAACCACAGCCCTATTCTGTACAGGAAGGGCAATAGGAAGCACAGTCTCCTGTCCCAAGGGGACCATGCCAGCATAGCCTTAAAAACGTGTTTTTTTATACATATTTTGCTGTATTTTTATATTTAATGTACCTTGTATAATCCCCATATACTTAACAAGCAATAACAAGATATTAGCGACCATTTGTAAATATCTGGAAGGCAATGCGATGTGGAAAACAACAAAGGTAAAGCACCTAAAATAAAATTAAGATAAATAAATAAGCTAAACACTAAAAAATTACTGTATTTTTTAATATTATGCTAACGGAGCTAACATCATTTATAGGCAACCAGATATACATGTATTCAAATTTTCTGGGACTCACCGAAACTCTGGCTAACCCATATGCCCAGCATGTCGATTTGCAGGAGGACATAATATGCCAAGGGGCCATAGTTTAAGTTCATAAACATGTGGTAGACAAAACTGCCCAGCCAGGGGCACAATATACCCGCTATGTGGCACCACGCCAGGAATGTGAGTTCTTTGGAGTGCCACGGAAGTACTTCCGGTACGGTATAAATTATATAAAATATTGGTATAGCTGAAAAAATGTGTGTTTAGCTATAAAATTAAATATTTATTTATTAAGTTTTGTAGGAACTTTTAAAAATATGATTTTTTGGCCGTTTCTGATAAGATTTAAAAAAAAGCATATTTTTTTGTTACAATTACATAAAACGGGGTAAATCTAAAAAGAACAATTTAATTCTAAAAGAAATTTTTCTTTACTTTTTTATTAAATTCCGCTTTAAGGAATTTCGTACTTGCATTGTCTTATTTATTTATTATTGCTTTGTTATTGCTTACACAACGTTGCGGTCAGAAGTATTACTGACTGGGTAATGCGCATCTCTTCAAAATATTATACGTTTTTAATACATTTTTATTTAGAATAGTCATTTAGATCTCCTATAATAAATTAAAATACGCAGTAAATTTATTCAAATAATTATAGATTCAATTTCAATTATTTAATAAGTATAAAATAAAAAAATATCGTCGGGCGTCACGATGAACGATTCGTTATAGTAGTGAGTACGCGTTCTTCTCCTTCATTTGAAGAAATTGTAATACACATTTTCGCAAATATGCATACTAGAAGAATTGATCTTAATTTTCAAATTTAAAATCTAACAGATTCGTTCACAGCTTTGTTTTTAACTAAACTTAGTTCTTTTTTAAATTGGTTAGATTATATTTTAACCTGAAACATTTTTTGTATATTTTATTTTTGTAACTTCAAAATTAAGACTTAAAAAAAAGAAAACAACTTTATTCTGTTTATAATAAAATGTTAATTGCCGCTGTTTTCAAGTGCGAACTTTTGATAACAGTCAGTGATGATACTTCTGACCAAATGTGGTGTAAGCAAAAATAAATAAAGACAATGGAAGTTCGAAAATCCTTTATAGTATATAGACATTATTTATAACTTGAATGGCACCATATAATCGAAAAAAAAACGGCGTGCAGTTGACTTGGAAATGGCGATCGATGACTATATAATTTTACATAATATAAAATGACAGCGATCTTCATTTCATAGCCCTCTCGGACGACGTTTTTTTTAATTATATGGTATATGATACATAAAGAAAATTTTAGAAAATAATGAAAATCTTTTTTGAAAATTTCAAGTCCTGGTAGTTTAAAGGAATCATTTAACTAAATATTTTTTATTAACTCACCGTGTGTTATAATATTAACAGACTCATTATGCCACTGAAAAGCGCTCTTGAAACATCCCAAAGGAGACTGTAAAGGTCTATACCCAGTTTTAATATTCGGATTAAACTGCAAATGTTCCGGCATATCTTTCAAGCACAACCATTCATTTCTCTTGTGATTTTTTTCGTTCTTTACAACAAATTCGTCTTCATTTTCCTGATCTTTCAATTCATCTTCTTCAATATCTTTTGTTTCTTCAATTTTTCCATTTTCTTTACGTTTTTTTAGTGTGCAAGTACTATTTTCTATTTCAATATCCATTTTTATAAGAAAGTTCTATAGGTTTATATATAGGAAGTCCTATAGGTCTGACGGAAGACTACTGAAAATTTCGTTCATTATTTTTTGGTGTAAAATGAATTATTCTGGATATTTTTCCCGGGTTATGGACATGATAGATAGTGACGTTTTTCGGTGGTCATGACATGACTGACCCAAATTAAGGGATGAAAAGGTGCGAACAGGCGCGCTTATGGAAACACGGAACGCGCAAATATACTGAGTTTATTTTTTTCTTACGGCCAATGTATCGATTAATAACAATAATGCAGTAATCCGCTATTTTATTAACGTATTATTTATGCGGTAATGCATATTTTTACGTGTTACCGCATAATTTATAATAAAAAAATAATTTGCATAATTATATATCCCACCTACACTATCTTAAAATCTGCATTCTTGTTGGAAATCTCATCACGGTTTACTACTAAAGTGTTTGCCATGAACAAAAAGTAACAAATGGAACAAGCTAGTTTTATATTTGTTTCTATTTAAAAGCATTTAAAATTTTTATTATTTTTTTGCAATAAAGGCAGGAAAAGTATCGAAGTCAAATCCATAAGAAAAGAAAAAACTTAATAAAAAATGATTGATATTTCTCCATAACATACGCTTTTTATAGTTTCTCCCAAAATTTTGATTTCTACACCTATCCCGTAAAAAGGTTTTTTATACGTAAAAAATGTTTTTTTACGGTAAGGTTTTTTACGCGCCCATCCCTGATTAATATCAATATATCGATATTTTAGAAAATATATCGTTACATAGTCTCCATACCTAATCATAAGTTTATCTATGGTAGTTATATTGTGAGATCTGTGGTCACTAGGTTACATCTGTCATCTATCCTCTTTGGTCACATAACCATAAAAATTAAGGAAATTTGTTTTTCTAACGACAATTTAAAAAGTTCATTAATACTATAGTTAAAAATCATTATTATTCGCCGTAAGTTATTTAAAAGTAAACATATTTTTTTAATAATCACATCTTTTGGGTTACTATAGAAAATGATGCAGTACGAGCACGAAAACGAAAAACTCAAGGACCAAACCCCTTGTGCCGGGGCCAGGGCTGATTTGAAAATGTGCCTGTTGCAAAGCGAATGTTGTAGAGTGGTATTACTTTTTTTGGGATACTACTATATCTACGAAAAAAGCTAACTATACGTTTTTCTAGCACAAAAAAACACCTAGGGAATGTTTAAAGACTAGCGATGGAACTGTACCTGATGAATGCTACGCTTTGAGGAACACGTTTTTTGAATGTAAACGATCATTGGTATGATTCCTAATGTAATTGGCTGTATATCAAATTATACAAAAAAATTCTTTTTTTTTGCAGTTAGATGCCAGACAACGGTTTAGAGGTAGGAAAGGCTATTGATTTATGTTTTGTAGTTATATCATGTATATTCATTTGTAGTTTGGTTAAATTATTATGTATAGTTCGCGATTATGTATATAAAATTAGGGATAAAATTAAAAAAAAACTTTTATGAAACCAATTTTAGTAAAAAATACTTTTATTTTTCAACAATATCATCAATTAATTTTGCATATACATAAAATTTATTGCTATAAGATTAAAGAGGAGTCATATAAAGCTTGTTTATATATCTATTTTCACAGTGCACGATAAAAATAAAATATTTATATTTACATTCTAAAATTAGTTACAATATAATTATTTGCTGATATTTTGGTCTTGGATGCATAATATCACAATGCTGTCTGTACAGCCGTTAACATTATGTGCTGTAGAATATCGAAAAATATTTATACATACATATACATGAAAAAAGTTCTTTTATTTTAATATGTACGTACAAGCTAGTACAGGTACTTTCTTCTAAACAACTAAAGGAATATTTCAATCAAGCATTTTTGATATTTAAAAGTCCCTTTACACTCTAAAAAATAATTATTAATCTAATATTTATATTTAGAATTTAATATAGAATCTAAATAGACTTTTAAATATCACACTTATTTGTTGGATGTTAGTTTCACAAATATCACATTACAAAAACGTTTATCATATATTTTTGTACTATCCTAAATGTGTATATAATACAATTCCTTAAAATGTGTGTCATGACTTGTACAGGGTGTCCTTTTCTCGTGTGTTTTATAGTGTTTTTCGTTTATGAGTAGAGATACAAAGATGCGGTTTTCACATCATTTTGCCACTTTTATGAAACCAAGGTTGCGACACACACATTTGTCCTAGACCTCTTTGAAATTGTTGCATTTTTCGAGTCACCGCGTATCTCAGTTATCTCATAACTTATCGCAAAATATGAAAGAGTCCCATAGAGTCTCGAATTCATCTATGGAATTCAACTCTCTCTATGTTTTCACCTAAAATTCAGTGTAATCCACTAGTTTTTCGCTGCGAGCTCTGTTATTCTTGAAATATTATCAAAACTTTTTTTTTTAAACGGGATACTCTGTATATTATGATTTATTTTTTATTTTATTTTCCTTCTTATGGAGCTTTCTAAAAATATAATATACTCTATACTTTTGTCATAAACAGGGTAAAAAATGCATTATTTAACTTTTTAACATATATTCGACGTCAAATTTGGTATTGGTTATTCCACGATAGTTTCTCTGTGTAGAATTATTGCATAAGTGCATTAAAATATCAATAACTCTGATCGACAGCGTGTTAACTAAAAGCTGCACAAGTTTATTTTCAATGCAGTTTATTAAGATAACACGACAGAAAGCTAAATTATCTGGTTAAATTACATAAAATATAATAATACTCTCTTAAACTAGCTTGAATTATGTTAAAATTTTAAATAAAGTATTTTTATATTATTTATCAAAATATGTATTGAATATAGTATATTTTTAGAAAGCTCATAATAAAACAAATAAAATAGAAAATAGTATACAGGGTGTCCCATTTAAAAAAACCATAGAATGTAGAATGTTTAGGAGGGGAGTTAATCACCGCGCCCTTATAGATCTATTGTGTGTTCCCCTTTCTTGAGTTATAACGAGTTATAACTCATCATACAGTCTCAGGGCTTTAAGAAAAGCCAGTATCTGAGATGGCTCCACAGAGGCCAGCTCTCCATCCTCGACATCAGACGTACCAAGGTTCATGGCACGAATGGTCGTCGTCTCGGCACACTCAGTGATAAGGTGTTCTGGTGTTTCCCCATTTTCCCCACAAAATCTGCATTCGCCGTTGTTTCTCAGTTTCATCTTACTGAGGTGTTCGTTGAGGAGACAGTGTCCTGTTAGAAACCCCGTGACAATCCAAAGATTGTTTTTACTTAAATCAAGGAAAACTTTTGATTTTTCTCGGTCATAAGTTCTAAGGAACTTTTTCGAGTGTCCTTAGACCGTTGGAGGACACCCATTCCAAGTTACGGATGGAGTCTTCCAGATTCTTCAGTTCCGCTTTCAGTTGGTTCCCGTTTGGAAAACAGAACGGTTCTGGTCCAGTTAGTGGAGTGTTCGCTCCTTTTGTAGCTAGATCATTTGCTTTTTCATTGCCTTCTATCCCTTGGTGAGCAGGCACCCAGAGTAGGAGGACTTTATTTTCTTTGCCTAATTTGTTGAGCTTCTCTAGGCATAAAAAAAAACAATAAGTTTGAGTCATATTTCGAAAATGACAGCTCTCAGCGAAAAACTAGTTACGCGACTGGATTCACCGTGAAAAACTACTAAAGCCAGTAAGTTATAACGTATGTTCGGAAAAAACGGCGCCCAGTTGGCTGGGAAATGACGATCTACGACATCTCCCATAGAAATTTACATATAAAATGACAGCGATCTTCATTTCATAGCCATCACTGATGCCGTTTTTTTTTCGATCATACGTTATAAGTTACAGGATAACAGAGATACGAGGGAGATAAAAAATGCAGCATTTTCAAATTCGCCCTGTATTTCAGAAACTAAGAAAGCTTTGACATGTGTAATCTGCGTGTAACGTGTTAGTTTCATAAAAGAGTAGCACAGTAATGCAAAAACCGCATCTCTGTATCTCTAGCCATAAACGAGAAACCCTGTAACTCACAAGAAAATGGGGCACCCTGTACAGTATTATAAAATGCCAACACTGTGTTCAGCTAGTGTTGTCGAATAAAATCAGACTCAACGAAAAATGTACTCTATCTGAATATAATTTTATTTGTTTGTTTGATATGGATAGATTTGTATAATCTGATATTGGTAAAAATGCGTGGTTAAAAAGCTTGTAAAGGTCTAAAAAGCCCAGTATATCCCGTGAGCCTTGCTCTCAGGGCTGGCAACAGTAAAGCACATACGGTGATGTCGTGTAACAAATTCGAGCATTCGCACAGTAAGATGTACATTTTGTCGCCCTTGGGACTCAGAGATTTGTGCAGAGATATTTTTCTGAGACCCGCTTGCTGTGGCAAATAGCGGTAAATCATTCTTGCCCCTAAAATCGAAATTTATTTTAAACTTTTTTTATATTTTTTATTAAACAGCTTTTTTTACCTGTCCAATATAGCCAGTTTCTTTCAAATTTTTCTCGGTCGTCTCCTTCGAAAACTTTGTAAACTGAGACGAGATATCCAGTGTTGTTGGTATGGGTTTTTGGAATGGGTACACCAATTTCATATATTGGCGGTCTAAAGTTTAATAAAAAGAAACAAAATATACAGAGTGTGAATAAATAAGTGGAAAAAAAATCAGGACGTGCTTCCTTTTTAAAAATAAGCAGTTTTTATCATAGGTCGAATGAAAATCAGAATATTGAAAACTATTCAGACTAAAAAAGTTGAAATTCGTAGAATGATTGTTTTTGATATAGAATGTTTTTTTAGCTATGTGATATACAGCGTGTTCAGAATAATAGTCCACTTGCAATATTTTTTTATTTTACTATACTTTTGTTGTTCATGTATCAATCAATTTAGAGTAATTTTTGATTCTGAATTGGTTGATTTATTACACTCTTGTCGCATATGTTTTAGTAAATTGATATTAAGATGTTACGAGTATTATAATTTTGGTTCATCCTATACAGGGTTCGGCAATAGTGCGTCGGGTATCTGTAGCTCCTAGAATAAAAAAACTTGAGAATTTTGTTTAAGTGTAAATCTAAAGTATGTACATAGGATGTATTTCAGGAAAAATATTTTAACTTCTCTAGGGTGGCTCAAAAAAGTTAGTGGATCGGGATGATTTTTTTTAAATGGAACACCCGCCTGTATATTATTGCATTTTTGACTTCCTTTCAGATAACTTTACATAATCCTAAGATATGAGTAAATATATTTCGATAATTTCTGAGATATAAATAAATAAATAAAAAATATATATTTTTCAAACCTTCCTTAAAAAAATTATTACAAATACAAGAACTGTCCTGAAGTCAAAATTATATTATGTATTTACTTTAGATGGTCTCACCATACTTTGCTATAAATATCGTAATCTTAAATCATACAGGGTGTTCAAAATCTATGCAAAACTTTTTTAAATATAAAATATTTTTTTTTAAATACAACACCCTGTATATTATTTTTTGTAGATTAGAGTAGTAGTAGAGTTTTAGAAAATGAACATTTTTTTGTTTGAAGTATTTCAAAATTTTTAATGGTTTCGCAGATACACGCAATATTATTTCATATGGCTCTTTCAACAGTAAAATACGAGCGAAAAATCATTGGGTGGCTTGATAAAAATTTACTGTGGAAAATGCCATATGAAACATAAAACTGGAATATTTGCGAAACCGTTCAAAATTTTGAAATACTCTAAATACCAAAAATGTTCATTTTTTAATTCTCCATCTATTGAAAAAAATAATATACAGGGTGTTCCATTTAAAAAAAATGGAGAAAAAATATTTTATATTTTAGGAAGTTTGGCGTAGAATTTTGAACATCCTGTATGATTTACGATTACCATATGAATAGTAAAGAATGTATAGACGTATCTAAAGTAAATACCTAATATAGTTTGTGATTTCAGGACAGTTCTTGTATTTTCAATAATTTTTTTAAGAGGCTTTTTTAAGGCTGAAAGATATACATATGTATATATTTGTTATTTATTTATTAATAATATTTCTGGAACTATCAAAATATATTTGCTCATATCTTAGGATTATGTAAAGTAATCTGAAAGGCAGCCAAGTGCAATAATATACAGGGTGTTCCATTTAAAAAAATCATCCCGATCCACTCACACTTTTTTGAGCCACCATATAGAAGTTAAAATATTTTCTTGAAATACATCCTCGGATATAGTTTAATTTACACCCTGTATATTAATAAAATAAACAAGAATGAGTGTTTTTTGGATGAAACGCGTTTTTTTATTTTTACATTATGGTATTTTAAAACCCTAAAAAACGTAAAAAAAAACAAATAAAGGAAAGTGCCATTTCTCTTCTTTCCCAACATATGTTTTCTAACGATTTTGCCATGATTTGGTTTGATTTGGTTTGAAGTGAAATAAATTAAAATATCCTTTTTGCAAAGATCATTAACATTTGGTTAGATTTAGATAAATTTTACTAGATTTTTTGTTTTTATAATAATTAATGACCATACATATCTTGTAAAAAAGAGTTTTCTACATGTAAAAAACTATTGTACACATAAAAATCTAATTTTTACGCGTAAAAAAGTTTTTCTAGCCACCCATCCCTGATAATAAGCAATAAAAATAATATACACACCTACAAATTGACGCTACTTCCGAATAGAGATCCAAAGTGTGCGCAGCGGTATATCTACGAGATTGTATATTTAAAAAAAAGTAATTAAAATTTATATCATTAGTACCTGGTGACTCTAGGATCAAACTTAGTTAAACTGGCAGTACGTAAATTGTTGTAGAACATGACTGGATTGGTTTGCGACGTATTTATTACGTAATAACTGATAAACGGAAATTCAGCTGAAACATAACAATTTCATCATATACCGTATGATCGAAAAAAAACAGCGTCAAAGACGGCTGGGGAATGCCAATCCATAATAATTTTGGCGAGGTCAATGTCTAGATGTCATTTAATAAAAATTGACATAAAACTTGTCAAAAATTAACACTAAGACAACACAACATTTTAGACACACAAATCTCTATCTAAAACATTATTTTTTCTTGAATTTTAAACTATACTATTCAAAAATATTTTTTATTCAATATAAAAATAAATTACAGGCCAACTGGAAGTATTAAATGAAGCCCATATACAGCTTGATCTCGTCAAAATTATCATCGATTGTCATTCCCCAGCCGCCTTTGACGTCGCGTCGTTTTTGTTCGATCGTATAGTATTTTTTTTATAAGATTTTTCACACAATTTGTTGGTTCGGTTTTACACTACTTAAATTATTAGAGAAATTAGGGTGGCTGCAACGACGCGACGCGACGTCCCGTAATCATGCTGTTAAAACATAACAGCTGGTTTTTTATATACTGGGTCCGGCAATAGTGCGTCGGGCAACTGAAGCTCCTAAAATAAAAAACTTAGAAATTTGGTTAAGTGCAAACCTAAAGTATGTATTAGGATGTATTTCAGGAACATAATTTAACCTCTACAGGGTGACTCAAAAAAGTGTAAGTGGATCAGAACGATTTTTTTAAATGGAACACCCTGTATATTATTACATTTTTGGCTTCCTTTCTGATCACTTTACTTAATCTTAAGATATTTTTAATGATAGGTTCAGAGTTAGATAAATAAAAAAAATTTCAGCCATTATTAAAAAAATTATTAAAAATACAAGAACTGAATCAATGATCTAGAATTTTGAACATCCTGTATGATTTAAGATTACGATATTTATAGCAAAGTAAGTACAGACCATCTAAGGTAAATACATAATATTTTTTTGATTTCAGGACAGTTCTTGTATTTTTAATATTTTTTTTAAGATTTTTTTTTATTATTTATTTTTAAGAAAGGCTTAAAATATATTTATTTTTTATTTTTTAATATCTCTGAAACTATCGAAATATGTGTACTCATATATTAGGATTATGTAAAGTGATCTGAAAGGAAGCCAAAATTGCAATAATATACAGGGTGTTCCATTTAAAAAAATCATCCCGATCCCCTCATACTTTTTTGAGCCACCCAGTAGAAGTTAAAATATTTTCCTGAAATACATCCTAGTACATACTTTAGGTTAGCACTTAAACATTTCCAAGTTTTTTATTCTAAGAGCTACAGATGCCCGACGCACTATTGCCGGACCCTGTATAAAAACCAATTGTTATATTTTAACAGCAGGATTACGGGACGTCGTTGCAGTCACCCAATTGAATATTATACAGGTTACTCAGCCGAATATGCAAAAAGTGCATTTTTATCCATTTTATTTCATGCGTCTAAAATAAACTTAACAACTTAGCGAGTTGTGTGCAAAAAACTAATTATTTAATGAAAATTTACTGTTTTTCTATAGTTAAATTATTACTCTAATAGTACTCACCGTTTCTCTCCATATTGGCCAATAGCATACCAGTGACGGCCGTTTTGGCCATCGCTACCTCGTTGACCAATTCGCCGGCCGTCACCCGTTGCTTGAACAGAGGCTGGACCAGAGGCGACTCGAGGACGGGGTCGATGGGCTCGAGGGGACTCATCAGGTGACATAAGACACATAGTTTCGGATCAGGTACTTCCATCACTTGCAGGTTGTTCTGGGAACGTCTGTCCAGCGAATTGTTATTCGAAGGTGGTCTCTGTTGAAGAAAATATGTTTTTTTATTATTTTGACAAATTGATAAAATTATGGATATTTATTATACAGGGTCGCTGATATGTATGGGAACAGTCGATTATCAGGTAAAATATAAGAGGTACCGCAAAAAGTTAAATATAAAAGTTATAGGATTTTTAAATATCTATTAGCGGGTAATAAATTTGAGTATACAGGGTCGGTCATAAAGTCGTGGCACATCAAAGTTGTATTTTTTAAATGTAACCTCCTGTATATTATTGTCATGTTAATGATGTTAAGTCGAGACACACAATGTACATCAAACCAACCGTTTCCGAGTTATTCACTTGAAAATATCACTTAAACAATTCAATTTAATTAATTTCGATGTGTTCATTTAACGATGCCATGCTGGGGAAACTGTGATACTTAATAATATTTGACATTAGTTTTCAAGTTAGCATTTATAGATGTATAAAATTTACATTATGTGTATTATGATTATGTACATAAATTCAACAATTTCCGAATTATGAAGTTTTGATTTTGAAATGTTAAACAAAAATGTTGTTTCCAGTCTTGATATAATCTCATTTTATACATCTATAATTGCTAACTAATGTCAATAAGTATCACATTTTCCGCAGAATAGCATCGTTAAATGAAACCAAACACATTGAAATTAATTAAATCGAATTGTTTAGATTGTTGTTGAGATTTATTTAGCAGTTTTTAGAGATCAACTTCTGAACCTAAAACCATCTCTAACAAAATTTGTAATATTTCCGAGCTAAAATTTAAATTTATTTCTTAAAAATGATATTAATACACTAAAAAAGACGATCATTTCAAATTAGTGTTAAAGACTAGATACTAGATTCTGTTCAAGGAATGTTCGTTGAGTTTTTTAAAGAATATTATAATATGTTAAGCATTTAATTTTTCATTTAAATGAAAGAGCTTTTTTGTAGTTTTAGTAAAAGCATCATAAAAGATATTATGATTATTACAACTCGAGAGTTTAAAGTTGAACGATTGATTTATAATATTGGCATTTGGAAAAGCTTAATAAAAGTTAAGTTTAATAAATAGTGTTTACAACTAGAATAAAAAAAGTCATGTTTATGTTACACATAAAACAAAGCGTTTTATTGTGTAACAAATTAATAATTTGTTTCTTTCATTTATCCAGTAAATAAACTAATAAAAACTGTTTATTAGTTACAGTGGTCTTCCATGATCCACACACCTTATACTAAGGGCTGGCAAATGTTAGTCTTGGGTCGAGATTTCCGTATGTAAGAAGAGTACAATGCGATTATAATGTACTGAACAAAGAGAGGACAGTAAACACGTTGCCAAACGTATGAAATAAACCGAGAAACTGTGCACATCGCTAAGAGACGTGGAAGGGGATATAGCAGATTTGTCGCAGTTGACCGGTCGACCCAATCAATACCTCTGTCAGTACTTAAAGTTCTAGGGAAAGGTGTACGTCATACGTTCAGCTTCGCGATTTAATTACGTCTCGTGATACTTAATTTGTTTATTTATTAACGAGTCGTTGTAATTTTCCCTATAGCTTGAATTTTTTTAAGTGCAAGCTAGAAACACTTGCGTTTTTGGTAAAAAATAAGTGGAATTGAGTGGGTGTTCGATAGTGGTCGCGCTATTAGAATTCAAAAATCGATATCTCGAAATCTATTAGAAATAATAGATTGTAGTTTTTTCAAGAACTTTGTTAATATTTCTACTGTATTTTATTTGTAGACAGTATGTGAAAATCTTTATCAATAAAAAAATTACACGATTGCTGAAAATTGCTATCCTCTAAAAGTAAATGGATGGATTGTTTACAATTTTTGAATGGAAAAAACAACCTTATCGAATTTTTCTTATGTAAACATATTGTAAAATATCCAATGAAAATATCCTTGAAAACAAAAAAAAAATTCAATATCTAAAGTGGTTCTTGAGTTATGGCCTTGTGTTAAAGTGCTTGTGTTAAAAAGTTGAGTTTTTAAATTATCGCCATTACTGACGTTTTCTCGTTATAAAAAAATGACACCCTAACGATATCCTTATAATTCCATTTCATATGCTCAGAAACATGTCTAATGATTTTATCTAGTTATCTCTTGAAAAGAAGTCTTTTAAAAATAAGCGGTTAGCGATCGTGATTTTACTTTACTTGATAGGGAAAGGCGTATCGGCAACGCCGCAACAGCACACCGTCGCGCGACGCGTCTGTCGGTCGCATTTCTCCATGTGTTCCACACATGTAAATGCCGACCCAAAAGTAACAGTTGCCAGCACGGTATATAATAATATATGTGTTAAATTTACCGGTATAGGTACTCCAGCGGGCAAAAATCTATCCAAACTGTGCACAGGTATAATGAAACAGTCTTTTTCCAGGCCAGACAAGGATCTGGATACTTCGGAGTTTCCGTTATTGAAACTCACCTAAAACGAAAAAAAAATCATTATTTCTAACGTGATAAGAACAACAAAAGACCTACAAATTATTGTTTTCAATGCAGTTACCTGTCTGCTTGGTGTAGTTTTATTGGGGGGCCACTTCAGACTGACAGAAGGACTGCGCACTACCAGCGGTTGGGGTAGATCGGACTCTGTTATCGCAGGGGATATGGTAGTTGCTAGGGGAGGAGGCTCCCCTCCCGCCCCTGTCATCGGACCACAACGAGGTTCTTAAAAAATAACATTTTTTGAATAACAAAATCAATGATGCAGAAATGATAAGGAGAAAATCAAATGTTAACTGATTTTTGAAATATTTTATAAATTTTAAAACGTTTTAACTTTAAAAGAACTTAAAAGTTTATTCTATACACTTTTTTTTAAATTTTAATATAAACAATGATTGTTTCTTGTTAATATTTGATTTGTCCTAGTAACAAAATTTAGTCAAAAAAACGATTAAGATTAGTAAACACAACACTCAAAATATTTATTATGTTGAATATATTTTATTCTTAATAGTTAAGTGTTTTACTTTGTAATAGTGAACAATTTAGATCTCTAAAATAACATATGACCTTGATTTACCATAATTATTGAGAGTATGATACGCATTTTCCCTAAACGTGTCAATTATAGCGCCGATTAAATATGCAACTAACAATACGTTGAATCCTAACGCCAAAAATGACATTCGAACATAGCCCCTATGTACTGAACTACTATTTATGTAATGCCTATACATGTGAACAATTTAGATCTCTAAAATAACGTATGACCATGATTTATCATAATTATTGAGAGTAGGATTAGCATTTTCCCTAAACGTATCAATTATAGCGCCGATTAAATATGCAACTAACAATACGTTGAATCCTAATACCAAAAATGACATTCGAACGTAGCCCCCATGTAGCCCCTATGTAATGCCTATGTATTCTTCATATACATGCTATATTTTCCGCTCTACAACATTCTGCAAGTAGTTTATTAGGATCAATGGCTAAAGAACACAAGGACACGTAACGCCCATATATGGGCTGGAGCAGAATTTGTGTTGTTAAGCGCCATTTTTTTGGAGGAACAGATGTGTCACCAGCAATAATTTTAGCAATTTTTACTAGTTTGCTGTGTGTTGTAAACTTATTTGTATAAACTTTATTACAATGGTGATTTGTTCAGTTTTCAAGTGTCCATTTTTACACGTGAAAGCTGAACAAACGATTACAACCATAGGCGTAGTCAAAACATTTATCAAAAATATAAATATATCTTTAAGCAGCTATGTTAAGAAAAATATGTGCCACAGCATTGTTTGGAAGTATTTCCAATTGGTTATAAGTTATATGTACCTTGTATTCTTTAGTCATTGACTAAAATCAATCACTCCAGCACTTAGGACTACCTCTACACTCCATACTTAGGACCAGTATATATAATCTTCATCTATGCTTAGGACTAAAGAATACAAGTGTTGTTAGACGCCATTTTGTTGGAGGAACGCCACAATTTTAGCGATTTTTAATAGTTTGTTGTGTGTAGTGAACTTTGTATAAACTTTATTACAGTGGTGATTTGTTCAGCTTTCAAGTAGCAGCCGCAACGATAAGAAAGAGCTAGGTGGTCCGTTTCATAGGTAAATAAACAGCTCACTCCATCTTTTTAGCGTTTTTTTTATTGAATTCGATAATTATCTTTATGATATTATATGAACTTCATATCGTCGGCTTTATGACGAAAACGCGTATCTCGATTTTTGCTACTTTTCAGGAGAGCAATTTAAAAAAAATCACTTACTTTATTTGGCCGATAAATGTAAAGTTTAATTTTTTAATAGTGTTTTTGTATTAACACTTAAACGGAGACATTGAGGAAACGTTCTGAAGATAAATTGTGCGTAAATTCTAATAAATAATTTCTTTTTAGTTGTTTAATAGAGATAGGTCTTTTTGTTATAATAATAATAAATTTATTTCCGAACGAATAGTACACATACGCCCATGTAAAATAAATTTAAAAATGATGGTAAAGTGTTCTTAATAAGGAAAAAAAAAACAATATTCACATTATGGAATACATACAAGAAAATACAATACATACATACAGGAAAAATCGGAAAATCACCAAAAAATTAGAAACAAATATTTTTAAATACTTTTATTTGCGTTGGATTAGATCAACTGAAAACAAAGACAATTTTCATTCCAGAAGCAAAGACAATGATCAATTAAAATACACTTATCTAGCTTATTTTAATAATTTTTTTTATACAAAAATACATTTTTTTAAATAATATATTTTTAGTAATTATTCAGTTAATTGAGGGCATTAATACAATGCATTTAAACTCACGGGCCATTTAATAAAAACCAAACTAAACAAAAACAAAACATGTTTCTTCATTCGTGCCTTTTTGATACAAATAACTATGGACTAACAGTTTCTGTTTTCCCTGTTCAATGATAACAAATTCGACTTCCATTCTACGTGTTTATGCAGGATGATGATAGGCACAATAAATAAAATTTTCCAAAAATTGACAGGGATGACAATGCCAATGGCCCGACAATGATAATGAGATAAAAATTATTGTATTTTTCGGGCAAGTTTTTGGTTCGCTAAAATGTCCTTAGGGAAATTATAATTTCTGGAATTTTCCATTAGGGCAATTTTCGTTTCGTTGTTTTGCTTTCGATCAATTTTTCTTCGGCCATTTATTCTCGGACAATCTTTTGCATACCCGATACCGCTATGTGCAGAGTCTAGCTCATTCTATCAATGGTTTTTGGCAAAAAAACAGACTCAAAATCACACTGTAAAAGAGAGCTGCTGCCATGATAGAAGTTTTATTTTGTCCCAAGCAACCATCAGAAAATAATTAGGTAGAATGGTGTGATTTTCTCTCGCATGCATTTTCATAACTTAAAACAAAAGGACCTATCTCAAATTCCATCTTTCTTGTAGTATAACAATTGGTATAACAAAGAGCCCTATCTCAACATACGTCTCTTCGTCATAACGAAGAATTGTAGTATTTGAGATGGGGCAAGTTTTTAAACGAATATAAAATGAAAAAGGTACAATATTGAGATGCGCAAATCCGCTATGTTAAAATATGATCCATTGGGCATGTCATGACGTTGATATCTCAAAATCGCCAAAAATCGAGATATGCCTTTTCGTCATAAAGCCGACGATATGTACTATACGTCGATACTAGTTTTGTACTTTTTTTAAATTTAAATATATTTTTTTTATTTAATTAGTATGATACCAAAATAAGCAGCATAGACCATAGGCGTAGTCAAAAGATTTATCAAAAATATAAGTATTTCTTCAAGCAGCTAAGTTAAGAAAAATATGTGGCACGGCACTGTTTAGGGTATGGTAACAATTGGTCCTTGTATTTTTTAGTCATTGCTTAGGATCGTTTAGTGAAGTAATTGAGCACTAAGAGGCGATTTTTAGATATGTACTGAGCACTGGAAACTTAGCTTTAAAAACGAAAAGAGTTAGTTTTAACGTAAACATCAAGTTATGAGCAAATAAATTTTCGTCACACGTATATCAGGTCGTCATTTCGCTGTCGCCGTGCCAAAACAATCGCATCAAATCGAGACAACTAAGAAAAAAAAGAACAGGTGAGCGCAACTGCAAAACAAAAGACAAAACCCACACGAAAACAAAAACGAATCACTGCGGCGCCGCGTTTTGTTACCTGGTGCTGTATCGAAGGGGGTGGGGAGCGTGGACGACGACGTTCTTTTTTTTTCTATTTTTCCCCGCGCGCTGCGATTGTTTTTCGCGCGAACGGCCAGAAATATCGGAGCAGGCCGCGGAATTGGACGCGAATAACTGACCGCACTAGCCGTTGTGTAAACTTTGACCAAAGAGTAGCTATCGATAGATTCAGACCGGGGATGAACTATACTGATGCTCGCGCTAGAGACACGAAAAAAAAAGAGATGAGCGTGACTCGAGAGAGATATTTTTGTATAGATGGGTTTTTGAGTGTCGCGCCAATTTATTTTGGGACGATGTATCGCTCTAGGATAATTTTAATACTTAATACACTTTTTTTCTCACGCTCTTAACGGAGTTTTTGCGCCTAAAAAATTCTAGGTACTAAAATGTGATCAGAAATACTAAAATAATGTCTATACATGGTGTTTCTCAAAAAGTGGCTCACCCCTATAACTTTTTAAATAACCTATAAAATTTTTTCGGATTAAAAAACGAGATTTGGTTTATGACGTAAATCGGGATTGACTGATGTATTCAATTATTTTCAGCCTTTCTTAAAAAAATTATTAAAGATACAAGAACTGTCCTGAAATCAAAATACGAATGTTATATCACAACACCCTCTATATCATTTTTTTCAATAGATGGAGAATTAAAAAATGAACAATTTTTGTATTTACAGTATTTCAAAATTTTTAACGGGTTTGCAGATATTCGCGGTTTTATATTTCATATGGCATTTTCCACAGTAAATTTTTATCAAAGCCAACCAATGATTTTTCGCTCGTATTTTACCGTTGAAAGAGCCATATGAAATAATACTCCGTGTATCTGCGAAACAATTAAACATTTTGAAATACCTTAAATACAAAAAATGTTCATTTTTTAACTCTGAATCTAATAAAAAAATAATATACAGGGTGTTCCATTTAAAAACACGAAGAAAAATTATTTTATATTTTAGAAAGTTTGTAGAATCTGTATGATTTAAACTTGAACACCCTGTATGATTTAAGTTTGCGATATTTATAGCAAAGTAAGTATATACTATCTAAAGTAAATACCTAATATAGTTTTGATTTCAGGACAGATCTTGTATTTGTAATAATTTTTTTTATAAAGAAGGTTGAAAAATAAAATTCGACGATCAAATTTATTTTTCCAAGGCTCCTTGATTAAAAATTAGTGTTTTTAACATAGCCATGGCACTACAGATTCAAATTTAAAATTCAATTTTGTTTTAAGCGAAAATGTCAAAAGATATCATATGATATGCCATTCTGTTCAGAATGTTATTTTATATCGAATAAAGTAAAAAAATACAGAGGGTGCCATTTAAAAATCAAAAGTTGTAGTCATTTCCGGTGAAACAGGAAGTGACAGAAAACAATTGAATACGTCAATCAATCCTAATTTATGTCATATACTAACATACCAAATCTCGTTTTTTTATCTGAAAAAGCGCCACTTTTGAGACGCACCCAGTATAAAGGCTCGATTTTTTTTATTTTTTTCGCATTTTCTACCGCTTCGTATGACCACATCCCCCATTAAACTGGCAGATTAATATATAAAATTAAAAAAAAAACTTGTATTTGATTACATACCAAACAAAATATAAACAAAAATAACATAATATGTAATCCACCCAAAAATAAACTAAAAAAAAAACAAAAAAAGGTCAAAACGAATATACACACACTCATATATCATTTGGGATTTGGCGAGAGATATTTTGGGACCATCTGTTTCAATTATAAACCACCGAAGCGTTTAGAAAATAACCGTAAAGTTAAAATAAACATTTTTGCGTTACGTGTTGGTAAAATTAGCGAAAAGAAACGATACAAGGCAATTCAATACGTATTTTTAGTTACAAAACGACTATTGTTTTCGTCTGTTGTTAGAAATACCCTCTGTCTCGAAACTTGTTAAGCCAGTTTAAGAAAAAAGGTTTTTTGATAAACATTTTTTTTCAATTGAGTTTTTGATGATTTCATTATTTTTTTTGTTGAAACAATTCAATAAATACACAGTGTGTCCTAGTATTCTGTAGACATACAACTACTACGTATCGTACTATCGAAAAAAAAACGGCGCCAAAGACGCCTGCATGGGAGATGACAATCCATGATAATTTTGGCGAGGTCAATCCCTAGACGTCGTTTATTTGGCTCGTAGTCTTCTTTATTGGCTGTTACTGCCAGTTGGCCTTAAGAAGGTTGTAATTTAGTTTTATATTGAGTAAAAATGATTTTAAATGACGTAGGTATATAGTTTAAAATTCGATATAAAATATTTTTTTGCAAATAGATTTGTGTGCGGTGTTGCTAATTTTCCCACGAAGTCGGTCAAAATTTCCCGTTTTTCCTAAAAATTCACACGAATTACTGAAAATATCAATTATCGTCGGCCATAGATTGGGCAAATATATTATTATCGGCCATAGATTGGGCAATAATCAAAATAATTCGATTTTGTCTTACAATACAATAGACTATGAGATCTTTATCGAAATAGGCTATAAAATTATTTTTGCTAAAAATTGAACTTGAGATTTTCAAAGTAAGGTATCGTTTATCATTTTTTTAGAATTCTAAAAAATTCTAAATTCTAAAAAAATCGTTTATCATTATACAACGTTCAATATATTCAGTTTGTGCTGAATGCCTATACGATGACTATTTTTTTTTAATTTACCACGTCCAATAGACTGTGAGGTCTTTATCGAAATAGGCTTTAAAATAATTTTTGCTAAAAATTGAATTTGAGGTTTTCAAAGTAAGGTATCGTTTATCATTTTTTTTAGAATTCTAAAAAATTCTAAATTCAAAAAAAATGTTTATCATTATACAACGTTCAATATATTCAGTTTGTGCTGAATGCCTATACGATAACTATTTTTTTAATATAATATGGCGTTTTGGGTTAAAATTCCCCTTTTCCCTCTGGATCTCGAAATTTTCCACGAGTTGGCATCACTGTTTGTGTGTCTTTAAACGTTCTATTCGTTTTTAATCTTTCTATAGTTCGAGTTAATTTTTGACAAGTTTTATATGTCATTTTTTAGTAAATGACGTCTAGAGATTGCTGAAATTATAATCTATTGTCATTCCTTTCAGGTCCCAACCGTCTGATGCCATTTTTTTTCGATTATACGGTATTCTGAAAAAGTGGTGTAAAGTTTAAAAACCTTATGGTACATGACACAAAAATATGAGTTTTTGTCTGTTTTTAGTTTTTTAAACACTGTTGTTAGTGAAGCACATGTTATACAAGATCTACCGAATGTTTTGTGTGTTCCTGTTGTGTTTGTAGTATACCTGGAGAGCTTAAAGATCCTGCAAAGAAAACAAACATGGATATGCTACAAATATCTTTCGTGGATATTGTTAAAAATATACTACACAAACCTCTACGTACCACTCAAAAAAAAAGATTGAAAATAAGTGAAATCCCCATATATTTTTGTGAGCTTTTGAGAAAAAAAAATAAAAATGGAATACTATAAGGAAAAAAATGTGTCATACCATCAGAATCCTCCTGGCTATAGCTACACCTTGGTGGACTGAAGAATAAATGAGTTCTATAATGGTGTTCCTCGATGGGAGTATAACCTTGGTCCCTGGTACACCGTTTGCTAGCATGTCTACCCACGGTACCTTTAGAACCTTTGCCACTGATCACACCTGTTTTTTGTTCCCTGAAATTCTTCCTGAACATCAAATTCATGATGGACCTTTTAGTGTAGTTTTTGAGGTCTGAAAACAAATACAATAATGTAATTACAATTAAATTAGCCTCATTTATTAAGGATCTCAATGATTATTATAGTTGAAATCACTAACTTTTCCCATTTTAGCGTAATTACCACAGAAAACTGTATCTACTGCCTAGGTATTTTTCGTTTAAATCACAGTGATACCATACGAGATGTCAGATGTAGAAACAGGGAATAGAAACATGAGAAAAACTATACATACACGTTCATTTATTATAATTTTTCAAAGATGTGAGAGAGAAAAAAAAATTCAAGTAAATCAACAAAATACAAATTTCATTTTCGTTCCTTAAATCTATCTTCTAGTTGGTGCCATCTACATGTGTATTAACTGATTTGAAGAGTAATAACTTTTCGTCCGTACCTGTATAAAACTACTCAGTGGAAAAATATACATTTCCGTAAAAAATGTCTCTTGGTGAAATTCGCTACTAGCAACCATTTTCAAGACAAAAAATAAACATGTTGACTAAATAGTTATTTGCCTGAAATGATACATTTGGGAGCTTATTATTTTTTTAAGCTAATCATAAATTTTTTTTGAAAAGAAAATACGATAAAACAGATTCTGTTCAATCTTTAGCACAAAAACATTTCAAATTTATTATTTCAGACTAATAACTATCCAGTCAACATGTATAATTTTTGTCAATTATGACATGTATTGATTATTTCGATTTCAAAAATCTTGAGAACCATTACTCGTAGCGATTGTTACCAAGAGATCTTTTTTCTGTAAAAAATGACGGAAAAGGATATTTTTTCGCTCAGTAGTGTTATACAGGTACGGACAAAATGTTATTACCCTCCAAAAGAGCTAAAAAATATGTTGGTGGTGCCCCCTACAATTAGGAGACATAATGACATCGAAACCGAATTTCTCATGTCAAAAAACACCCAGACACCAAATTTTGTCCAAATATCGACGTTAATTTAGATATTATTTGGAAAAAATCGAAATAAAAATGAAACTGCTACACCCTGTATTTACAAAACGAAGCATTCCTCCCGAATACAATTCGGGCCACCCTGTATATTCACAGACCTGATCAAATAGGTCCCATAACCCTTTTTTAATAAATTAGGTCTATACGTGAAACAAAGCGGACTTGAATCGATATTAAATGTCATAGTTAACGACTTGTTTAGATAATTTACTTATAATAGCGTAAAATTAGTAACTACCCAATATTTACATACTTAAGAAAAAAAATGGGACAACTCTCCAAAACATTAAGAAAAAAATAATAATTTGTATTTTTTCTATGGAACAAAATCATCCAGGAATATTTATAATCGCATTTAATATAAAAATTATGATACGTACCTTAAATATAACTATTTTCAAATGTTGTTTTAGGTAAAAATTACACCAAGAAAATAAGAATTATTTTCTTTAATACACAGACGAAGAAAAAATCTAAAAAATCTCACAAACCTTTTTACTTCGTTTTATTTACAGTAGTTACTCTTATACGTTTTAAATAATTAAAATAAAACAAAAATAATAAACTACCTTATTAACGCGAATTATATTATTACACAAAAATAGTCTCTCTGTGTGGAAGCTCGCAAATAAAAACACAATCAAAATTTAAATTTAGAATGACTACTGACGTTTTAAAGAAATGTCACACACGCACTACACCGCAAAAGAAATCAAGGTCCGGCCAGTCTACTCCGCTGACCAATCGATGGTCCGTCGGAGTAGAAGGGTTAGTTGAAAAATGGACGACGACGACGCTGTTGCCGAGCCAAACGGCGCTCGGCGTCTGGTAGCCAACGTCGCGACGGCATTCGACGCCGGTTTTTTTTTGCGCGGAATGCGCAAAGTTCAAAGCTGACACGACACAAAGTCGCATTTGCGGGACTGTTGTAGGTCAAGGTCGGCTGGTGCAGACACACAGACACTGTTTTATTGACAGGTGTGTGTCAAAAACATCATTATTGACAGGTGTTCGAAATTTGCCGTAATATATCGAAACCCTTTTAATTTAAACTCGGGATGCGCGTTTCACTGGCCATATTAGTATCATCGGCATATTCAGGGTGAATCTTAAATAAGTGCAAATATTTTTAGGAGTAGTACTTCGACACGAGAAACACGTCTATGAGATTCTTTTCGCGAAAAAAATTTTTTTGGAAAATTTCAATTTTTTTTTGGAACTTTTTTTAATGTTTAGCTAACAATTATAATATCTTGATAATATGGCAACATATTTGTATTGTATTTGACTAAGAGTGGGTCCCATAGGACCCTCCACTGCGGTCGCGAGGGCCTATTGTGGCTCAGTTCTCAGTTTCTACAAGCAGGCAGTGGCGTGGGTAAAAAATTAGGTGATGAGTATATTTTTTTAGAGCGTTCAGTGAACCCTCCTTTATTCCAAATGCCATGTTTATTATAAAATAGTAAACACGACCAACAAAATAATTTTTGTAAAACAATACTACTACATAGCCAATTAAAATCAGAAAACCAGGAAGACTTAAATTTAATATTATAAGATTTACCACTTTTTCTTATTTCTTTTTTGCAATTTATGGTTAAAGTTTCAGTTGGTCGCCCTTGAGATAAAACATCCCTCTTATCTTCATCTGTCCACCGTCTGAAGGGAGCCTCCAATAAATTGCACACCAAGTCATTAATTGGGTTCATTTTTTAATATACAAAAGCCATTAACAAACAACAATAAATAACAACTTTACTGTCTTTACACGGTTAATTACTTGCCGAGTAGCCGAATATTAGCATAAATGCATAAATTATGCGCCGCCGTCACGCATTTCCTGAACAAAAAACAAAAGGAAGACGAAGAGAACTGCCTAAAACCAAAAACTCATTCACATCGGTCATCGATAATAAACTTCGGGGCGGGGGGATTTACATCTGCCGCTAGGCTGACGTCACGTTACGATGGAAACCGTGCAGCCGCTTAGCTCAGAAATAGAAACATTTTCACTTGCACTCCTGGCCTGGACTTAACGATGCGGTGGACCTATTATGCAGAGGTCCGCCCAGAAAAAAATAAATAACAAAAAATTTACCATTTTATTATTTAGATGCATGTAAATATATTAAAGTAAATTAATATTTTAAACAGTAAAGTTTTTTTCTTAAATTTGAGTATTTTTTCGGTGAAGTGCCCCTTCACCTACTGCACCTGACGAGCCGCCACTGCAAGCAACATAGATGGTACATTAAATTTACAAGAAAGAAACCCAGAAAACAGTGGTTCTCAAAATTTAAACAAAAAATATATTTTTTTAATTTTCAAAGTAAAACATCTCGATTGTTTTGGACTTATTTGAAAAACGGTAAAGAGAAAATATGTTTCTTTTATAGAAATCTACCAGCCCTGAAAATATTTGTACTTATTTAAGACTCACCCTATATAATTAAAAGCAAACTCCTAGGTACTCGATTGGCATTGGTACCGGGTTTAGCATAATCAATATAGCTAGGGTTGTGTATACTGCACAACCTTTGTTAAAAAATATGTATTTTTAAGCAGAATTGGACCTATAATGAAATAATAACTCTATATATGACAATATGATCAAAAAAAACTGCATAGGTTCATATACAGGGTGTTTTATAAAACAGGTGCCATCGTTTTATTTCATATTTTCTTATATCAACGTAGCTCCGATTCTGCTTTGTTTCGTAGGTACAGGGGGCCAAAGTCTCTTTTTTTCAATATATTATAATTTTCTTCCAAGTGCTTGTAGCGATTCGAATAAAATTTTGAGGGTAAAACAGCCAGAGTGTGACAGTGTGACATATTTTAATGCCGAAAAAGTGAAAACAGGACAAAAAAAAATCCTGTGCGCCACTGTCTTTTTTCTCTTGTTAGCACAATTGTATAGACTGATTTCAGTCTCCTTGATGAGATAAACACAATTTTATCAATTTACCTTAATCCAAGACTAATAGCAACCTTTAAATTTACTTTTTTATTAACTGACCAAAATGTTAAATCAGTACTTATTGATTCCCCATCAAAAAATATTAAAAAATGTTCCATGCAATAAACATGGGTACGGAAATGCATAGTTTTAAAGTTGCAGGATGTTAAAATTTTAAAAAAATAGGTATTTTCTAATTATCTTTAAATACCTTTCTTTTATTCTTGAATATACATAGTTTTGATTGCTGGACAGTTCTTGTATTTTTAATTTATTTATTAATATCTCTGAAACTATCGAAAAATATTTACTCATATCTTAGGATTATGTAAAGTGATCTGAAAGGGAGCCAAAAATGCAATAATATACAGGGTGTTCCATTTAAAAAAAGTTATCCCGATCCACTCACACTTTTTTGAGCCACCCTATAAAAGTTAAAATATTTTCCTGAAATACATCCTCGTACATAGTTTAGGTTTGCACTTAAACAAAATTCCCCTTTTTTTATTCTATGAGCTACAGATGCCCGACGCACTATTGCCGGACCCTGTATAAAACTTATTTTCAATTTTTATGTTAGTTTCTAATAAATAATACATAAGAGGTCGGTTCGATTGTTATAACCATGGTTAATGTGACGCAGTTTTTTGATAAAAAAAATAAGAAAAAAAATAACAAACCCCATTATAAGTTTTTATGTCTGTTTTTAATAAATGGGACATAAAGGTCGGTTGGATAGAAAATATCACTGTTTGGCATTACCATAGTAACCAAGGTTACTATGACGCCGTTTTTTGATATAGAAACTAATGTATAGTAAACGCCACAAATGTTTGGGGGTGATTCATCGGACGCTACCATGTGAACTAATCTGTTCAAGGTCACATAAAACTTAATTCCAGTGCCGTGGTGTTTCAAGTCATATAATAATCAATATATAATCTGTTGTAACTTGTTGTTCTAACTGTCAAAGCCTTGTCAAAACAAATATTTGGTTATAAATATAAAATGGAATGCCCCATTGGTCGCACTGCAAGCACACCAATGGACTGACGCATAAAAACGAATCAATCAAAGAAACGCGATATAGTATCGTCTTTGTCAATCACGCTAACATTTTAGAATAAGTAGGAGGAGCGCAGGGAGATGATCAGACCGGGCCTTTAAAAACCTACGTCTGCGGTAAAAATTTACGTTTTTAATGTAAAAATGACAGCGCGCGTGTCGATTCTAACTTCATCAAGTGATGAATCACTCCCAACCATTCGTGGCGTTTACATTAACAATCTCATTTTAAGTTTTTATGGTAGTTTTTAATTAATTATTTATAGAGGTCGGGTTCGACAGAAAACATCTTCGATTGTAATTACAATGGCGACTGTGATGCCGTTTTTTGATGTACAAATAAATTAAAAAAAAATGTAAAAAAATCATTATAATGACACCTAGAGGTCGGTTAGACAGAAAATATCACGGTTTTCTGACCTGGAATAAAACGTAACAAACTCATTTTAAGTTTTTATATATATATAAATGACACGTAAAGGTAGCTTCGACAGAAAATTATCATGGCTTGTCAATACAGTGGCTACCTTGACGCCATTTTTCTCGATTGTATGGTAGGATTCTTTATTAGTTGATAAAATAATTGAAAATTATTGATTGTTTGTAATACAATGTGATCGAAAAAAAATAGCGTTCAGTCGACTTGGAAATTATGATCAATGAGGTTCCCCATATACTTTTACATATAGATTCACAGCGATTTTCAATTCAAAGCCACCTATGACGCCGTTTTTTCGATTTTATTGTTCAGTCGGTTAGTTTAGTTTTTATTGTTCACATGGTTTAGTAGCTAGTTGTACTGAACTTCGCCTTGATGTAAAAAAGTAAGAATAAAATATCTAAAATAAAAACACATTTTATGTAAAATATTATTTTTTTAAAATAACCTAACAAACTATATACAATAATAATAGAATCACAATTAATTTAAGTTTAAAATAACAACAATAATACCACATTTACCACCTTAAATCTATATACCACCTTATATATATCAACAATCAACAAAAATATATAAAAATATCCACCGATTGCATACAATAACAATTTTAATAAAATTATTTTAGCAACATTTATTCTTAATTATATCTAATTCTGTATGTGATGTGTAAATATAATACCTACCACACAGATTCATTTAAATAATAACAATATTTATACCTTTTTTCGTTTTTTTTCTGTGAACGTTTTTAGTTGATAAGTATTTTCATTTTATTAAAATATATTTCATAGAGAGTTACACTTGTACTTTATAATAATCTGATCTCCGTGTTTCTAGATTCGTTATCGTTAATATATTTCGTTTTTTTTACCAAAACAGATATAGGTTCACTCAAAACATAATGGCACAGAACTGAACGGCAATATTGGATTATTTCTTTCTTCCAATAAAGCTGTAGCCATAGAATTACCCGCTTTTTCATACTCTCCCATCGCTTCCAAAACCTTTCCCAAATTATACCTAAAAAACAGAACTTTTTCCTCAAAATTACACATATATTTTTCGCTCACCATGTAATGGTATTGTGAGGTTCGATTTTCGCCGCTTCCCTAAGGGTAGTTTCAGCCAACCCTTGCAATCCTAGGTAATGGTAAACTAAACCCAGTTGTTGTAAGGATTTTACGTGCAGTGGGTTTATAGCCACTGCATTTTGGAAACAGAATTTTGCCTCCGTCCAGTCTTCTTTGTGCATATGCAACAGCCCCTTCTATAAAAATATAGGTCTGAAGAAAGTAAATAAAGAAAAATATAATAAAAATTAAAAAAATATATTTTTTTCAGAATCTTACCATATGCATAATGTGATGACTCAACGGATAAATCTGACTGGCCTCCTGAATGCATTGCTGCACGTCAGCTATTTGGTCCAAGGCCAAATACAGCTCGGCAAGTAAAAGCCACACCTCCAATTGCAACATCCACGCCCTCTGCGGGCCGGGTTTCGGACTGAAACTGCTCATCGAACTGGCAACCTCGCTCAGCGCCTGCTCCACCCTGGATACTGCGGTGTTGTGAAGTTGTAGAGAGCCTAAAATGGGTTATGAAAATATTAATATTTTCTGTAATACTAAGGCCTGGCAAAGGTTAGTCTTGAGCCGAGATTTCCGTATGTAAGAAGGGTACAGTGCGTTTATAATGTACTGAACAAAGAGAGAACAGTAAACACGTTGCCAAACGCATGAAATAAACCGAGAAACTGCGCACATTGCTAAGAAACGGGGATATAGCAGATTTGTCGCAGTCGACCGGTAGACCCAATCAGTACCTCTGTCAGTACTTAAATTTCTAGGGAAAGGTTTACATCATGCGTTCAGCTTCACGATTTAATTACGTCTCGCGATACTTATTTGTTTATTTATTAACGAGTCGTTGTAATTTTCCTTATAACTTGAAAAGTATTAAGTACAAGTTAGAAACACTTGCATTTTTGGTAAAAATAAATGGAATTGAGTTGGTGTTCGACAATGGTCGCGCTATTAGAACTCAATAATCGATATCTCGTAATCTATTAAAAATAATTGATTGTAGTTTTTTCAAAAACTTTCTTAACATTTCTGTTATATTTTCTTCTCAGACAGTATGTGAAAATCTTTATAAATAAAAAGCTACACGATTGCTGAAAATTGCGCTACAACCTTATCGAATTTTTCTTATTTAAACATATTGTAAAAGAACCGATCTTCAAAATAAAAAAAAACTTTCAATGTCTAAAGTGGTTCTTAAGTTATAGCGTGTTATGTGTTAAAAAGTTGAGTTTTTAAATTATCGCGATTACTGACGTTTTATTGTTATAAAAAAATGACACCCTAATGATATCCCTATTTCAGATGCTCAGAAACATATCTAATGAGTTTATCTAGTTATCTTTTCCAAAATAAAGTCGTTTAAAGATAAGCGATTTGCGATCGTGTTATCACTTTACTTGATAGGGAAAGACGTACCGGCAACGCCGCATTAGCACGCCTTCGCATTTCTCTCACTCCGGCTTAATAAGATCCCTATGCGATTTACTTCCACACATGTAAATACCGATCCAAAACTAACAGTTGCCAGCACGGTATATATACAGTATCCGCCAAGAAGTTTGCATATAGGAAAATATATCGGTAATACATACTGGAGTCTTTGTCTGACATTTCCGATGTATATAGTTGAAACACCGATCTTGTGTCACTTTTTCTGTCACATTCTGGTACGTCAGATATCGTCTGACCTTCGTATAAATTCTTCCACAGTTCGAGCATTTGTCTTGCTGTAATCAATGCTACCTGTAATGTTAATAATTATAATTATATAACTTTGTCCATAAAAAAACGAAGAAGAATTGTCCACTAAAATGTTTTTTTCATTACTTATAAAATACCCTGTATATTAAAAGTATTGAAATAAAATATATTTCAATATCGATATTTTTTTGAAAAAGTGCATCCCTAATAGATAGATAGATAGAAATTTTTCAACAACGCTGTCTGTAAAGAAAGCTGTAAAGTTAATCATACAGGGTCCGGCAATAGTGCGTCAGGCATTTTGTTTAAGTGCAAACCTAAAATATGGACGAGGATGTATTTCAGGAAAATATTTTAACTTCTATAGAGTGGCTCAAAAAAGTGTAAGTGGACCGGGATGATTTTTTAAATGGAATCACTTTACATAATCCTAAGACATGAGTAAATATATTTCGATATTTTCGGAGATAATAAATAAATAAAAAATATATGTTTTTCAACCTTCCTTAAAAAAATTATATTACAAATATAAGAACTGTCCCCAAATTGAAACTATATTAGGTATTTACTTTAGATGGTCTATACTTACTTTGCAATAAATATCGTAATGTTAAATTATACAGAGTGTTCAAAATTCTATGCCACACTTTCTAAAATATAAAATAATTTTTCTTTGTTTTTTTAAATGGGACACCCTGTATATTATTTTTTTTTATTAGATGGAGAGTTAAAAATGAACATTTTTTGTATTTAAAGTAATTCAAAATTTAATGGTTTCGCAGATACACGCAGTATTATTTCATATGGCGCTTTCAACGGTAAAATACGGGAGAAAAATCATTGAGTGGCTTTGATAAAAATTTACTGTGAAAAATGCCATATGAAATATAAAACCTCGAATTTTTGAGAAAGTACATTCCTAATATATTGGCTGATTGGAAATCAGGTTTATCAGTGGCGTACTAAAAAAAATCACAGAAAAATACTTTTACAGCAAAGTGTATAAATCTGGTAAGACATTCTGTCAGAGCTTGAATTATAACGAGATTACTGTGAATCTTAGAATGAGACAATAATCTACCGATGCCATTGTAATTCAAGTCCAATCACAAAATGGCTTTGCAGATTTATAAACTTCGCTTAAAACCAATAATTACGTAATAAACCAGAAAAAAACAAAGTACTAACACAAAAAAAACACAACCAGCGTTTTTAAAACTATCAAAAATTCAAATTCGTTAAGAAATGTCAATTTATATGACTTTTTCCTTAGAAATTTTTTTTATTTAATAGTTTCAAGACTTACTTCGCCGCCTTTTTCGTGCAACTCCAGATGCGTTTTGACGTACAACAAGTTCAGACAGTCCGGATACTCTTCTAGGGCGTTTTCCACGACGGTCAGTGCCAGTTTGTGCTGTCTTTCGGCCGTAAGTACCAGGATGAGTAAGTGCAGAGTGGTGGAGTGTTCTGGATGAAGCCCCAACCCAATTTGAATGTGACTTTGAGCCTCGGAAGTTTGGCCAGTGATGGCCAATTGCAAACCCAGGTAGTACCTGGATAGGTGGTCGTTGGGTTCTAGTTCGACCGCACTATAAAGAAAAATATGATTCTTGTTAAAAAAGTATCATTTCTGATAAAAAAAAACAGTGAGTGATAAATTTTGTACACGACTAGTAATTTTTATTTATTTTATTTGTTATTTTATTTCGCTGTTTTAAAGTTGACAAATAAAAATTTCTTATTTTTTGTTATCTTATTTTCCTGTTTGAAAACACCTAAAAATTCGGAACAACAATCGAACAAAAAACGAAATTATATTCTAACAAATTAGAAGTTATCAGCTATTATTACTAATTGATTTCCCCTGCCTGATACAGAGGGGGCCCAGGCCCCCTCTAAAGTCTATAGATTGGGTTAAACATTAGGCTTTTGGGTAAAAATGACACCCTAAAAAGCTCCCCTCGTCGAAGCTCATTCTCCCAACCTCTCTATATCCCTGGGTTAAATGACTAAAAAATACAAGGACAAAAGCAAAAATGTAAAAATACTATTTTTGTTGCCTTCAAATAAATTGCCATAAACTAATATTACTTAGGTTTAATTAAGTGCAAAAAAAAATAAAAAGTTCTTTTTACCTTCTTTTCGAACGTCCATTACAGCTTTTATTAATTTTAATAAAATCAGTAATTAATTGGTGTTATCTGAAAACTGTTTATGTCAGCTTGATACAACTAGCAAAAATGTGACATTTCTAATAAAAAAAAAGCGCTACACTAGGCCTACTTGATTTTGTTATTTATTATGTATCGTTTACAGGAGAATACAAGAAAAGTATTAGCAACAGTTTCATGCAAACATTTTGAAATTAATATTTCTAAGTAATGACCTATCTGGGAACCACTCTCTTGAGCAGAATTTGTGTTGTTAGACGCTAGATTTTTTTGGAGGAACGGATATGTCACCAGCGACGATTTTAGCGATTTTTAATAGTTTTTTGGGTGTAGTGAACTTTGTATAAACTTTATTACAACAGTGATTTGTTCAACTTTCAAGTGTAAAAGCCGCAACGACAAGAAAGAGCTAGGAGTTACGTTTCATAGGAAAATAAACAGTCCATTCCACCTTTTTAGCGTTTTCTTATTGAACCAGTAATTATTTACCTGATATTATATGAACTTGATATATATGCTATACGTCGATACTAGTTTTATACCTTTTTTTAAAGTTTAATACGTTTTTTGTAATTAATTAGTATGATACCACCTAAATAGGCAGCATCTAAAATTTAAAAATCTCTTCAAGCAGCTAAGTTAAGAAAAATATGTGGCACGGCACTGTTTGGAGGTAAGGTAACAATTTAGTCTCAATTTGTTATTGGTTCTTGTCAGTCATTGGGCGCTACTTTCGTAGAAAATGGCGGGAAACACAGTGGCGCCGATCTATATTTATTTACCCGGAAATTATTAATTATAAAAATTCTTACGTGCGTATATTGTCGATAGCCTTGCATCTCAACGCTTCCTTGTCTTTTTTAAGGAGGCTAGCTTCTGCAAGAAGGTGATAACCGATGCCAGCATACAAGTGACACCTCCCCAGCAAACCTGATGGTGAATTTATTTCTTTTTCTCTAGCTTGTAAAGAAAATGCTATACCTGAGAAAGAAAAAAAAAATTAATATACAAAAATATTCTGGAATAAACTAAGATAAGAATAAATACCTTCTTCAGGAAGATTGAGATGTTCAAAACATAATCTAGCAGCCAGCAAACAATTGCTGGAATTGTTTGGTTCTAACCTAATAACTTCTTTTAGTACTGCCAGAGCATGATCGTAGTTTCCTATGGTCAAAGAAGCAAGAGCGTGCTGTTTCCATAGGTGGGGCTCTTCAAAAGAGAATTTCATCGACCTTTCCAAAGACTAAAAAAAAATTGTTTAAAAAACCCTGTACAACAGAATGTTTTATTTCTGAGATGTTAACTCATTGTTAACTGTAAACTTTGGTTAATGTAGTTTTGAAGGACAGAAACAAAAGCCAAAAAAGATTAGGAACGCTCTTTTTATTTTTTATAGTCTTTAATAATAAATTAAGCAGTAGAGAAGTAATACAAACTTTTACTATGGATTTTATAGCTTAGAATGCAATATGTCCAAATCGATCATATTTAATATAAAATATTAATACCCTAGAATCGAGAAAAAAACGGCAATATAGTAGGGTTTGAAATAATTATAATCGATGATACTTTTTGTCGGGCTGTCTCATTGCTTTTTTCTTAATTAAATATAAAATTTTTTAACAATCCTTGTATGTTAATTTGTAGTAAACGTTGCCGTCGTACCATACGATCGAAAGAAGAAAATCGGCGTCAGCGTTGGCATGAATATCCAGGTCATTTTATATTTATGTATATTATTTTTTATTTATGTATGTATATTAAATTATAAGGCGAATGTTATCGATCGTCATTTCCAAGCCAACTTGGCGCCGTTTTTTTTCGATCATACAGTATGCAGACGCCGAGCCCACAAAAACATCGTCGATTGTTACTTCAAAGGCTACTGCGTCACAATGTCTGTTGTTTTTAATTATTTTTTAATAAACGACGTACATAGAGGTTGATCCGACAAGAAATATCAATTTTCAGTTCGAAGGTTACTGTGACTCCCTTTTTTCATTTCCAGTATATTTATTAAAAAAAAATACTTCTTGCAATTGGAATATTTATACTGGCGTATCGTTCACCTTGTACACCGGGTGCGTCTCAAAAGTGGCTCACCCCTATTACTTTTTAATTAATTCAGATAAAAAAATGAGATTTTGTATGTTAGTATATGAAATAAATTAGGATTGATTGACGTATTCAATTCTTTTCGGCCACTTCCTGTTTCACCGGAAATGTCTACAACTTTTGATTTTTAAATGACACCCTCGGTATTTTTTTTTTACTTTATTCGATAAAAAATAACATTCTGAATAGAATGACATATCATATGTCAACTTTTGACATTTTCGCTTAAAACAAAATTGTACTTTAAACTTCAATCTAGAGTACCATGGCTGTGTTAAAACACTAATTTTTAATCAAGGAGCCTTGGAAAAATAGATTTGATGATCTAATGTTTTTAGCGTCTTATCCTGGCCGGATAAAAGATGCGCAAATCGTATTTTTAATCATATCTCAATTTTTTCAAATAAAACGAGGGTGGCTCATTAGCATATTTGGAAAAAGCATTTTTTTGCGAATAATTTGGAACCACATACTTGGTATTTTGAGTAAAATTTTCGTTATAAATCGCGTGTTGCAATTTGAAATAAACCATACGCGAAAATGTCAAAAGATGACAAATGATATGTTATTCTATTCAGAGTGTCATTTTCTATCGAATAAAGTAACAAAATACCGAGGGTGCCATTTAAAAATCAAAAGTTGTAATCATTTCCGGTAAAACTGGAAGTGACCGAAAACAATTGAATACATCTATCAATCCTAATTTACGTCATATACTAACATACCAAATTTCGATTTTTTATCTGAAAATATAAAAAGTTATAGAGGTGAGCCACTTTTGAGAGGCGCCCGGTATAGTTTCGAGTGTCTAAAAACTTTTTTTTCTAAATCAAATATCAATTTAAGTTGAGGTTTTATGTAATAAACGACATAGATAGAGCTCGATACGACAGGAAACGGTGACAATTGCCATTTCGAAGGTTACTAGGACACAGTTTTTTTTTCATAAAAAAGGGTATCGCTACACCGTTTTTTTTAATTTTTTTTTTCGATATGTATATTTAAAATTAAAATGACAAAATTTTTACCTCTTGCAACAGGGATATTTGTCCCCACCTGACCGTGGCCACGGTGAGTAAGTCGTAGACGGTTGTGGCGTCCTGGTAGGCGCTCAATCGGGCCTCCTTGAATTCCGGACTTTGCGACAGTACGGCGTTACGAACGGCCATCGATTCGGCCACCAGCAAGGCCAGAATAATTTCTTCGCTCTCGCATCTCGGTATGAACTGCAAAAAGGGAGGGAAATCAATTTTCGTATTATTCAAAACACACGACACAACATTATACGGGGCGAGGATTATAACTCAGCGTGACGAAAAATCGAGTGTAAAACTTGGAAAATATGTTTGTTATAGTAATACCGTTGATTGAAAGAATTGGGAAGATACGCAACCTAATGGACAAATTTGTGATAAGGCTGATTTGATTTTCCCTCACGTCTGAAGTACTGTATGGTGGAGACACCATATCACCTGCCATCGTTCGGCCAGGAAGGCATATCGAAGACGGCGCGTGTGGATCTGAAAGCGACAGTGTTGCCATATTAAAATGTGTAATATGTTTGACAAAAATATATTTGGATGAAAAATCCGCGTTTATGTATTGAAAATTTATTCGTGTTAAACAACTAAAATAAAAATTCTTTTATAGGTACTGAATATGTCGTATGATCGAAAAAAGTAATTTAGTTGGCTTGGAAATTACGATTATTACCATAATATTTTACATATAAAATAACAACGATCTTCATTTCCAAGCCAACTCTAACGCCATTCTTTGTTTAATCATATAATATATTAAAATGTAATGATAGAAAATCCGTATTATTAACGTGCTGTACCCAAAACCCGTAAATCTATGGATTAATGAGTACTTCTGGCAACACTGTCCCCGGCAACCACTCACTCTGTTGATTGAAAGCAGAACTACGGCTTTATCTGCTGCGCTGTAAACAATTATCAGCGCGCAGCGGCGCAGAGGTAAACTAAATCTCGGAACTCTCGGACAGGCTGACGATAACGCCAGCTACATCTCGGACAGGTTTTGTGCCACGAAATCGCCCATAAGGTTGCGCTTCTTCTTATTTCTTCAATCAACGATAATACTTTTATTGACCACTATTATAATAAAAATATTCATTCTTGCGATACTTTTTAAATTTATGATACACTTTTAAATTTATGAACGATTTTAAATAAATGTAGAAATATCGTATTTTTTATACATTTCATTCGCTTAGGTGGTCTTTATACATTTATGTTGCGCAAAAAAAAATCTGCCCCAAACTGCCACCCTGTGTGGTAAAGCATATTATTGTTCTGTTGGATGCACAGTCTGGCAATAGTGCGTCAGGCATCTGTAGCTCCTAGAATAAAAAACTTGAGAATTTTGTTTAAGTGCAAACCTAAAGTATGTACGAGGATGCATTTCAGGAAAATATTTTAACTTCTATAGGGTGGCTCAAAAAAGTGTGAGTGGACCGGGATTATTTTTTTAAATAGGACACACTTTATATTATTGCATTTTTGGCTTCCTACATAATCCTAAGATAAGACGTAAATATATTTGGATAGTTTCAGATATATTAATAAATAAATAAAAAATATATATTTTTCAATAAGTTACAAAGTAAGCTGATAAAATATTGTATTTTCAATATAATTACAAATAAAATGAAGGTACAGTTATTATCATATATTTATGCAATTGCCTCAAAATTCTTAAAAATCGATTTTTACGAAAAAACTAGTTTTATAAAAAGTTAATTACTTTTGACTTTTGGGACAACCTGCATAACAAAAATTTTCACATATTATATGCTTCTAGGCTCATATATTTTTTGGAAACTAGTTAAGGTGTGACTTTGACTTGAATCTGCGAAAATATGATTTTTTATGTGGGTTAATATTGTAACACTTTGTATAAACCATTTCTTATGGGCTAATAAAGTTTTATTTTCATGCATCCGTTATCCGTTGATACGATGGTCCGATATTAACTTTATTGGTTGAATTTAAAGACTTCCATTGGTTAGAAACGGTTAACCAATCGAAGCCTTTAAATGCAACCAATAAAATTAATATCGTATCATCGTATCGTCGGATAACGGATGCATGAAAATCAAAGCCGGAGTCTCATGCATCCAAAATCCGATGACACGACGATCCGACGGTGCTCCTATTGGTCGAAATATTTTGACACCAATTTTTATCCAATATTTTTAACTAATCGTCCGACGTCGTATAAAGTTAAATATTGTTCAACCTTTGTACGATATCGTGTGTTTTTTAACCTCACTTTTTTTGAAAACATTGGTTTTTAAAAACAAGTTTAGTGGGAACGGGGCAATTTCGGGATATTTGGCGAGGAAGTTATTTTTATGTGTTTCTCCAATAATACATGTAATAATGTTGATACTGTTGATAGGAAATGACAGGTCTAAATGTCAAAACTGTCAAATTTCGGAACGAACTTTCGGATGTATGTGACAGGCTTTTTTTATTTCACAAGATAACTTCAAATTTCGGATGTCGTACTATCGGATTTCGGATGCATGAGACTCCGGCTTAATTGTTAATTTTTTCATGTTTTGTATTGATTTTGTAATTTTAACACATTGAATAATATCTACGAGCAATATAATTTTTCCATAAAATATGGCTTCTGTGCGCCATACAAAAAAAAATCCATATTGTTCAATTGCCACTCATAATAAAAAAAGATCCATAAGAGAAGAATTAGGGCATAACCTCAAAAGTTATGTCAAATTATTGAGCTTGACATTTGAAAAGTCATTTTCACATTTATTATTGTGTCGCCAGTTTGACGATTTGAAATTGACGCGCGGAGGTGCCGACCAATGGTGTCGATATCACATGTGACGTAGTGACCAACCTGCGCAATCGCAATATCATACCTTGTTTTCTTTGTATCATGAATCACTCTTTATAAAACCAATAAGAAAAAAAAAGCCATAATCATAAAACATTAACACTATGCTGTAACTCTGTTAAAATAAATAAACTCATTTCAAAAGATAAAATAAAATGTTTCTATTTTCTTAACCGCTCTGAGGATTTAATCATTCTCATTAAAAATTCATAAATAATTCGATTAAAAAAAGTTATCGTCAATCGCGAACGACACGGCAGCATAATTTACAAGGTTTTTACATCTGTACTTTACAAAATCGAAAATTCCTTCAACTCTGATCAATTCCTTTTCACCTTGAAAATTCAGACAGACATTATAAAAACCACTAAAAAGGAAAATAACACTCCAAAATTTATTTCTGTAAATATCTGATAAAACTTTATTATTATTTTTATTAAAACATACCTGATTCAACGACGAATAATATTTGGGCTTCCAAACAGAGGCTTTGGGGTTGGCATTTAGCGGTGCTTGATATTTTTGCCCCACTAGACCCTGTAAAAGTAACTCGGCCATTTGTGTCATGAATTTCAGTCTTATATTGTGCACCCCGTGAGATTCAACTGCATATAATGAATTCCTAAAATAGAAAAATTACTCATTTAGGTATAAATTGTTTTGTTCAAATAATAACTATGGAATAAATGATTATAAGAATTTAAAACTATAAACACACTAACCTATATCTTTCTAATGCTAGATCAGGCTTGCCCTGATGCAACAGAGCAATTGGAGCTGCCTGTAATGCTTGTTCGAGCACTTCTCCGAGAGTTTTATGTGGCCCTGGTGGTTGTGGAGAGTGACTACCTAATAATAAACACACCCATAAATCAAATTACTCTGTAATATTAAAAACACCCTACCTGTTGTCCCGGTACTTCCTATCGAAGTAGTATTAATTTCCTTCTCAAGTTTTTGCATGTACAACAAACTCAAGTCCGAGGCTAAATCAAAACACCTGGCTAGTTCTTCTTCTTTTTCTGCTTTTTTGAATTTACTTGATGAATTTGATGCAGACATATCTTTTTGCAAGCATAGCCCTTTAATCGCATATGATTCTGCAACTATTTTTAAACTTCTCCTAAAACAACAATAAATTATGTTATTTATTAAATTAAAAACAAAATAACCTGTTGACTTACAAAGGTAATCTTTTTTCTGATAATTTTTGTAGTTCGCCATCACTAAAGTTTTTAAGCCCGTCTGAATATTGTCCGCAGGTATAGTTAAGTTTACCTAAAAGTAAATGAGCGTCCATTGCAACCCCTGCCTAAAATAAAGACACATCCCTAATAATGTTCTAATTTTTTTAATTAGCTCAATGTACCTGAACTCCTTCTTTCGTAATAACCTTATTTAAGTAAGCTTTGGCTTCGATAAGTCCTTTTTTAGCTCGGTGAATGTTCAACTCAATTGGAGGCCACTCTTCCAAATAACTCTCCAATTTACCTTCTCCGATTAAGAAATCCGACAGACATTCTACAAGAAGTATTGAAATATTATACAGTTCCTTAAATATGTTTTAATTACATACGAAAATCTGAAGATTTCTCTTTGAGCTGTTCAGCTAGCTCAATAACTTTCGTCCAGTTTCCTTCTTCTCTATTTTTCTCGATGTCCACCTCGATACGAGAACCCGCAGATTTAGCACGACCAGTCATTTTGCGAAATTATTCAGTTAATTCGGTATTAAATGCTTCAAAGAGCAAAGTTTATTTAAGTTTTTAATAATTATTCCAAATTCAAAGCAGGAAACATAACCTACTTTTATTTTGTTATTTTGATAACTGTCACCATAGACTGTCACTGTCACTGTCAATATCAGCTGTTTTGAATTACAGGTAACTGTATTATCTACATGGTTTATTTCATGTTTATTTTCAAAAACTATTCAAATAAAAATATTTAATTTATGTATAAAATATTTTAAAATACCTATATGTAACTATTTTTTCTATGATCTAGTATACACATTTATACTTAATCTATTTATGTTTATTGTGATTTAAACGCATGTACGTTTAAAACGACAAAAAACAAAATCTATATTAAATTTGAAATCATTATTTAGCTACATTTGAAGGATATGCTAAACGTTCTTTACATTTTTTCAACACAAAACTAAATCTCGAACTGTTTCAGAGTTGAATATTAACGATTCTCCTGGAATCAAGCCCTTTTTGGGACGATTATTAGGCCTCAGGGAGTGGTCGTCGAGGTAGGCAGGCAATTTCTAAATTATGCAGCTCTAATTACTACAAAGTTGATTTTGGCGAGGAGCGTGCATGCTCAGTGGTCTGTGCCGCACCCGCACAATATCAGCAGAACGACGTCAAAGTCAAACGGCGCGCCGCGACGCCGCTCGACGTCACGCACCGCGTGCTGCGATGTCCGAACCGCCGCCGAAGCCCGTTTGACGCATTGCAGGTAGCGATCGACCAATCGCAAGCCGCCGCCGGCCGAAGGCGACGTTGTAAACATTCACGCCCGACATTCAAACTTTTGACATATTCCGCCGCAACAAATAGTTCCACTGGCGTTTTTCACTTTCCTAGTTCCGCTAACCTGTTTTCTGTTCGCGTTTTTACCGGAATACTTCCCGATATTTTCCTGGAGCAAATTCGTAGGAGTACAGTGGCGTTTTTGGTATAAAATCCCGGCATAGGGCGTAGGAATATTTACTGGTTTATGTCGTAGCCGCACCGTTGCGCTTGGCTGTAGCAGAATCTGCCCCCTCCCCGCGTTCCCCTGCGCTAAACAAAACGACAAAACGAAACAGTTGGCTGGTGCACTTCGTCGTGAGACGTCGTTATAAGTTGAGGCTGTGCGTCGACGTTATTTCGTCTTAGTGTTCTAAAATCCTTAAAAATCACAATGGTGAGTGAATATTATCGACCATCGTGCGTTTCAGAATATTCGTAATTAATCCAGCTTCGATTTTACACAAATATTTTTCGAATTTCATCGAAAATTTGTTTGTAAATAGCTGTCAAAAAGAGAGAGCTAAAAGGGGGATACGGAAAATTCGGCCGGTATCGGATTATACCGCAGTGCGGACTAGAAAACGATCGGTATTTCAATGGGATTTCTACTAAAAAATATGGAGAAAACCGTTACAGTTTCGTATTGTATCGATCTGTTGCATCGGTTTGCAGGGTGTTTACTTTTGCGTTTCAACTGCTAACCGTGTTATTTGTTCTAGGCTGACCAACTCACCGAAGAACAAATCGCCGAATTCAAAGAGGCGTTCTCGCTGTTCGACAAAGACGGCGACGGTACCATCACCACCAAAGAATTAGGAACTGTTATGAGGTCCCTGGGCCAGAACCCCACGGAGGCCGAACTACAGGATATGATCAACGAAGTCGATGCCGACGGTATGTAAATTCAGAACAATTTCTATTCGCCTAAAGATAGCCAGGCTAGGCTAGCTAGTTAAGAAATTTCTCTATCTCTCTCTCGCTTCTTCGCTTTAATTTCCTGAAAGTATTTTTATGACTGACAAATTAGATCATTAATTAGGCTTTTAAATGTTTTTGCGTTTAATGTAATTAATTTTCTAATGGAGCGAGCGTGAGGCTAGCTATCTTTATTGTAGCTTAAGTATGTGTTTGTTGTCTTGTCAAAATTCTTTTAAAATAACAGGATTTTTGATAAGATAGAATTGTGAATTGGATTTAAAATCTATGAAAAATAAACTGAGAAGGATTTTATAATAGGAATAGCAGGATTATGAAGTATTTTGATTAAAATACAATTATTGTCAATTGTAATGTCAGAATTAACATTATCTATAAAATGTTATCGTTTTTATGAGAGGCTAAAGATAAAAATCAATTTTATCAAAAGAATTTTTATAGGAAAAAACGTTTTTTTGTTGTATTAGAATTTGGGTGTGGATTAAATGTGTGTCACGGATGAATAGTACTAAAAGATTGATACCCCCTAAATTGTTCACTATTATTTTTAGAATAAAAACATTCTTCGAATTATAATTGGTGTATCTTTCAAACAAAAGTCTTAAATATCAAAGATTGACATTTTTCAAAGTTGAATATCTAACTAGTTCAAATTTTGGACTAAACACTTTTAATTGATGTTTTATTTTGGTAACAATAATTAATCAGATATTTTATATGTAAATAACCTTCTAAAAATAATTTAAACCAAAATTTGTGATTAAAAAAACCGTTATACTTTGTAAGCACTATATTATAACCTAGAATATATTCAGTCAACCTAAATTTTTATTTATATCAGGGACGTAGTTTTTATTGTATTTATTAATTTGACAAGAACCAATTAGATGTTTTTTAAGTTTTTTTTAAACAGATACATTTCTGTACTCTCGTACAGAAAAAAGTTAAGTAAAAAGTTAATTGGGTCATTAATTGTATACCGGATGCGTCTCAAAAGTGGCTCACCCCCTATAACTTTTTTATTTTTTCAGTTAAATAAATGATATTTCGTATGTTAATATTTAATATATGACATAAATTAGGATTGATTGACGTATTCAATTGTTTTTGGTCACTTCCTGTTTCACCGGAAATGGCTACCAACTTTTGATTTTTAAATGGCACACTCGATATTTTTTTACTTTATTCGATAGAAAATAACACTAGACATAGAATGACATATCATATGCTAACTTTTGACATTTTCGAATATGGTTTATTTGAAATTATAACTGGCGGTTCGGAACGAAAATTTGGATCGAAGTACCAAGTGTGTGGTATCAAATTATTCGTAAAAAAATGCTTTTTCCAAATATGCTAATGAGCCACCCTCGTTCCATTTGAAAAAATTGATATATGATTAAAAATACGATTTGAGCATTTTCTAACTGGTCAGGAAAACACACTAAAAACATTAGATGATCAAATATATTTTTCCAAGGCTCCTTGATTAAGAATTCGAGTTTTTAACATAGCCATGGAACATGGAACTCTAGATTGAATTTTAAAATACAATTTTTTATTAAGCGAGAATGTCAAAAGTTGACATATGATATGTCATTCTATTCCGAATGTCATTTTCTATTGAATAAAGTAAAAAAATACAGAGGGTGCCATTTAAAAATCAAAAGTTGTAGTAATTTCCGGTGAAACAGGAAGTGACCAAAAACAACCGAATACGTCAATCAATCCTAATTTATGTCATATACTAACATATCAAATCTCGTTTTTTTATCTGAAAAAATGAAAAAGTTATAGGGATGAGCCACTTTTGAGACGCATCCGTTATACACGGTGGTTCAAGTTTTAGTAGCAGCACTGTCGTTTGAAAATAAAAGATTATTAACAAACTGTCAAAAACGGTATATTTTAAAAATATTGGGTATTGAACTTGTAAAAAAATATATTCTGAATTTTTGACTACTACTAATTTGGTGTATCACATTGTAGGCTACCATATTTATCAATCAAACAGCTTATGAGCAGCCAGTGCCGGAGTTAGGGGGCTTTGCTAACCCTCAAAAAATATCTCTTGATATTTTTTCATATCTGAAATTTATATGTTTTGTCAGAGAAATCCAAGATTTTTTTGTTCAAAAATGAATTACAGGAATGTTAAGATATAGAAATATAGAATTAGAAATATAAAATTATAATTTATTAATTTTCGAAGAAATGAGTTTATTACTTAATTTGAGTAATATTTTATTAAGTTGAAATACACCAAAGACATAGTCCTAATTGCCAATAGTCCTGAAGAACTACAAGCACAAATTAACGAACTAAATACAGCCAGGAATAAAGTAGGTCTCAAAATAAATTTAGTAAAAACTAAAGGTAATGTACAACAAACTAGTGGACAGAAAAGACATTTAATAAATAACACAACACTGGAAATAGAATATATTTGGAACAAACTCCATATTCAAATCTCGAATGCCACTTTATCTAAAGACGAAAACAAGAAAACATTCAATGAATGATTCAACCAATGTGTACTACAGTCATGACCTATGCATGTGAAACCTGGAGACTTAACAATGGACATTATAAGGAAACTGCAGGTCACACAATGCTCAATGGAACGAAATATGCTGGGAATAACCAAGGGAGACCGTAAAAGAATAAGAGTACCACAAAAGACCCAGGTAATAGATGTCATTCACAGAATCAAATCCCTCAAGTAGGGCATTCAATCCCGAAAGAAATTTTCAATCCCGGGATTTCGGGATTATAATTTTTCGATTCCGGGATCCCGGGATTGGTCCCGGGATTCACGAAAAAATTATTTACGTTGGAATTATATTATATTTTCTTTCTTTACAAAATTTTATTGAACAAAAAAAACATTAACATAAATTAAACGTCATCCCCATTACAAAACAACATAACATATAAGTTTATTTAACAAAAAAAAACATAAAAGGAACTAAAATATACATTTTTTATTTAATTTACATAACCAATCGAATACAGCATAACACAGGATTACTAAGATACTAAAATAACAACTTATGCAGTAACAAAGATGAAGATCTAAACTTGGTTTTTTTGGTTTTTGAAAAAATTTCTTAAAAAAAACAAGCCGATCAAGAGTATTATCACTCAAACTAGATCTTCATCATCTTCAAACTTGATCAAACATTCAGGGTTGTTTATAAGCGCATATTGTACTATCATGAAAGACTTGTGTACGATTTAAATTAAGGAAAAAATGCAATGATGAATCCCGGGATTAAAGAAAATACAATCCCGGGATTTCGGGATTGAATAAATGTCCGGGATCCCGGGAATCGGGATCCCGGGATTGAATGCCCTACCCTCAAGTGGCAATAGGCAGGACACCTGGCGAGAAGGACGGACAACAGATGGACGACAAAAATTACAGCATGGGGTATTAAGAGACCTAGATGAAGACCAAACCTGGATGAGAGCACGAGATGGGACCACGATATTAGGAAATTAGCAGGGATAGAAGAAGAAGAATGTTTAGGAGGGGAGTTAATCACCGCAACCTAAGAGATCTATTGTGTATTCCCCTTTCTTGAGTTATAATGAGTTATAACTCATCATACAGTCTCAGGGCTTTAACAATAGCCAGTATCTGAGACGGTTCCACAGAGGCCAGCTCTCCATTCTCAACATCAGCCGTACCAAAGTTTATGGCACGAATGGTTGTCGTCCCGGCGCACTCAGTGATAAGGTGTTTGGTGTTTCCCCATTTTCCCCACAGAATCTGCATTCGCCATTGTTTCTCAGCTTCAGCCTACTGAGATGTTCGTTGAGGAGACAGTGTCCTGTTAGAAACCCCGTGACAGTCCGAAGATTGTTTTTACTTAAATTAAGGAAAACCTTTGATTTTTCTCGGTCGTAGGAACTTTTTCGAGCGTCTTAGACCGTTGGAGGACACCTATTCCAAGTTACGGATGGAGTCTTCCAGATTCTTCAGTTCCGCTTTCAGTTGGTTCCCGTTTGGAAAACAGAACGGTTCTGGTCCAGTTAGTGTTCGCTCCTTTTCTAGCTAGATCATTTGCTTTTTCATTGTCTTCTATCCCTTGGTGAGCATGCACCCAGAGTAGGAGGACTTTATTTTCTTTGCCTAATTTGTTGACCAACTTCGAATTGATGGTTACTGAGTTGATCGCGTTTAGTGCTGTTAACCTAATAGGACTGCTCATTCAGCCAAAAGTGTCCGCCAGGTGCATGCGAAAACTACTCGCATTGTGACGTCATTGTAGTCCTTGTCATTATTATTAGTCCTTATCCGGCAACCAAGAATACACACACGTGCATTATTGGTTGCCGAATGCAAAACGTTCATTATTTAGTTTATTTATTTAAACACCTTATATGTATGCAGTATAGAAAATTAACTGTATAAATCGTATTAAATACACGGATAATGCATTTTTAAGAACAGCAGGTCCCAGCATCACCTTTTGCAAGCATTCTTTTTAGAGTACTTCCATATTTTGCTTTAAAATAATTAGTAAACAAAATCGTGGGCACTTAGTAAGCACTTTGTCACAATCCACAACACAAAATGAACGTATTTATACACTATAGCTCTAAAAACTTTAAAGACACCTTTTTTCACATTTAAAATTGACAAAATAATTAACTCAAAATTTCTCAGCTGTTATTTTTATAAGTTTACCATAGGCAACTAATAATACACACTATCATGACAAGGCCAACAAGGCTTTGACAAGGACTACAATGACGTCACAACAGTCAGCTGTAGCGCGGAAAGAGGCGAACGTACGTCCGTGGTCCGTGGCTAACGTCATATGTCTGTCATGTTGGTCATGGTACGTCTTATGAGGATGAGCAATCCTATTAGTTTACCGTTCTTGGGCCCGCATAGCCAACAATAGACAACAATGTGCCCAGCTACAAAGAGATTATCTAAATATGCG